TAATAATTTAATAGAAGAAAAACAAAAAAAAAGTATTTTTTATTTAATGAAAACCTTCATTAATAATTATTAAATAGGAGTTCAATCCTCTGCTTATTGCAATCGGGTGTAGATTCAGTAGTTAGCATCAGCGATGTAGGATAGAAGGAAGAAAGACGTTTGCTTTAGATACGATTAGCGTTTATTATAGCGTCGTGTGGCACACCCATTTCAGAAAGGTCACCTTTTTTCTTTGCTAAGCTTTTCATGCATTCATCACGATAGGTAGAAATCTATAATCACCTTTCACATATAATAGCGTGACGTAGTTCACTGGGAATGAAGAAGAAAAAGCAAGGGGCTAAAATGTCTAAATGTATCTGATCTTTTGGCAGCATAATACATCAATCCCAGGTGTACTCTAGCTTCAGATGAGCGGAAGAAATCCAATTATTCATTCATCTCTATCCAAGCTTTATGATCGATGTAACATCATTTAAATGGAATGGGTTGAATTACTGAGGTGGGTTTTTATTTTATTTATAGAAAGCCAATAGCGAAGGCAGCGTCAGAAGGAGAAAGTAAAAATTATATCACGAACTCTCCATTATGATGACAGTTTACTTTCTAAATTCCTTCATTTAAATTGATTTTCTCATGAATTTCAAAGACATAAAAGAGCTTATGCAATTCAGATGACAAAATAAGTCATTACTTTTCAAACTTCGTATTATGTGTTATTACTATTTAAAGAATTTCACATATCTTTTTTTTTTCTTCTGAATCACACTTCAAATTAATTCGATTAAAATGCTTGCATGATACAGGGATAATTGAGTAACGTGCTAGCAATTACTTACGTATGAATGAAATCGCCTGCATCTTATCCAAAATAATATAATAAAATATAGTCTGCAATTGATAATAATAACTAAATAAATTGATAAATAACCACATTCTTCTACACTACTCGTTAAAATATGAATTTTTGTTTGGTGACATAGCCTTCTCCTTGTAGTTTTACCACTTATCAATTACCCAATTTTATTAAGTCAAACCAAACCTAAAGTGGGTCTGTAAATCTCGGTTTTATATTTTTAGACTGTTGTGTTTTTTGTATGTATGATATTTTTTTATCATGTCTCTTTTATGAATAGTGGTTTATAACCCACTGTTCCGGTAACGTTTCTATGGAAAAATAACCCCATGCCGATATTAATTATTTATATGTTTGTTGAATAGCTTTTTTTTTGTAATGCCTGTACTAAACTTACCGAAGGCGACTTCCATACATGACGTCATTTCTAAATACCACAAGCTGTTAATGCATTGACAAATAAACCCACATGCTTTGGTTTGATTCTTCTAGCTCAGGTGAACATGAAAAGAAAACCAAATTTCCGGTTAAGGTAAAAGAAATCGGGATTTTCCCATTGTTGGTCTGTTTCTTACTTGTAGTTGAAAATATGGGTATCAATTCGCCTGCAATTTCTTATCAAAGAAGATTAAATCACCAATATTTTGAGGGAACATGAGACATTTTCGTCTGCAAATCATCTAAAATAATAAAATAAGGAAATTTGGTCTGTAGCTAACCAAATTAATAGTCGTCTAGACATGTGAAATAGGTATAGCGTTACGGTTAGAATTATACAGAGAGTGGATCTTTAATAAAAAAAGCTTTTTTGCCACAACCGTTGCTCTCGGAGATCCAAAATATCTTCCAGAGCCAAGCATGCTTAGCAAAAATCAATATCAAAATGTTAAATATTCGACTAATGAAACATAATAACTCGTCATATCATCATAGTCGCTCGTTGAACAAACAAGGATGAGACATATTCTATTTAATGACATGTTTGTATTTGAAGCAAAATGTTGTCATTGTTCACCTTTGGTTGATAGTTGAGTGGAAGATGTGCGAACGAATAGTCATGCTCGTGTTTTGTTTGCATAAGACCTGAATGTCTTCCTCTACATCGGCTGGATGATGTTACCATAGCAACGAGATGAGATGGAAATGAAGATGAATGAGTGCTGAAAAAAATAATCCGCTGTGGAGAAGTTTACGCATTGATTGAGACTATAAACTAATAAGGCGATAACATGTGAATCCCAACGGCCAAAATGAATGTGAACCAAGAGAAGATGGAGAGTCGGACGGAGAAATAGAGATATAGCAAGAGAGAGACAAAGGTTAATGGTGATAGAGGGGGGAGAGAGAAAGAGAGGGGACACACACACGAACACACACACACACACACACACACACACACACACGCACACAATAAGCAGAGAGACAGAAAGAGAGGTATATAGTCATATTGGCAAGTGAAAGCACTGGCATCCTGCATGCAAATGAAATGATCAGTTAGGGGAAATGAAATGGGGAAAGAAGAGAAGAAAGAAATTGACTTTCTTTAAAATGGTAATGAGAGATGGAAGGTAAGAGAAAGAAATTGTTTCATGAAATTACACAAGACTTTTGTCCGATTTATGAAATTGGATAGCTTTCTTTCTCTTTAAGGAGAGAAGTAGGCCTATTTGATACGATTCTACACTCTTAACCACTTTCTCACTTCAGCTCTAATAGCATCTCACGCTTGAACTTGACATGAAGACGGCCATTAGAAGGTCATGATTTGGTCTCACGTTCTGATAGTCGGTGTGAATGACTGTATATAAATGCCACATTGAGTGGTTCGAATGGAGATTGACGACAGACATCATTGATCATCTACATTCAAAGCAGCCATGAGGGGGTGTCAACCTACCTTTTAAAGAGATCACCGTGTATTTGTTTCAATGGTGATATCTGAGATAGGGGCCTATTAAAGTCAGATCTCTATAAGAGATGGATTTTTCTCACGCTAATGTGTCTTATGTTCCATCTCAAGTCCATTAGCACTCTTTTAAAGGTTGTAGGTGTTTGCTAACGTTTTTCTTTGAAATTTTTTTGGTATTGTTTACACCGTGTCTTCTATCAAAGATCCAATATTCATGAAAGGATTGGCGAAGTCCTCTATAATCACTCTGCTTCCTGTTGACTACCTTATTGATAAACATAATGCCTCCGTGGAAAAGTTTATTCACAAACGTGAGAGTTATTCTGTAGCCGGAGGGGGGGGGGGGTCCCATAATCTTTTATACTTTGGTGCCATTTTTTTAATGTGAAGCTGCGAGGCGATTTCTTTTTTCTATTTTGAACCCCGTAAGTGATGTTTTCCTGGCATCTAGTAACATCTACTAATACTGTGTGGGTCTGGACATAATGAAGGCGTTTTTCTATGCACATCACATTTTCACTTGGCGGCCCAAGGGGGGGGGGGGGGGGGAAACCCCCTACCCCCTTAGATCCGCCCCTGCTTTTAATTGTTATATTCGATCTCCCAAAAGGTGTTCTTAGCTTCATAGCGAGAGCAGCAATTAAAACACCGCCCTCAGGGGAGAACCTCAAACGATGTGGAAAGAGCATGACAACTAGGTATATGCTATGTGGGAACCAAGAGATCTCATGTCATATCGAATACTCGTGCCCGAAAGCACTCGATCAGGAACGCTTTAACTACAGACACGACAGTATACCCAGGGAGGTGGTAGAGATCTCCCTGGTATACTGAAGCATATTGTCTCTAAATCGCTAACAGCCTGGTCAAGATCAAATACACCCTTTAGCTTATATCACAGGGTTCATGTTGAGGGTACGATGCCTAGTAATGTTGTGACATCTGTTGGAAGGGCAGATATATATTTTGTTTACAAAATGAAGAAGACTGTTGTTCTTTGTGAACTAAAGGTTCCTCATGGACCAAACATCAAAACTCCAAGGAAAAGGAAAGCCAAAAAGTACGCCACTCTAGTATCCGATATCATAAACAAGGGTTTCAAATGTTCACTAATGTGTGTCGAGGATCTAGGGGCCTCGTAATCACAGAAAACGAAAGAAATCTTCTGGTCATTCAAGACGAAAGATCATTGTCGAGTCATCTCTTTAATTGCAATTCTCTCTTCCGGCGACAAACTACCTGCCTTTTTTGTTGTTGCAATTTTGCATATTGTATATTTTTTTCTCCTTTCGTTGTTTTTTGTTTTTATCGTATGTTTATCCTATTTCGTTTATTTTATTATTTACATTTAAAATCACGTGTTTCGTAGTTACGCCTTGTAATGTCCTGTGCATTCAGGCAATAGCCTAAATACTTTCTCTTGTGTTTTTCAATAATTAAAGTATGTGAATACTTTTGTACAGGCTGACTTTAGGGTTAGAGTCAATGTTGCGTCTGGGGTTCATTTCAGTTTTAGGTTTGGATTAGATAACGTTTTGGAAACAGACTTGAAGTTATGAAGTTTGTTGACCGCGCGGATGAAACATTAATGTGTTGTACATTCAAATTTGAGATATTTTAAGGAGATCTAGAGAACATCCGACATCTCATGTAAGCGGTTTCAATTCACCGAATTTTCAAAGGAAGGTTATTTCTTTCATCGAACGATTTCCCTGCAAATTAAATATACACATTAGTATCAGTATTGCAATCGACAAATTAAGCTCCGAGACTATATAGATCTATTACTTGTCTTCTCATTCTTTACTACCGATAACATGGATCTGCACGCAATTTTTTTTATTAAAGCTTCCTGATTTAATAGATTTTGTTCTCATAGATTCCGATGATCTTCATGTAGAAGAGATGAATGCAATATAAGTGCACTCAATGTGAGTCAGATGCCAATGCAAACCTTCCTCTAGTACTGGCGGCTGGCCCCATTTCATAAAACTTGTTATCAGTATCAAATGCCACGATTTCAGTAGCTTATAACAGTTTTTGTAGCTTGTTTTTTTATAACAAGTTTTATGAAACAAGGCTCTGTTCTGATATCTTAAGATAATAACCGTCGTTTATATAATCACAATGTTTGTGCTATAAAGTTAATCTCAATTTCATTGGGTAAAATAGAAAAAACATATAATTGCTGATGAGATTGTAAAATAATATCTTTTTATTTCCCATACAGGATAATTCCAATACGCTAAGCAGATCTTCGTGAGGCCATGCGGAAGAAGATCTTTTCATGACCCTCAGATCATCATGTTAGTGGAACAGACAATGTTACAGATGATGGTTGCTATGGTGATGACCTGTCTCATTCCTGCCGTGACCTACGCCGTCCAAGGTGCGTATAATGATATGAATAATTTGCATGTTAGGTACACTCCAAAAGCTCAAATGTTAACTAAACACGTTAACTTGCTTGATCTAACTTTAACAAATTGGTGGATCCAGCATGTTCAAAGTATAAACCTACATGACAGTTACTCTACGACTTAAGTCAACCCTGCTAAATTTCGATTTGACATTTCAGTTGTGTAGTAGCACATCTCACGATGAAAAATTGCCCTGCTCATAATACTGACGTAGTTACCATGGTTACTACGCAACTTTAATTTCATCATGGGCCAAGCTAAAGACCTGAGATAACTTTAACTTTAGACTAAATATTATGTGCTTCCAAAACATAAACTTCTAGCAATCACAGAATTCCCCCCTTGGTACTATTAGCACGAATGAGCAGAGGAAAAAAAAATTCCAAAGAAATCTATGAAAGTTGACAAAACGATGACTAAGAAGATGTCACGTAAAATTCGTTATAACTGGAATTCCTACACATTTCCAAGAAATATTGGTCTGAGTTGAGAAGTATTACCAAAAGTGATGTGCATAGCAGTTTGGGATTGGGGGGGGGGGCAAACATTCCAGGGGGCTCACCTTCCGAGGGCAGTGACGTAATGAGAAAAAACGTTCGGAAGGGGGGGGGGCAGACGAAAAATCTGCATCACCACCAGTCTTACACGTTACATGCAGGTCCCGCGGAACGTTTTTCAAAGTGAAGTATTAACGATCAGGTAGAGCGTAAATTGGCGTGGGGTCCAGCCTCGGCAGGGTGTCAAGGGGCTGAGCCCCCGGAAGCTCAGGGATTTTAGGTATTTAATTACGGTTAGATGAGCATCCAGGGGCCTCTTTAAGGCCATTGACGTGTTCCAGAGGGGGGGGGAGCCCCCAGAAGCTCAGAGGTTTTAATATTTAACTACGGTCAGATGAGCAACCAGGGGCCGCCCTAGGGCACTTGGTGGGGTCCAGGGGGCAGGGCCCCCGGAAGCTCAGGGGTTTTAGGTATTGAATAATGGTCAGATGAGTATCCAGGGGCCCGCCTTATAGGGCCCGTGGTGGGGTCCAGGGGGAAGAGCCCCGGAAGCTCAGGGGTTTTAGGTATTTAATAATGGTCAGATGAGCATCCAGGGGCCCGCCTTATAGGGCCCTTGGTGGGGTCCAGGGGGCAGAGCCCCCGGAAGCTCAGGGGTTTTAGGTATTTAACTACGGTCAGATGAGCAACCAGGGGCCGCCCTAGGGCACTTGGTGGGGTCCAGGGGGCAGGGCCCCCGGAAGCTCAGGGGTTTTAGGTATTGAATAATGGTCAGATGAGCATCCAGGGGCCCGCCTTATAGGGCCCTTGGTGGGGTCCAGGGGGCAGAGCCCCCGGAAGCTCAGGGGTTTTAGGTATTTAATAATGGTCAGATGAGCATCCAGGGGCCCGCCTTATAGGGCCCTTGGTGGGGTCCAGGGGGCAGAGCCCCCGGAAGCTCAGGGGTTTTAGGTATTTAATTACGGTCAGATGAGCATCCAGGGGCCCGCCTTAGAGCCCTTGGTGGGGTCCAGGGGGCAGAGCCCCCGGAAGCTCAGGGGTTTTAGGTATTTAATTACGGTCAGATGAGCATCCAGGGGCCCGCCTTAGGGCCCTTGGTGGGGTCCGGGGGCGGAGCACCCGTAAGCTCTGGGGTTTTAGGCATTTAATTACGGTCAGATGAGCATTTTTTATGCCTTATTTGTGACATTGGCAGGTCACTTATTTTTTCTCTCCGTCTTTCTTTCTTTTTCTCTTTAACATACTTTTTCAAAAAGTGAGGGGGGAGGGGCTCGAGCCCAGCCACTTTGCAGACCATGTCATAAAGGCTTCTAAATAAGCGTATTTTTCGCCCGACTGTAATTTGGGAATTTCTTATTTTCCAACAAACGCATAAAAAGGTATGACTTAAAAAAAAATGGAGAAAAAATACCGGAAAATCATGTCATAACAGCAACATGTGTAAATCACTGGTATCGTATAGATATACCCCCCCCCCCCCCATCAGTACGCCAGCGTTCAGGGGCTCATGTCTTCTCACCCCTATAACAAAACCAAAAAAACAGACACGTTTTCCCATTCTCGCACAATATGTCCACGATATGCGCGTATCGCTATTATAAACCGTATAGGTAGCATGCGCAATGTTTATAAAAATTTAATTCCTGTGAACTTTCCTTTTCTTTGAATGGAATGGTATATGTGCTTTAATTCAGGTTTTTATTATTGTTATGTTCTTTTGGGTTAAAAATACAAACCATGTTTATTCCTTTACTGCTTTTTTTTTTTTTTTTGGGAGGGGGGGGGGGCGTTTTGGGGGGGCAAAAATGCGTTTTGCCCCCCCACTTTTTTGACTGGGGGGGCAACTGCCCCCCCTGCCCCCCCACTTCCGGCGCCTAGGAGTGATCTTAAAGCCCCACTGTCCTACTTGTAGCTACTTGCTCCCTCTATGTAGAAAACTTCCCCAATCGGTGCCTGTTAGTCCCCCATGATCCTATATTTCTTGTTATTTATGTTATTTGAGAGCTGAGTTGATGAGATAGCCACCTGTCAGTGACCTCGCTGTGTGGTCTAATCCCTCCGAGCCACACTAGTGTTGATAAGCTTTAATACGGTCCCTCGGTCTTCCCTTATACAACGTGTTTGTTGAATTCCGATAAAACCTGGTCTTCGCATGACCACAGGCAAGAATGATTTACATGACAATTCTTTTCAGAAAGACAATTAATTCAGATCCTATAAACTGGTATTGATTGCGTTGCTCATCTTCTACTCTTCCTATTCTTCTTCATTTCTGTTTACGGATCTTGGCAGTATACATTTCATTGTATTGCCTTGAAAATGATGAAACTGTTTTCAAAAAGAAGAAATTTAATGCTAAATTTACAGAACAGGAAGAAGTACTTTGTCTTTCGTTAGTAAATCCATGATTATGACTACAGGCTATGAAAACTGATAAGTAGATGTCCAACTATCAAGAACAAAGAAACAAGAAACTAAGACAAAATGGGAAAAATCACGAATAGAATAGCTGTGACTTCCTGTGGTATGTTCCCAATTATTATCATACCAAGAAAGATAGGGGAGGGGGAGGGGAAAATCAATTGCCCCTTTCAGAAAAAAAAGAGAATTTGAAAATTCAACATTATATCATTTTCACTGTGAATGTTCTTTCAAAGACACCATACGAGAATGCCTTTACATGTAGTCATTTCAGTTTAATTGGTTTGGTTTGATGGTTTGTTTTACTTGACTGGTAAGAAAGCATGTGTAATCGTGTTAGTATGCAACCGGGGGACCGACTGCTCTAAGTCCTCTCCGAGGGACTTGGCAGTGAGGATTAATGCCTTATCAAAGGGCACTAGCAAATCGACTTGGTGTCGAACCCGGGACCTCTCGGTTACGAAACGCTCTACCACTGAGCCATCGCGTCTGATTTAAATTAGCTTTTTTTTAAATCTATCTTTTTTTAAAATAAATCTATTGTATTGGTTTCATGTTTCAATTTAATTCAATTCGATTCAAATAATTTCATTTCCAAAACTCAATCAAACCATGAAAAATTGTCTTTGTTATGTTTTATGAGGAAAAAATAGAAAGGGTACATAAATGTTATGATTTAAAAAAAAAAAGTTTTTATTCACTGGACTAATCTATTGCAATTCGTGTATAAAAAACAAAAGAGAAAAACAAATCTGAGAAGAATGGGAATAATGAAAATAGTTTTTCTTTTAAAAAGTAAGGAAATGGAAGCGTAATCTAAATGCCCCGAATAACGAATACATTAAATGCACAGCCACAGACGGTAAAGTTGAATAACATGAGAGATGCTACTTATGATTTTATCAAATTATAATTCAACCTGCGTTTAATGACAGTAAAAGTATGTCACTCACAAATACCGTTATTCTATGGATTATCGCATCAATAATGTTAATCTTTTTAAAATCATTGAACTTAGATGACATGCAGACGATGATAATACCAGCTGGTTTTCAAGAGAGGGCCATGTGTGGGGGAAACTGAGATGGATGTATGTCAGAAGTGGAACGAAATTGAGTGAAGTAAATCAATCGCGAGGCAGATGGAGAGAGGGAGAAAGAGAGCGAAAGAGAGAGAGAGAGAGAGAGAGAGAGAGGGAGGGAGAGAGAGATATATATAGATATAAGGGGCTTTTAGAGTTTGAAGGAGGGAGATGAGGGGGAGATAGAAAGACAAGAAGGGTGAGAAAAGGAAGACACAGAGAGAGCGAGGGGAGAAGGGGGCAAAGATTGTGGGAATTTAGAAAGAAGACATGAAGACAGAGGGATATAAAGAGGAGAGATGGTGGAGGGGGATAAGAGGGAGGAAGAGAGAGAGAGAGAGAGATAATGAGAGAGAAAAAGGGAGAGAGAGAGAGAGAGAGAGAGAGAGAGAGAGAGAGAGAGAGAGAGAGAGAGAGAGAGAGAGAAGAACCAGTAGAAAGCTGGTTTCGTGTTTATTTTCGGCCATGTTTCCGTTTGCCTTCGGCTTGACGAGAAAGTCGATAGCTACAATTCGCCACAGTGTCAAAGTTTAAATCCCTCATATACATGTACTTGCTTTCATCAACTTTCCGTACGATTTATTAAAAAAAGTATTCACAAATTGTTCAAGGGACTCACGTAAATTGGGCAATAATTATTTTAAAGTTGAAATATTCCAGTCAAATAAAACGGATCTTACATTAACAATCTTAAAAAAATGAAATTATATATGCCTACTTAGGATACTAGATTAGCGATGTATTCAGATCTACCCAAGATGTTTTACCGACATAATATAGACCTACATGAAATATCATCGAGTACGTGATTGTTATTCTTAATGAGGAAATCGTGATGTTTGTAACACGTTTTTTCTCTCTAAAAGTATTTAGGCACACATAAAGCTGACATTTTTAATCATCCTAATGTTTCATTATAATTAACCAATAGGACTCTAACTCACATTCAGCAGACGTACAGTAATGGATCAAACAGAGTAATGTATCCATTTAACTGAATTCCATGATGTATTCAAGCTCTTTTATTTTCAAATTAGACAGACTATTTCTCTGCCCTCTCTCTTCTCTTCCATCAGTTCAATCAGTGTGTCTGTATAATGTCTCTCCCTATCCTTATATCCCACTTATCTCTCTCTATCTCTCTCTCTCTCTCTCTTCCTCTCTCTCCTTTCTCATTCTCGCACTCTCCCCTCTCTCCATCTTTCTCTCTCTCTCTCTCGGTCTCCTCTATTTTTAGTTTATTTCTTTTTCTGTCGTTCTCACCCTTCCTCCATTTCTTTATTTCTTCTCTTCTACTCTCCTGACCATCTTCTTATTACCATTCTCCTTCGGATGACTTGTTCTATGACTTGTTCTTCTTCTCCTTCTTTTTCTTGCTGTTGTTCTTCTCCTCCTCCTTCTTTTCCCTTCTTTTCTTTTCTCCTTCTTCTCCTCATTTTCCTCCATCTCCTCTTTCTTTTTCTTCTTCTTCTCTTTCTTCTTCTTCTTCTTCTTCTTCTTTTTCTTCTTCTTCTTCTTCTTCTTCTTCTTTTTCTTCTTCTTCTCCTCCTCCTCCTCCTCCTCCTCCTCCTCCTCCTCCTCCTCCTCCTCCTCCTCCTCCTCAAACCGCCCTCCTTCATTCTCCTTCTCATCTTCTAACCGACCGGTATCTAGACCTCGTGGTTTGTAAGAGGCGTGTAAGAGTGATGGACCCACCCCCTCAGGTAGACATGTACTTTCTACAAAATACGGTCATTATGTGCGAATGCGTCCTAAACCTGCAAGCAATCCTCCAAAAATAGCTCCTACGTTTTGCATTGATTTTCCCTCCTTCCCACGCACTCATTTGCGAAGGATCAGCAGATGTTGTAGACTTTATTATTAAGTCAGGAGTTTCTTCAGCGGACGGTTGAATATCGTATTAATTTCAGAAGCATGACACTTTACCTTGAAGATTATTGTTTTTAATCTTCATTTCCCAGCTATTCGATGTCTCGGTTACGCTTACACATAATTCTGCATGATTTCTCCTTTGCACAAACTTGTTGATATTATCTGCATCTAGATATAAGAAGAAGAAAAACTTATTCATATTCATACACCAAAGAAAAATTAATATATTTTAGAGAGAAAAACATGTCATGTGTGATTGCCACCTACGTAACATATTACATCATCACCATCATCGCAAATAGACCAGTGGAAGACCTGAGGGGAAGGGAGCACTCCCGGTCCTCGCCTCCTTTTAAACCCAATTGCCCCTCCTTAGGACTCGCACATTCATTAATACAATATAAATTGCCCCCTTAATTGTGTAATTTATCCCAGTTGTTCATCCCCACTCTTTCATAAATCCTGGATCATCGCTCCAGCCCATTAAATCTTTATCCTAAAATTAAGATGAAGTTAACTTAAGTTTGTAGTAATTTGCCTCCCTAATTACTTATACAGGTCTGGTTATCATTGGAATTATATTTCCATTATTCGTCACTAGGGTAAAACAACGATGAGATATTTATCAATTTTAGACAACAATGTCAAAGGTTTTTTTGAAATGGTACGATGTTTATTTATTTATTCTCTGTTTATTTGCTTTCTTCTCAGTCGATTTCCCCAAAGTGCCGCATCGCCATCATAAAATACGCTCTTCATTGACCCATGATGAATCGGATGTCGACCCCCATCCATCAAGGATAATCGATGACGCGTTCGACAATGCCCACATCATCCCATTCAACGATAAAACAAGAGCGCCGTCTACGTCTGGACTGGATTCCCAACTTAAACACGGACTGGTAGAAAGACGAAGAAGAAGTCAACATAATCAACATTGGAATCAGAAAAATGACAAGAACAATCATGACAAAGGAAGGACTTTAAAATCCTTGAGGACGGAAAATAAATATGAGCACAAGCTTCTTAAAGATCATGGTAATTTTTCTGTTAAAAATTAGGGAGTAATTCTTTGTTGTTTTCTAAAGAGACAACGTAGCCATTTTTATTACATTGAAAAGCAAAACAAAAATTTTAATTTTTGTCCGTCAGAAAACGCAGGTAGGACCCTGACAACTATATCCGAAATAAAGGCAATCAAAAATATTTATTCAACACACGGCGTAAAGTATCCATTGATGTTATAAGATGATGGTGGGGGCATATTATTCGTGCTCATGCCCCTCTATGAAACACAGGTGGCATACCTTTAGTGCACATCAACATTGTGTAATTTATCAGGATTGTGAGCCCCTCGAATGTAACAAACCCTGGTTCCGCCACTAATCCAGGGCGAAATCGAATTCTTTAGATATGTTTTGGTTCATGGTCAGAAATTTGTCTTAAGATAAATAGTATTTTATTAAAAATTGATAACATAGGTGAGCCAAAGCTCATAATACATGATTCTTGTTTTTCTGTTGGTCAGTATTTTTGTCAGCACTTAAATATTCATACTTCCGTTTCCTTTTCAGAAAGGATTAATGAGAAAGAACATAAGAGGATAAAACTTGACGAAAATGGACACAATCGACGCATTTCCAACAAACATCTCGGTGGAACACCCGCTCATAAACCTTCTTATCAGAAAAGCACCGAGCTGATGACGTCATCAAAACGCAACGAGAGTGTTGCCGATATGAAGGTTCATCGTAACCGGGTCAAGCGGGATGGCCCAGCGGCTCCACTACCTCCCTCTCTTTCTTTACCCACCCACCAGCCGCCCCCTGGGATGGATGAAGAGCAGCCATGGAAAGGGGTGCCGCCCCCTCCACACTTCCCTTATATCAACCAAGTCCCACATGACAGTAAGACAAGGACACAAACTACCAGTAAGTTTAATCATGTACATCAACGATGATTATCTTTGTCATTTTTTCATCAATTATATTTGTAGGAATTACACTCTTAGCGAGCAAGAAATTATTCCCCCTCTCTCTCTCTCTCTCTCTCTCTCTCTCTCTCTTTCTCCCTCTCCCTCTCTCTCTTTTTTCTTCTCTCTCTCCCTCTTTCGCTCTCTCTCTATTTCCGTCTTCTATCTGTTTCTTTCTATTTCTTTCTGTCGCTCTCTCTCTCTCTCTTTCTATCTGTCTCCATCATTTTCTCTCTGTACCCCTCTCTCTCTCTTCTCGCATCTCCCCTTTTATGTTACACAATTTCACACAATAACATGTCATCATCAAAGTTTGCGCCAACGATATTTCTATATTTTCTTTTTTTTCTCAAACAATTAAAATGTCCGAATGCATAAAATTAGAGTCTTCGAATCAGCTGTCACTGTCTTTCTAGAAAACTTGGCAAGACAAGAAGCTTCATTTCATGTAAAATGTTATTAGTTTAATTGGGTGCTTTTGCTTTGCAGGGAAAGATATGAGTCGAAGAGCAAGACGAGAGATATGGGAAAGTTGCCCATGCATATAAAGGGCTGTGTCAATCAAATCATGGGATATATCTTGATGTAAGTAGAATTTGAACTCAAGAAGATATGGGTGAGAGGGTGGAAATGGTAAATAATTATATAACTAAGTTATTATAGAAATCCAAGAGAGAGAGAGAGAGAGGGGGAGAGGGTATGGGCAGATCAAGGGTAGAGAGAGAGAGGGGGAAGATTTAAGAACTTTTGATATATTTGTAGCTCTTTTTTCCTTCATAGGTTAAAGATAATGCACGATAATTCCAAAATTCTTTTTCCTTCAGGCATTATTGTTTTGGTTTTCTATGTATCATTTCGAGTTCAACGACACCTGCCCACAAGGTCCTAGCAGAATTTCATGATTTGAATGAACTAGTATTTTGTCATAAGAGTCCTAAGGATGTCGATCGACCGATACCGTAATAAACCTCTTTCAGCCTTTATAGATCCTACAGCCGTGACGCAGGAAAGAGATTTAATCTGAAGAAAATAAGAATTCACCCTCAGAAAAATATTCTCCACATCATTCTGACTAATGCTTAAAAGCGTTTCACGATAAATCCTGTCTCAACTACAAAACACAGTTTCAATTGGGTTGAAGAATCCTCTCATTGTATGAACAGTAGGTAGGGTCATCTTTTATTAGGTGATCCTTCCCCAAAAGAAATGCTGTTGGATGTTCGATTTGTTATCTGTCAGATTCTAAGGGCCATAAACTCAGCTTAATTCGTTTTTAACGAGCATGGAAACAAAAATAAGAGAGAGAAAGGGAACAAGTTGGGGTAGGTGAGATAGATTGAAAGAGAGGGGGAGATTGAGAGAGAGAGAGAGAGAGAGAGAGAGAGAGAGAGAGATAGAGAGAGAGAGAGAATGAATGAATGAGTGGAGAGAGATCTGGCTGTATCGAATACATATTCTATAAATGCATCAAAATGATTGTTACACAGTCCTTCAGGAGATCTACTTTTGATGTGAACATCCAAACACACCTTCCATTCTCTCCCACTCACTCACTCTCTTTCTCTCTCTCTCTCTCCCCCTCCCTCTTTATTTCTCTCTATTTCTCTTAATTCGTTTTTGACGAGCATGGAAACAAATAAAGGAGAGAGATTGAAAGAGAGGGGATTAAGAGAGAGAGAGAGAGAGAGAGAGAGAGAGGAGAGAGAGAGAGAGAGAGAGAGAGAGAGAGAATGGAGGGTGGTTTAGATGTTCACATCAAGAGTAGATCTCCTGACAGACTGAGTAACAATCATTTCGATGCATTTATAGAAAATTTATTTGATACAGCTAGATCTCTCTCCGCTCATTCTTTCTTTCTTTCATTCTCTCTCTCTCTCTCTCTCTGTGTGTCTATCTCTGTATCTGTCTCTCTCTCTCTCTCTCTCTCTGTCTATCTCTCTGTCTGCCTGTCTCTCTCTCTCTCTCTCCCTCTCTCTCTCTTTTTCTCTCTCTCTCTCTCTCTTTCGCTGTTTATGAGTATTATATTTATTGTGTGATATATGTATTGATACTTGTTTTGTTATTTATTATTGCTTTTTCAACAGCGGTGGAAACCAACATTTGTATTTTTAAAATTTAGACCCCAAAATAAAATCTGAATCGTAAGACAGCTTACTCTGAGATCAGGGAATTTTAAAGTTTTGTTAAAAAGCAAGACCCCTTTTAAAGTTGAATTTAAGGCCATAAATCTTAGATTTGGTAAAGATATCGATCCTTAACAGTTAATATTTTGTTCATTTATCAATAATGATTCTGCATGAAGTTTCGGCAATTGAAATGACATTTATCACAATGAGAGCTATACCTGTAGAGGAAAGTGATAAAAAGAACATCAGTTAGTTCTCTATTTTAAAATCTGAGAAAGTGAAAGGAGAAAAAGAGAGCACAAGAAGCCCCAAATAAAATCTCATCTGCAATTTTAAAGCTTGAGATTTTGAGTGGGAGACCGAGGTAGTGTTTACCCTCCCCCGTCTATGTGCTCTCTATTCATTCCCTGTCGTCATGATAAAACAAACCTAACAGACAATCTCTACTCTTTATAGCAGACCAATAAATGTTTGTTCTCTAGATGAAGGTAATAATCTTTCTTGTCTATCAAAGTACGTTAAGAGTGTAGTTGGAAGGGCAAGTCAATACACCGATCTGCTCGGAGCTGACTTTTGTAGTTTTTAATTTCCTGTGCGTCTTTGAATCGTTCTACCCGTGGGCGGGTTGGGGGCGCTGTTGTTTGTTGAAAGATCAGGCTGGAAACGCAAACACTGGACATATTATTAGCTGATTTTCGGGATATTCCAATCCCTATAGTACGTGGTCGAAAATAAGCAAATAGAGGATATGTTAGCTTAATTTAGGATATAATAGAAATTTGTCAAAAATATGTTTTTTGGTAAGATTGTTGAACTTTAGAATGCGTTCATGCTGATGTAACAGCTTTATAAATACACCATACATAATTATAGCGTATGATTTACGTCACCACATTCATCAAAATGGTTAAAGTCGCAATTTCATTTTCATAAGCTTGATTTAGAATGGTTTTTGACATGTTTGATGGTACGTCACAACTCATTCAAAGCTGTCATGCCTAATCTGAATATCAAGTTCTTTAATTTCATTTGTACATTTTAAAGAGTAATTTCAACAACAACTTCTTTGTTGTCTTACTTTTCATTTAAAAATAATGACCACTTCCAGGCTAAAGTGAATTTAGAAAACTGCTTATTGTTTTACTTTTACAACATAGTGATAATTTGTTCAGAAAAAGAGGTGCCGGATGAAAGAAATTTAAACCTTCTCTTAAACCACCCCTAATCAATGGCGTTACCTCAGTCATACCGGCAAAACCGATTCCAAAACTACAGATGTTTGTCCTTTAAGGGTAGTGTGCATTGTATAAAGACGCACGATAGCAGTAGTCGCTATAGTTGTTTTGTCTTCGGTTGTGTAGTCGATGTGACTAGGGGAGCCCTATACTTTGTATTTTGTCCACCGAATTAGGCAGATGACACCCCCCCCCTCTTCTAAATGTGAGGACATATACGTTCCGACACAGACCTGACTGACTCACTTAGATAATCATAAAGCTAGACATTTGTCTACACCCTCCCCTAGCAAATGGACTTGTTAATTTTCATTTTATCAACCGACTGAGGCCGATGCACCCCCACCCAAATGATACGAAAACCCAATAAGTGCCAGGACACGCTACGCCAGAGATTTCCTTGGACTATTAGATCTCTTCTTATTCTTCCTGATGAGCGAGCGCGATCAAAAAGTTGATTATTTTGTTCATTTTGAAAGTGATCGGCGTACGGTGAATTGCAGTTTTCACCCTTAAAGGCATCGTTTAACAATGTTAAATCTGAAATGCATAGAGTGAGATGTTATCCGTGTCTGTGATATGGTGTAATATTGAAGCCCTAAAAAAAAATGCACTTCAAAATTACCAAGAAGTGCTTCAAAAAAGTAAAAAATCTTTGAGTGACCGCTTTTACCATACTCATTTTTTCTAGTAGAATGTAGTGTAATAAAAACCGTTAAGAAAACGAAAAAAGAAATTTTGATTTCTAATTATAAATATCTTGATAATCAGACAGGCGATCGGCTTATACAAGTCATGGGGTTCCTAACTGACCTAAAGGTTTATAATTATGATTGCAGCATGAGCGAAATCCAGGATTTTGTTTCAGAATCGGAGGCAATGTTACCGAGTCACTTTAAGGTTAAATTATCCCGTCTGCTGAGAGGCAGAAGGGTATCTTCTCGCTCTGAACAAACGATCAGTCTGATAATTAGAATATAATATTATAGCTTAAATGTTGAACTAAACGCCAATCCGCCATTTTGTCTTACTAGGAATGCCTACAACATCTAGTACAAACCAATCTGGAGATGGAACTGGATCCGCTGTAAGTCATTTATATGGTGAGTCAAAGATCGGTATTTAGAAATTAATTTGTCGTGTTTCCATTGATCAAATTGATTGAATATAACAAACAAGATAACAATAAGAAAAATCATTCGAATTGTTTTGGAAGCAGAACTGTATAGGGCATAAATAAGTAATAACCAATAACGCGGACGTTAAATTATTCACGTGATTACGCACCTGGTATGAAACGTGTATCATTAATTTGAATGTCTTATTATTAGTTGAAGTGTATAGTCTTGTAGATCACAAATCTGACGTTTATTATGATGAGTAATATGCAATTATATATATGATACATAAGTGCAAAGTAATATTTTGCCTTTTTTACTGTATATTTTAACATTAAAGCTTAGCTGCATTATTCTGAAGGCCATGTTAAAAGAATTGCTATACATTTTGATAATTTTTTTTTATATCACCCTCATTTATTTCGCATCCTACACTACATTAGAATCTTTTTTATATTCATAAAATAAATCGATATTACTGTTGCCGCTTTTAACGCCGCGCAGTAATCTACCTGCAGATTCCAGGAAAATATAGTCGTCTTTCATGATACACTTTCCGCTAATTGTAATTACTTCGTCTGTTATTATTTTGTATTGATTTTATTCCCCTATGCTTATATGAAATTATCCTTTTGCTTTCTTTTATTTTACTTTTCCTTAGGAACAACTCATTGGACTTTGGCACTCCCTACTTTATTATCTCTTGCAATCCACGTTTTATTGTAATTACTGAGCATCAAAAGTAACATCTATTCCTGAAACAGACAATTTCGAGCGTATGTAATGTTCGGCTGGTAGAGAGGAGCGAGGATAATCACCAAACGCATGGCGTGGAAGAAAGAAATATATGAAGTCATTCCAGCTCCATCTTCAGAAGAAATCACATCTGGGCTTAGACTGACTATAAAGTATCGACATCTAACCCGCTGGAGATGCCTTGCCAGGTTCGAGTGACGATATATTGCCAGGCCGGGCAAGCCTTTATCCTCGAGGGATTGCTAGAAAGATGGATATAAACCTTTGTCTGTACTATGACTCTCCTGTACATCATTCTCTTCAGGTGAGGATGTGCATGGAGACGATTCGGGAATGATTGCACCTTCGCAAGATGGCCTATTTGTCATGTAATGCATCAATCATGGCGGAATTAACGGCGTCCAATCTGATCTCTGGGTTCAAGATGTTGTTAGTATCGAGTGAAAATGAGTACCTTTCGTTTTTAAGTTGTGCTACCCTTACACGATTATCCGAAAATAGATTGCATCTCTGGCCCCATCACCATGCCCGTGCTATAACAGCAAAATGACACGAATTCATGATGACCTTTTCCCGGGACCTTTTATTCCTGTCTGGCCTTTCGAAGAAATGTTTTTATCAGCATCAGCAACTGGACGGATCAACAAAAGGGGCGCTATTGCAGCTCTCATGTCATGCAACATGGTGTTTAATGCTGGAAGACAGTAAAGGCTTGATCAGAAAAGGAGGATACAATGTTTGTATATTATAGATTAAGTGAATCCCTTGGCATCTTTCTTTCCCACTCATGGCCGGACAACTGCAGACCTGGGACCATTATCCCTCTAGGTGATTGGCCTTGCAGTAAGCAGTCCTGAAGATAGTTGTCCAGGGATGGTGGTCCCGGAAGTGGTGGTCCTAGCTCTATGAATACGTATAGGAAGGGTCGATCCTTTCCACACATCCTTTACCCTTGAAGATATGAGCCTTTACACATACATATAGAAATCGCTTCAGCACACGATTTTTAATATCACTATCAGGACAAGAAATTTGTCAATGTTGTATTGTAAACTTTAATATATATTTGTATGTAGTAATTAATTTTGAAGAGAATATTTCAAGATCGTTTTCTTCTTTAAATACAGACGAGCGAAAATCCATTCTTGTAGGAGTCGTATCAGGCATCATGTTGTTTTGGAGTTGAATTCATTCAAGTTATTGTGGAGTCCACTCTAAAAGGAGTGGTTGAATGACTCTTTTAAGAGTGGATTTCACTAGTTTGATAGTGGATTTCTACTCTTGGGTCCCGTAACACTAAGCTTTACAATCAATTCCAGATTTGAAAAAAAAACGATTCTAATTGGTTAATGTTCACCCTTTTGAACGTTGTGTCCATGCAACAATGATCTTGATTGGACATTACCAATGATTACATAGTGTTACGGGGCAATGTAGTTGTATGTTTTATGTTATCACGGAATACGTTGTAACACAACTTTAAACAAGTGTTAGCATCTATCATCATTACACCTTGAAAATCCAATTATTGTGTAATTAATAGAGTTATGTTATGAATAATTCAACTCATTCAATGTCTGATGTGTAACAATAACATGGCTCATAATCAGGCACGTAGCCAGAGTTTGATGTTGGGGGGGGGGGGGCACATACATGTAATCGATCGAGGTTAAAAAAAGGGGTCTATAAAAATTCAACGATCTTGGACATTTTGGGGGAGCACGTGCCCCCCCCCCCCCGTGTCCCCCGTGGCTACGTGCCTGCTCATAATCAATTGGTGAAAGAAAATGATAATGAATATATGTTTTGTATTTCTGTAGGCCATTTCTCGTTTCTGAAACCCGCACAAAATGAGCACCATTGTATATTCTATCTATTTATTACTACATGTTTTGTACAAAACGCCTTGGTCACTAAACGTATTTCTGCTATACTGATGTTGTATACTGTATACCTAATACTTATAGTCATAATATACAGTTTATTTAAGCTGCATAATGTCTTTAGATAATGTTTTCCAAGCCAAAAAAGTTGCGGACTTTTAACAACTCCCCACAATAGAAAGATCCATTTTTAAACTCAACTTTCAATTGTTTTTGTATACATGATAGTACCTTGACCTATACATTAATATAATGTACTTGACTCAACCCTACGAGTCGGGTTTACTAGTGCCATAATTATAATCACACATTACAGACTCAGTTACTAACGGACTTATCAGCTCAGCCTTAACAACTGACATGACTGACTGATCATGAATTGCAACAAATACCCTCTCAATTATAAGAATAATTGAAATAGTATCAATACATTTACATATTCCAGCGTATTTTTTTTTTCCTTTGAATTCTCAATTTTATACAAATTAAACTTTTTCTTACATAGACGAATATAGTGACTATTTCTTTTCCGACCAAGAAATATAAATAACCTAGAAGTGAATTTAGTATAAAAATTCAAATTATTCTGGCCAAGTTAGAAGTTACTAACCCTTCATTTATACCTGCATGTGGTGACCACTGGTCAGGGAAGGAGAATCCATGTTGACCAAGGACCCACGAGGCCGAAAAAACAAACAATATATACCATTTGTTCTCGAGACCAATTTCCATTGTTCATTTTCTCTCACTTGTTTACTTTTTTTCTCTTTCGATGACGTACTGTATCATTGACTGACTGCCCATCACTGACCGACGTCCGGATTCCACCCTTTTCCAAACAAACTAGACAGAACGTAAGCACCAATGAAAGCCTTTGACTGTTTGAAAGGCAAAACCATAAACGTAGATCAATAGCATGTAGTGACAGTGGCAAAAATAGCAAATTCAAGCCCCCTTTGCAATCTTTGCCGATTTAACTTGGACTTAAACTCGCTGTAACTAATAAAACAACATGTATACCCCCCCCCCCCCACACTCCCACTATTACTATCGTATACAAATACCATACCAGACAAAGTTTACAAATTGGGCCAGCGTTTCGATTTGTGTCTGTTAATATCAGCCTTGGATTTGATTGTTAAAATCAAGATTTTCTCAAAAAAATTATAGCTAACATGGTATTGCAATGTCTTCTAAGAATAGCAAGCTTTTTATTCACTGCACTGAATTCACTTTCACACCCGATAACAATGAATTGCACTAAAACTTAAGATATACGTGACATGTAAACATAGAGGAATTATATATTAACAGTAGCTAGATAAAGCATGCTATACAAAGGATTTATATATCATGTTATTGCTGTTATGTAACATCCGAATACTATTCGGTTCCAAACGATTTTGTAATAATTTTTAGTTAAACATTGTCTATTTTTTCTCAACATATTCAGGCTACCTTATCCTAAAGGTACTATTTTAAAAACAAGTACAGACAGAACAGGCATTTTCATGGTTTTAGGCTGTTTAAGAGAAGTTAAAAGAAAAATACAAGCTTTAGGGTGGTTTTGCAGCATTTTCATCCAAAAGAATTTGTTTTATATATATACTTTAAAGATTCTTTGTTTTATTGAAAGTCAAAAAAGCAAAACAGAATTTTACGTTGAGGAGCTATTTTTGTATCTAGAAAAATCAACAGTAAATCAAAAGAGAATATATTTGTAATGTAGATTCGTTGTATCATCGTGAAACATGTCATTTGAAATCAAATATATAGCTACGTTAATTACATGTCGGTTGATTTGATATTTGTGTGTGTAATTCCTATAATAATGTAATTTGAAGATGTACATAAGTATGTATGAAAGCGCAACAGAAACCATATTTTTATGCCCGTTTAAATAATTATCACATTTTCTTATAACCACTGTTTGAAAGCTCATAACTGTCATCGCTTTCTTCATGACGACTGTCTATCATTTCGTCTTATTCAGTTAGTAAATACTAATTTTGCTGATATAATGAGTGCTTTTCTTGTTCAAAACCTCAAAGCAATATTATTTTGGTTTAATCACTATATTTAAACTAACATCTCGACACCTCCTTTTACCACTATAGCAATTAAGGTATTACACTTGAATATAGGATTCCATCAATTTTGTTTAAAATTTGTTTTTTTACTTTGAAAGAGTGTCGTTCTGTTCCGTTTAGATGATTCGTACGATGAACCCAAGGATGAAACCGTTTCGTAGAGATCAGTATATGAAATCTTGATTCTAGTGTAGCGCCCTCTTATTGAACTTGGTATAAGACCATTTCTTAACTCTTATCATGCCACGCAAATAATCTCCCTGTTGTGTTTTTCATTGGATAGATATATATAGCACAGGCATTAAGGTTACTTTACTGTTTTCTGTACAAAACGTTAATCTATACATGTGTTAAAGGGTTGTCATGGAGCTAATCAAGACCAGAAAAGGGTAATTTTGCAAATCCATTGTGTTGCACAAGCCACTAGCAATCAATATTGTTTTGTGCAAAACTGCATGTGTCGCAAACGAGCGACCTTACAGTAAACAGAAGAGAGTAACCGAAGTGTTAACCCGCAATGAATTACTTAGTCATTCAAATCACAATTTTAGTTCAAGTGCAGGGAGCCACGTATTTGCTAGGTTTTGGTGACGCTACGTTTATCACTATCCAGAGCACATTGTGGGTCATTCGGCTGATTCTCAATCCACAGGTTAGGGGTTCAAATCTAACCCGGTATCGTACACTCTAAAAACTGAAATGTTAAATCACCATTTAAAAGGGCCGAGGAGTGACCACTCTTTCAAAATGGTAGATTAACACTTTGAACATGCTGGATCCAACATTATAAAGGTTGAATCTAGCAGGTTAAAAGAAACAATCTGACATTTTGAAAGAGTGGTCACTCCTTGGCCCTTTTAAATTGATATTCAACATTTCAGTTTTTAGAGTGTATGGACAATGTATTTTGTATACTAGTGTGGGACCAAGATCAAATAAGTGATACTATGTAGTTAACTTCATAGTAGATAACTACTACTAATTATTTTTGAGTGCTTCGATAAATTATGTAAAAATCTGACTTTTTGATTAGCAATCTTTTACGTCACTAAACATGGCGAACCGAAATCTAAAAATACAATTAATTGTTGTCAAATTCAGATAATCATGAAACGTTAGTTTGATAGACTGTTTTTACTTAATTGCATTCTATATTTGGAGTTCAGATTTTATTTATAAACCTTTCTTAATGAGATATTGACAGTCATTATCGTGGAAGAGAATAAGGACGATTAATTCACGGAGTTATGCCCTTCTGCCTTTGTATAACGTATAACACATCAAGATTTCTTTGCATTCTCTATAAAATTATAATGTTGTTTATTTGAACAGAACGTAATAATTTTTCCTATTTTCTGTAAATATTATGTTTTTTCATTTATGTGCCAGTCTTACGTAGAATATCTCATCTATCTCATTACTGAATATGCATGCTTCTGTCACATGTTATTTTTGGAACATTAAAGGAAAATAGTTTAGACCGTTAAGGAATCTCTTAAACGCGGTGACGTAGGTATGAGGAAAACGGGGTACGTGCCCTTTCACCCTCAGTAGAATTAAGAAGAAATAAATAAATAAAAGAAATTAGAGAGAAAGAAAGAGGAAGGTGGAGGGAAAGGCATTGTGGAAAGAATATGATACAACCCCTTCCCACACCCCTCCCCTGACTTTATGGAATTCCATCCACATACTATTACCAGTGCCTCCCTCTCCCCTTGATGGCCAGACTCACACCATGCCACTGCGTGGATAGCATGAATCAATTACTATTCCGATAAAAAGCAGGTCTTATCAAGATGATTTTAATTCCTTATTTTGCACTGAAATTTATATATCTACTTTAATTTTCTATACATTTTTTTCTTATGTATAATTATAAGTTTGTAATTAGGATTTGTTCTTAACATGTGGTTTCTCTTTGTAATTATCTTCTTATATAAAGTTATTTCATTTAGATTTCATTAAGTGTATTTTGAAGAAAATAATTTCTATATATTTGAGTCTGAGTGCAACTTGATTGATGTGATATGTTTGTACAATTTGATAAATGTAACATATATACATGTACTCGAAATGCTGGTTATATTTTACGAGTAAAAAATGTTATGAATAAATGTGAATACTTTGACAAGCTTTTCGTTCATTCCTTTCTTAAATGACCATCAGGAATTCATAATTTTGCGCTTTCACCACGTAGGTAGTCCTGAAAAGGACTGTGGCGTTTTAAGGGATATAGACATCTCTAGATTGTTTCATGATCCCTTTTTATTCAGACTATGTTAATGCAGAGAATTTCATGAAATGTAGAAAAATACCCTTTTTTGACATAAAATGGCATCATCATTTTTGACCCAAACTATGAATTTTCAAAGAGGCTTATTTTCAAATCTGTTCATCTCTAGAAGGTGTATATGATCCCTGTTTAATCAAACCATGTAATTGTAGATAATTTTATGAAATGGACAAAAATGCCCCTTTTTGACAAAAACGGCAAGGGGTAAGCCCATCCGACTTTTGGCCAAAAATTATGGATTTGAAAAAGGCCCTTTTTCAAATCTTTTCATCTCTAGAAGGTGTATATGATCCCTGTTTAATCAAACAATGTTATTGTAGATAATTTCATGAAATGGACAAAAATTCCCCTTTTTGACAAAAACGGCAAGGAGGTAAGCCCTTTTCTTTTGGCCAAAAATTATGGATTTTCAAAAATGCCTATTTTCATATCTTTTCATCTCTAGAAGGTGTATATGATCAGTGTTTAATCAAACTATATTATTGCAGATGAAATTGAGTAAATGCCCCTTTGTCCTATGTTGTACTACTTGGTAATGTATAGATAGAAATAGATGACACACAGTCAACCTGATCGAAACATCGAGTCCCGATCCTCTCTTCACATACATAACCTGTATGTTTCACCAGTCCTTTTCACGACTCCTCTCACGAAAGAATACCTCTCTTAAAGAGGAAACCCACCCTGATATTAAGTTGGTTTTTATAAAAGCATTGCAAATTGGAGAAACATATTAGTGAAAATTGGATCCGATTTAAAATAGGAAAGTTATTAATTTTCGAAGTTGTCATCAGTGGAACACAAATTGGCAACAGCTAGTGTAACGTATCTTGCGAGCCCGTCTCCAATTTGCTCTGTACAGGAAATTTCACAAACTTCCATTTTCTTAATTATTGATGACGGAATATATTTGTGTCACACAGGGATTGTATAAAAACATAATCTGTTTAGGGTGAATGTATGATTGAAAATTTTCTTAAGGGAATATTTAATTTTTTGAAGTATTTTAGTACAAGACAAATGAGAAGGGACCTCGCAAGATACGTCATAGAGTTGCCAATTTTTGTTTGATTGATCGCACCTTCAAAAAATCATAAATTTCAAACTTTCACTGACCTGTTTCTTTCATTTTACTGCTTCTATTAAAACCAACTCAATATCAGGGTGAAATTCTCCTTTAATTTTCCTACCTCTATTCATACCATTCCAATAAGTCAGTAATCAAGTATAACAAATTATATAAACAAACGAACAAAAAATAACCCTTGGACAATTACCGGTCGGTTAACAGTACCCCCCCCCCCCCTACCGAATGGACTCGTATCCTAATTTGGGAGACAACACACAAGGTAATATATTTGTATTTTTATCTGGGATAGTTGTCCCGGGGCAATCAAAAGACGGTAAGGTTTTATTCAAAGTCTCAATTGCTCCTCTAAATATGGTTTCTATTTTTAGTAACTTTATAGGGCAACCGATAGTAGTTGTTTATGACTAAGAATAACACGATATTCGAAGATAGTTTCATTTTACGTCGTTTCGCTGTGTTAAATAATGAATGATATCAAAATTGATCTCCAATTTTAAGGAAGTTTATTGCAAACGAATCATCCACTGCTAGAAAGCAAGTGAAGCAACATACTCTACAATAAATACATACAAGATATTTGCCTAATGATACATGTAAGTTTACAAACATCTACAGTGGATGACAAAGATAATTTGGAAGAAGAATATCATTATGTATTATACATTTAATAAATAAAACATATACAAAGCATAATGTGAACGTCCACACTCTGAGTCCGCATGAGGCGTAAACCTATACGTTGTTAAAACAAAGTGTTAGGTGACTATTTAAAATACGAGCAAGTGACAGAGTTCTCATAAACAGTGTTAGAGTCACGATGTTACTCCTCATCCTTTAAAAAATAATTCAGTTTTGAGAGTGCAGAGTAATTATTTGGAAGAATAGATATAAATATATAATTTCAACATCCAAAGATGAAATGCGATATGAGGCCATTCATACAACAAGAATCTAGTTTCCCCCTGACAATTCCACTGACGCAAGGATACGGTTTATTATTTATGATGTACAGATTAGCAAAATAACGATTACCTTCATGATATAACCTCGACTACGAACAGTATTTATTTGTACAAATCATCTCTAAATTTATGTCCTGTTCTTTTAAAGCTTATGATATTTAAAAGCTAGGCTTCTACAGAAATTGTGGATCTAATAATAGATTCCATAAAAATTGACATAAACTTATATATTCTTAAACAAAAATTAATATAGAAGCCAAACGCTTGTCACTGGCAAGAGAGCTGTGGACCAAGGGTTTGCAAATATAATTAACTTTTTGAATTTCGTTTTGAATGTATGATGTTGAAGCTTCAACCTAACTGAGTATTTTAAAGTCAAGTTATTTATTCAAAAACAGTAATTTGATCTATTAGTAACATTTAATGTAACATAAAAACAAAGAGTAAAATGACGTTACAAAAATGAAGGAAAAAGATAAAGATTAGACAGGATGATCCATAAAAGATAAAAAGTTCATTTAAAATTGGGTCATATCAAACAGTCAGTAATGATTATTCCTTCAATAATTTTCTAAGATATAAAATAGTCACAGTAAACTTTCAAGAATATAAGCACAAACAAGATAAACTTCTAGATCTTTGAAAATGAAAGCATAAAATAATATCAATATAACGTTCCTTAAAGGGATCCGGTAACTTTGTCTCAGATTCTGAAACTAAATCCTGGATTTAGCTCATGCTGCAATGATAATTATAAACCTTTAGGTCAGTCAGGAACTCCATGACTTTTACAAGCCGATCGCCTGTCTGATTATCAAGATATTTATGATTGGAATTACAAATTTTGAAAAACGGTTTTCATAACACTACAGTCTATTGGGGAAAGCGAGTATGGTAAAACCGGTCACTCAAAGATTTTTAATTTTTTGAGGCACTTCTTGATCATTTTGAAGCGCAATTTTGTTAGGGCTTCAATATTACATCACATCACAGACACTGATAACACGTAGGGCCGTGCATCTCAGATTTAACATTGTTAAACAATGCATGCCTTTAAGAAATTTATCAATATGTGATCAATATCTATTTTTATTATAATAATTATGTCTGATTTGGTAATTTGACACAGCGTAGAGGCCAGGTTGAGGTAAGGTTAAAGATCGTATTAAAACTATTAGATATACAGAAGCAGTAGAAAATGTCAAATGGTTTCACATTGTTTAGGTATTTATACACAATTGAAATTACCAATTTATATTCCAAAGCGCAAAGGGGCCTGTACATGAGTGATGTGATATGTTTTGTTAAACAACTCATTCAGCAATCATGATATATTTTTAAACAATGAACGATATTTGGGGGACAAGGGCCTCCATTTTGAGAATACTTCTGTTTCGTTATTTTAGCCTCTATTTTATGACACCAAGCAAGGCAATCACAATCCAGTCATCATGCATACTATTCAACAATTTTAATTTATAAAATCTACACATGCCTAAGCGAAGACAGTTATTTAAATATCTGGCGAACTATCTGATGTACTTTACTTCTTAGCACCACTGATTGCTGGTTTACTCTCCACTTTGATAGGGATGTTTTGGTTCTTAGGTTTGGGAGGATTGCGAGGGGCTGAGATAGCCAGGATGCCATCTTGACCTAATGATGACGTCACAGTAGTGGGGTCGACATCGGGTGGGAGGGTGTAACGACGGGTGAACTCCCGGGAGATCTTCCCGTGGTCGTCCTGCTTCTCCATGTGTTTACCGTGCACGGTCAACTCGGATTCAACGATCTGAAAAGAGATTGAAAGGAAAGATGACTCGTTCGTCAAACATGAAATCTTAAAGTGGTGTAGAGGTGTCGTAGTCGAGTATTTTAATCACTTGACTAGAAATGCAAAGGTCATGGGTTCGAGCCCCGCTACGGCACTTAATATGTCCTTGAGCAACGCATTAAACTACATTGCTCCTCTCCACCTCACATTATCGTTATCATCATCATCATCATCATCATCATCATCATCATCATCATCATCATCATGGAAGGTGTTACATTGCAATATGACACAAAAAGAAAAAAAAAACCGTAATATTTGGGGAACTGTCTTCTGAATGACGTCTCTGAAACAATCATTACTATTGTCATTATAAATAACATTATCATCCTCATCATCATCCTCTTCCTCATCATCGACATTAAAAGTGTAACCATGCAATATAAGAAGAAATAAAAGCATATAAATGAACATGGAAACGGTTGGAAGTAATTTCTCGTGATGACTGTACGTATAGGAATGTGCAACCCCATGCAAGCCAGCAGGGAGTACGTACCAATTGAGTTATATATAGGTAGACGTTGGCGTAGCTACGGGGGCACGGGAGCAACCCCCCCCCCCCCATCGAATTGGGAAGAAGAAAGGAAAATGGAAAGGGGAGGAAAAGGATGAGAAAGGAACGCAGTAAGACCCTCTCCCCCTATACATCGGTGGCCATGTTAACTCCCATTTTATAAAAGCGATACCCCGCATGATATTAGTGCCCCTAAATGGCTGTGCCCACTAGTTACATTTATGATGTAACAATAGCATACATGTCTATACGCTAGAGTGTTGATACAATGAAGATTTTTGTTAAAAGCAAATTCTTATTATTTATAAAATTATTACTTACATGGCGAGCCCTAGTTATTAGGCTATGTTCCGACAACTTTAAGAAATGTGTAAATTCTATCAAGCAGTCAAGCTCAACAAAAATAATATCCTTTGAACATGTGAAATCTTCAGGACCTAAATGATTATATCCTTTCGATTGTAATTTAGTGAGTGGTATGCTGTATCTGTGACAAATGAATGAAGCATATTTATTCATAACGGCTGTATCATTTAAACTAAAGTTTAAAGTTCATTTCATCGTACAAGAGTTGTTATCGTATTTATTCTTTGTAATACGAAATTGTTCTTCTCATTTGTTTTGCATATTTTTAAAACCAAAATTTCTAAAGCTAAGAAAAGCTAAGAAAAAAATATCAAGCTTAATGGTTTAAACTAATTGCTTCTTATAACTAGATGTCATACCAAATGCATTTTGTAGATGGAAGTTTAAAATCCTTATCATTTCCTGATGCTTAACTACTCCCTTCAAAGTTTAAATGTGTTTCATTTCTCACGTATAGACAACCTTAATAGCAACCTCCAACTGAATGCGTTCATGACCTTGACTCTCTATAAACGTAGTATGTACATAGCTCACATGCATGGCGTCAACTTGGACGGTGATGAGTTTTGTCACCAACACGTTAAAAATAACAGTTAGTGTTTGCACAACACCTTCTCATTATACAATAGCAAAGCATTGACAGTGGGGCGTGAGAAGTTTGAAAGTGACTACTGTGGTAACTTCTGGAAGTTGGTTTTCTAAAATTGTCACTATTTTTTGGATTGGTTGATTTTTGTTTGATCGACGTCATAATAAAGAAGTGTGTAGAATAAGGATATGTTGTTGTTATGCAGGAAGTATTGTAATGTTTTTTTTTTAAAGCTGGGTAGTAGTCCCATATTTTTTTATTTCACCACTCTTTATATATTGCAAACAACAACATCGTATACAATTAATAGTTCAAATATATTAGTATATTATATTGCAGCCTACATCTTATTCTAGGGTTTATTCTTTTTCATGGGCAATATCCAATTAAAGCCTTTTTAAGCTTAGTTCGTCCCGTTTTCATTCTTTAATTGAAAAAATGGGTTGTAAGATAGAGAGTAAGTGTCATGGGCTGTTTGCATTCTAGAGCTCTTTGAACCTTCACTGTACAGTACATCTATCACCGGTACATTAAACTGAAAGGGCTTCATAGCTGTTTGGTAATGCGAAGAATCTAGACTCAGTGAGACCATGATCGGGACTGAGAGGAGATACTTGTGGGGAGAGGGAGTGGGGGAGGGGGCGGGTGTCATTACACTTGCTTAAAGAGATGGTTGAGTTCTGGGGAAAGGTGAAAAATAATTTGTGAGCGTTGTAATTGTTATTATGCAAGTTTAGAAGAACATCAGATAAAAAAATGTTCCCTCAAAAGCATGGCTCTTTAAATGCCTTACATTCTTATGCCACATTTTCGTGTAGTCCCAAGTACATAATTTTGTGTACAGTGCTTGTAACGGGACTTGTAACCTTACCAAAACTGGGCCAAATTTCTTTGTTATTATTTCGTCGATTCCAGAACCTTGCAGAAGTTACAGTACACACCAATACTTATATGCTAGATGATCAACGTTTTCTGATAGATTCCACAACGTTTCTTTAACAATGCGATCGCATGACCAGAACTCAACTTTATCTTTAAACCCGTCATTGTGAGCCCATCTCATTGTGATGTGAAAAAAATTACATATTAGAATTTCACCTTTTCGAGAACTCAACCTTCTTTTTATTGGAAAATGATGTATTACTTTAGTATTTTACCTTGATTTCGATGTCCTCTGGGTCAAAGTTACTGACGTCGACAGCGACTTTGAAGTCGGTATCGGTCATCATGACATCCCCCGTCGACACGGGAATGGGTGTCCTACCCATCCTCAGCGGAGGCATACTAGCGACCTCCATCCTCCTCGAAGGCACCATGGCGGTCGCAGTCGGCCTCGACGTCACGTAGTACTGCGATGATTGAGGGTGAGCAGGGAAGTCGCCCAAATCATCATCGAAGTGGACGACATCGCCGAAGCGTTGCTCCAGACCGAGTCGACTAGGCATTGGTTGTTGCTCCCATCCGCCATCGTCGGTGAAGCGACGTCGAGAACTGTAAGAATAATTGTAAGGATCTCGTTGATAGGCCATTCCAAAATTTTGATTATCGGGCTCCAGGTTGGCGAAAGAAGGAAGATAATAATACAGGGGCAGTATTACAATAATCCGAATGCAAGACACTGGTGAGACGTTGATAAAATGTTTAGAATACGTCCAAATTTGAATCAAAATAAGTCAGCTAAGGAGATGAGATTCTAGCTTCAAGTGAGAGTATAGTACAAGAAAAATATAATCAGGAAATGCATAGCATTTATCCAAACTGCAATAGAAAATTGCTGGTCGAAATATTGAGATGACTAGTACGTAACCAGCCTGTGAAGGCGAGAATGGGTGTGAGTAACACTGGTAGCTATAGTTGGAGCTGGTTTTATCCCCTCCTACCGTGCATTGGTATCTAGATCATCCAATGAATTCCATCCACCTGACGACCCGCATCAGATGCAGGCGATCATTCTAGAAGAGGGGCACCATGGTAGTACCATAGATGATAATACTTGTTATATAATCGAATGGTCTACAAGCAGACAATCGGGACTAAGTAAGTTGATTTTATATTGTTTGTCGAACAATGTACATGATGAAGTAAAAGAAGAAGGATGGGAAATGCATGAATTAAGAAAGATCATCACAATTCTAAAGCGTAATGGGAGAGAGAGAGAGAGAGAGAGAGAGAGAGAGAATGTCCCCAAATAAAACTATAGTAGAAAGGTGGAACATTAATAAAGAGGGGCAGAATACACTAATAATCAATACATGCATAATAATTATGTGGATGTAGGACATAAGCAAATCTAGTGCGTGTGAGAGATATAGAAAGAAGTGAGAGGAGGGAGAGAGCGATAGGGTGAGAGGGGATGGGTATGGAGAAGAGTGAGAGGGAGAGGGCGGGGAGAAGAAATTTATTTTGTAATACTACTCCTCCGCACACAGCTGTTGGCTGGTCTTATTCATCACAAGTGAGGCATTGAATGGATGGAATACAGACTAACCCCCTTGTGTCAGATTCCAGAAATCACTATTACATCCACCCAAGCCTGCTTTGAATACCTTCACGTCTTGATCAACATGAACTCCTCCCTGGTAGAAGGGTGTAATAGCCGGATGAGAGAGGCTCTCATATCTGATATAGAGGTATAACAAGAGCGTCTAATGGATGAGAGGGGCACTATAGGTTATCATAGGGGCGTAACATGGAAGAGACATGCACCTTTCTGTGGTATATAGGGTGTAAGAGGGGTGTCTTATAGATAAAATGGGCACTCCTATCTATAGTAAAGAGAGTTACTCCTCTGTCGTATACAGAGCCGGTACAACAAGGGTGTGTGATGGATGAAACGGACACTCCTTATTCTTGTACAGCAGTATAACATCATCGCTGAAAGGATTGGAAAGGCAAATTCAACCTTTACCTCATACTTTAGTAATATAGATATAAATGTTACAGCTTTACCGGCCCTAAATGGCATTCAGCCGGACAAGCCCCAGGATATTCCCGGAGATGAGAATGTTAGAGCGCACCAAACATTCCTTTCATTTCATTTCTCCATCCAGCCGATTATTCGTGATGGAATCCGAAAACGTGCTTGCAGCACCTAATCCACCATTTCATTCTATTGAACACATACTTAATCATGCAGAAGCACATACAATAACACCAATAACAAGTCGAATTTATAACGCAGTGCTACTATGTATAATTTACTCTACTGCACTTGAAATCAATTTAAAAAAAAGCATATTCTTTACCTATCAATTATGTTATTTATGCTTTTAACCCCCCTTCATTTTATTCATCATATTTGCCATAACGCACCAGAATTTGGTCTATTACGAATTTATCGCCAGTTCGCATTTCACGTAATGCATTCTGTTTTCCATCAGACTACCAATTACCGAGTAATATATTCTTTCTAGAATTCTTAATGCGGAGCTTGAGGAGTACGGATAGAGAGGGGGGGGGGTGAAAAAGGGTGTGTGAGAGAGAGGGAGAGGGAGAGATTGTGAGAAATAGAGAGAAAGAGAGAGAGAGAAAGAAAGAAAGAGAAAGAAAGAGAGAGAAGGAAAGAAAGAGAAAGAGAGAGAGAAAGAGAAAGAGAGAGAGAGAAAGAAAGAAAGAGAAAGAGAGAAAGAAAGAAAGAAAGAGAAAGAGAAAGAGAGAGAGAGAGAGAGAGATTATGGAGAAGATAGCGAGAGTGTCTGATTCTTAAGAGAAGTATACTACAGGATGATCGTATTTTACCCGCTTTTAATTTACATCTTCATAACTTGCAATCAAACGAAACGGTACTAAATAAAATATTAGATAGAAATAATAATGGAAATACTAATAAAATGCACCATAACCATGCATATTGATCACAAAGGAAGAATAGTCAAACCTTAAGAATAATCTCACCTCGTTTGATGCCTCCCAGTGAAATTACAAATAAAAGAAGTGACAGGAAAATTACATATTACTAATATTGTCCATGTAAACATTTATACTAAATCAGTTTAGACCAATTGACATTGTTAATATTAAATATATTTACAATCGATATGCTATATTATACTTCATAACTTAAGTAAGGACGAAATAACAAATGTTAACCGTGTTAACCTTGTTGTGCGCGATCTTCATCTACTGGGTGCAAGCCAAAAATTTTCTTTACAATTGAATATTCTTCTAGGAAGCCTAACATTAAAAATGTAAACCTTTTTGTAAGAAAAGAGAGATGCATCCTTGGCTTTACCCATCCAATGTGTGAAATGATAGGAGTGTCTACATGAATTAAATCGGTCTGTAAAGCTCCCTTGAGGCATAGCTTCTCGTCACATATCATTGCGCCGTATGTACTGTAATCTACATCAGATATGAATGTGGTTTTCCCGGTTTGGCGCGCGAATGTATATCGATATCTCGATGTGTACCCTCTTTCCGCGCCCCTCGTCTGCACTATGAGAGCCCAGCGAGCAGAACGAACGTCTGCGATGGAAAGTCGTGTTATGTTTCTAGCATCAAGAGTGCGACAGCGCTCGTTATTCATGTCGTCGTCGTCAAGTCGCCGTCATGTTAAGAAGGGGGTGCTTACAAAGGGTACCCGGTTTGTTGACGATTGGAGTTAAGTGGAGTTTTGAAAGGGTGCTAGTTGGTGCTTGTCTCAACATATCCTCATTGTCATGCTTAAGAAAGAAAGGAAAAAGCTATCATTTTGAAAGGTTTGCCTTGACTGAATATACATAAGATGCAGGACGCAATAAAGGGGCTATCAACAACACCAGAAGAATGACATAGCTTTTGCAAAACCCTGGAAAAAGTTTATTAGATATACACTACTTGCAAGTAAACTCTGAGGGAAATAAAAGTATACACAAATGGGCACTACATTTTGTAGGGTTTTTTAGTTTGATAAACAAATAAATACTTATTTTATTCTGACGATGACAGTAGCTCTATAGGACAGTGATCCTCGGAATTACTTGAGACGAAGTGCATGTATTCTCGCTGAGAAAATGACAAGTGATGAGTGAGGATATTGGAAGGAAATGAGTATAGGAAAGATACGAGGATTGGTAGGAAATAAGCGAGATGCGCGATCTGAAAAAATGAGCAAGCGAATAAGAAAAGAAGAAGTGGAAGCAATACGTAGAGTTCACGGGAGGGAGAGAAAGGGAGAAGAGAAGAAGAAGAGAGAGTTTGGGAGAGTTTGGAGAGTTTGGGAGAGTTTGGGATAGAGAGAGAGAGATAGAAGAGAGTGTGTGTGTGTGTGTGAGTGTGAGAGAGAGAGAGAGAGAGGAAGGAAGTGGACAGAGAGAGAGAGAGAGATGATGAGGAAGTGGATCGGGGGTGAGGGGTGGGGGCATTCAGAGAGACCAATGTCCCTATCGACAATGAATAATAATTATCATTTTCCAGGGGGATGTATACACTTGCCCATTGGTCATCATAATGATCCCTTTAAAATTTAGTTTGCGAACAGACAGAGTAGTCGGAAAGAAATTAATATTGCAAACACTCCACCCAAGAGATGGACTTAAATATCGTATTCCCTCGATACTCAAACTATATCATGATGAACAAACAAGCACAGGAAATATATTCAGTAAAGATTTGTGATAATACAAAAATATCACAGCAGCAGTTTGAGATTAAGATAGATGAACGACATAATTATACAGGGAAAATCCCATGTCTATTATGATCTTAAGTGAAGGAGGGCAGATGGCATTATCATTTTTTTCAAGGTTTGCGGATTATTCATTAACCTCGAGGGTGCAGAGGAAAAAATGAAGACGCCGTGAGAACGGAACGAAAGGGGTGGAGAAGGGAAAAAAGAACGAGAACGAGAGAGAGAGAGAGAGAGAGAGAGAGAGAGAGAGAGAGAGAGAGAAAGGAGATAAAGAAAAAGAAGAGGAAAGTGTAGAAAGTGAGAAAAAATTGACAGATAAGGAAATAAGGAAGGGTGGAATTTATTTCCAACGTTTACAAAACTTGTTGTTGACATGTTAGTAATACCTGCAGAGAATAGTTATTATGTGATTGATCTGATGTGCACAGCCAACTTACTTTCTCATTAACTATACACTTTCAATGTCTGCATCCAAGTCAGACTTTCCCTTCCTTTAAGTTCGCCAATAATCCCTCTTGCATTTAACGGTGATGAAGGGTAATCGATAAAAGCACATCTGGGACACGAATGCGTGCAAAGGAGAGCGGTAAGGAACAGTTTCAGTTGAGAATGATTATGTACATTTACGGGTAGTAGTAACGATGATGAGGAGGAGGAGGGGGAAGATGATGACGGTGACTATGATGGTTCCGCAGACGAAGATATTGAAAATAATGATGTTGATAATAATGATGGTGACGACGATGATGATGATGATGTTGTTGTTGGTGATGATAATGATGATGAAGATGATGATAATGATGACGATGATGATAATAATGAAGATAATATTGGTGATGATGATGATGATAATGAGGATGATGGTGATGATACTGACCACAATGACAATAACGCTGAAAACAGATAACGAAGGGAATAACAAGAAGCTGAAATACATCATACAACGCACATCTTAACCTACTAGTCTCAAAGCATCTTCCCTCATTCATGTAGGCTCACTTCAATTACAAGCCAACATGAGTTATCTATAATCTTTGCTCATCTTTGGTTCACCGAGCAAAGGGACTAAGGTCTCTGTCTACTTGAATAATGTATGCACCTTCCTGGCATTAAAGATGAGTAAACCATCTGGTCTCTTACGACCTACAACGACTAAAGTGATTAATCTCACAAAGCTATTAATGGAGCCTAATGTTCAAACACTGTTTAGATTAATTATAGTCATTTCATGGAGAATCGAGATGGGTGACCACGGAAAGCACCGCCTCCAAAGTAAGATTCCCACCAACCTGCACCTCATCTCGCCTCTTTTGCCCACCCCCCCCCCCATTTAGATGAATTGGATCAGGAGATGATTTCCTGGTCAGATTATAAGATTGAATGAAGACGTGTTGAAAGATTTTCTGACTTGCAGGTGAAAGTTCGCTGACGTTCCAGCGAACTACCCTCTTCTTTTCATGGTATACAGCGAGTACACCAGACTGTCGTTTCTGTGAGCACATTATATATTTATAATGTTGACATGCAGCTTTAATTTAGAATTTCTTAGCTACATAATTATGTCTATTTATTGATTTCCAAGCATACTTTGTTCATGTTATATTGTAAAACAGCATCTGAGGAACTAACACTTCAACAAGCTCTGCTAGAAGTTAGTTCCTCTTTTCTCGTGCTTTTTTTTACCCATTATATTTGTCGTTTCATTGCGTATTTTTTGTGATATTATTCTATAAAATCATTTGAATCATTAATTTTATGTCAGTGTTCAATAGTCTACGCTTACAATATTCCGCGTTGATGATGGTTTGCATTTGCCTGACTGCTGTAAGAAAGCATGTGTGTGCTTGTAATTAGGCAACCAGAGGACCGACCCCGGCTTATAGTCCTCTCCAAGGGACTTGTTAATGACGAGTAATGCCTTACCAAAGGGCACTAGCGCATGACTTGGTTTCGAACCTGGGACCTCGCGCTTACGAGACCGCTGCTCTATACCACTGAGCAACCGCGCCTCCTTTTGAGGAGCGTTAAAGCTTTTGAGCCTTCTGGGGGGGGGGGTCTAAAAATAAACATTTTGGTGTAGAATATCTTTGTATTTCTATATGAAAAACAGCTATGAAATCTCCGCAATTATTTATAATCGAAAGGAAAAATACCAACTTCGTCACCTAAGAGAACAACTTTGATTTTCAAATAGAAAGTAGTAGGCTCTGATATACTCTTTATAGTTCTATTTTGGCTACCCAGTACCGTTCTAAAGAACAGTACTGTCAATATTGAACAGCACAGCGATACCTCGTATAAAGCCTCGGGTAGTACGGGTAATACATCTAAGTGCCTCGATCGTTTTCAAGTGTTTGAGATCATGTCTCTATCTAAGGGAGATTGCGAGCTATGATAAGACTTCGAAGAAATTGGCAATATATCTTCATCTCGGTACTTTAACAAGACGTGTGTGTTAGAGGAGCTTTATTTCTATTGATGTGGGAAGTCCTTCAAAAATCCTTCAAAAATAAAATAAATAAATAATTTGATAAAAATGCATGTCCGAATATCATCCGTCATTATAATTCTAAGATTTCCAACACAATAACCTTCAGATTATTCTGTAACTTCTTGCATTTTGTATCACACAACCGTCGAAAACAATATTATTATTAAGTCCAAAAAAAAGAAAAGAAATGTGTGTACACAAATTATGAAGAAATGGTTACGATTAGGGACAATGAATATGAAATAAATATATTTGAATAACTTTTGGTCAATTTTGTTTATAGATTCTTAGCTATATCATAGTTTTTTCTTGTTCATGCTCATAATAAGTCAATATATTTAGGTTCTTTCTTAGTCCTCAATCAAGTTGACTGAAATCGTTTCTATTTACCCGTTTTGCCCACCTCAAGCAAGGAAAAAAATAACTCTCCAAATTATGAGTTTTATTCTTCATATTGGAAAACATGAAACAATAATTACTATGCATAATATTCAGCTTTTAGAATAGTTTCTTTTTTCAGATCAAGACGTTGATGGGCGATTATTGAGGTTAATATACTTTTACAGATATCACTTTGGAAAATATATGCACGTTCTGCTTCAGTTAGGTTTTCCAATAGGTTGAAATCGTGTTTATTAGAAGTTCATGACGGCTATAATTTTCTACTTTACGTTTAAAATAGATATGAGAAGGATTGGTAAATACTACATCGTGTGTTGTAGAGCTTCTCCTCAAAATGGCTATTCTTTTCATTTTGAGAAGAGCTTACTCTCCGTTGCTAAACAATTAACCTGCGTCAATGAAGGTATCTATTTTTTATTTTCCATCTTAAATATTACAAAAGAAGGTCAGTTCACAATAAATAGATATGATGCAAACAATCTATTCAAATGAGATTGATTTTCCCTGGATACTAAAAAGAAATGATTAGTGGGTAGTTCATATGGAAAAAGCAATGAAGAATTAAGACAAATCAGTATCTATATTTTGATCTAGTATACAATTGGAACGCACGTGATTGTTAACTTACCTACTGTGTTTAGTAATCACTTTCCTTTCCATATTGTATCCACGTCCGTTGGAGAGACTTGAGACAGAAAATAATTAGCGCAAGTTTGTTCAAAATGAGGTCAAGTTAGCAATTCCTGCGAGAGGTTCGAGATAATGATTTCGAGAAAATCGGTCAAGAGTGCGGATGCGACGAACGTACGTGTGTATCTAACGTGCGTGTGTATCAAACAGGCAAAATGCAGACGATAGAATGTTCTTTACACGCAGAGGGGTGGCGACGTTTGGCGGGAATGTGCAACCTGTTACAACTATGGTGGAAAGTAGACGAAAAAGGGTCCCACTGCTAAAATCGCACCGTGCATTTAGTCACTAGTCGAAAGCAGCCAAACTTCGTGGTATTTATATGATGCCACGTTCCTTCGCTTTATTTCAAAAAAGTATTTAAAACAATAATTATTGGAACTTTCCAGAAGTGGACGATGATATTCAACCTTCAAGTTTCAATTTTTTATCTTTCTGTATTCTTGTTCATAGTCAAAGAAAAACAGAGTTGGAATAGTAGGTTTCTCATGTCGGGTGGGTGGATGTATGGCCATATGATTGTTTTTATAGCGCAAGGGCTTGTAATATTTTCTTTGTCTTGCAGCCTCTATTATGTTCTCCTTCTATTCAGCTATACTGGTTGCTGTATTCAATTCCAATGACAGAATACAATTACGGCGTATTCTTAAAGGTACAGTGGGTGGTTATTGGTGTGAAGTTCGAATGTTATCTTGATTTCAGGGTTATGTATCTCAGAAACTATCAAGTTGCTTGTTGCCTTGGTGATCGAGCTCAATGACAAACTTTCATCGAACTCATTTGTTGCCAATGTTGCCATGGTTACTTCTAGAAGTTTCCACGAAGAACAAAATTGGAAGACAAGGCAAGGTGCATGATCGTGCATCAATATCAGTTTGAATTAACCTAACTAGAATAACTATAAGAAAAAGCTAGGACTCAATGATCAATACCGAATAGATTATTAACTCTCAAACTATAGAACACAATTTGGAGAACAACAGTGCTTTCAACATTAATTTGTCTTTTGTCACCTCATCAAGTAAATCTTTTTGGGGTGCGCAAGAAGTAAAATGCACAATGCATATATTATTAATGTAAATCTTCTTTCCCCATCGCAGCATCCCACATTCAACAAACATTGTTTAAATTAGAACGTGTTGAATGTGTCAATATTTCGATTTGCATTGCAGTGCCAACTCATAACTACCATTATTATGAGATGATTAAAATTTAACCATTGATTTAAATGTATCTACTAGCCATTGAAAACACAATTTGTGACATTTTCTTGAGTCGACTAGTGGTAAGACATTACAATGTACTCCTGTTCTAGTATATACGAACATGATTATTTTCACATTGATCTCTTGTTCATTTGTGAATTTTCTCACTGATTGTCAAGATATCTCACTGACTATGTGAATTCAAAATAAGACAAATACAGGTCGTCTGTTCAGAGCCAGGAGGACGTTAACTCTGTGGTAAAGTATGTGACTTAATGCCTTTTTGGCTCTAAACAGACGGCCTATATGAAATACATTACACCCTGAAACACATAAAGCCGTGAACGTAATATCAATACCATGTTTGATGTTGATTAAACTGCATACCATACTGACCGGTGGAGAAATTGTAACACTTACACACAGTGTCAAACTTCATTAGAGTCAGATCAGATAGTTCCATTTTTAACAACTTCGTATTTTCTTTACCAATCACCATAGAAACGTCGTGTTGTATATAGTATCAAATCTTATGACCGTCTAGGTGAGAAAAAACAACGATTTGAAGGCGGGTTTGAAGGTCAGTGTAGCATGACGTCACAATGAATGCGGTCACTCTCTTTTGTCATCATTGATAACTCTAGGTCTGCCTCATATTTTCCAGTAACGAAATCGGGTGGTACATTGCGCGTGTAAATTCACCCTAAACTGCTTGAAATTTGTTAGATATAAGACCCTTTAAAAATAAACTTATCAAGTTTTCATGGGTTCCTCAGTCAAGATTATTATAATCTCTTCATTCTTTATTCATGTTTTCCCTAAGCTGCAGATTATTTTGCATGGTGACTGAAATAAAATGGAATCAAAGATATGTTCGCCATTTATATATCTTTGTTTTCTGGGCGTGTCAGTGTTGAAAACGTGGGGTATTCATGGGAAATACCCATTATCCCAAAATGTATTTGCAGCAAAACTAGAGATTGACACACTATGGGTGTTTTTTGTGTTGAAGCCTGAAGTCAGACTGTTGTTCTTCAATTTATTTTATTTCATTACTTATCCATCACGTTTTTTTTCACCGGTACATATTGGATTGTTCTCAGTTCCTTTTGAAAATCATGTTCATACAATAGTTATTTTATACCATAAGGCTGTACAGCACATTAGAATCACGTAATTTCTCACAACTCATACACGCCTGCCCTTCTATCCTTGTTTTTTGGTTTAAAAAAATAAGAAAAAAGGAAAAATGTATACGACTAGCTGACAGTTAGCTTTTTAAAGGTGACCTATGTTTGATTTGTACATACGCTTTGAATTGCCTTCAAGCGACATGCTCAAATCAAAGAATGATCCAGATTTCAAAATCTTCAATTTCAACTCAATAATTTGTCACGTTGTTGAGGTATTTATAAACATGTGATGATTTCCTATTGACGTACATGTCCTTCGAAACTTCCTGAGCAATGTTAAAATGTTTCTAACTATGCATGAAAACTGATGAATAAAGACGTTTCAGGATGATATTTCGAAGACAATTTTCTTGAAGATCAATTGACATTATCTTGAAAATCTAAGTTTGGTGTAAGTATGTCTAACTTTGAAAGGTGAATAAATACGTCACGGGATGTTATTTCGAAGACAATTTTCTTGATGATCAATTGACATTATCTTGAAAATCTAAGTTTTATGTAAGTATGTCTACCTTTAATGTATGAAGATTGCAGGAAACAAAAACATTGTAAAGTAGTAATTCTCTTTATTTCTTCATGAACAACATAATGCATCCTTTTGCTCTGTGTTAAATACGTATATACACATACATTTAGTACATTTAATAAATCTCTCGGTGAAAGAGCAGCATTTTCTACTTAGCAACTGACCCTCAAGCTATTGCACCATGCATTGAAAATCAAACTCGGATCAATGAACAATAAACAAAGCAGAGTGGAACCAAACATTACAAACCAACTCATTTCACTCTTTTTAGGTTTCAAATAATTAGTAAATTGTTAATTCATTATTTTGTTTTAGATCTGTTGTTATCTATTTCTTGAAGAAAAACCCTCTATTGCTTCAAGAATTTATCACCCGCAACTTGTTACGTCTGTAAAATATATTACATTCTGATAGAAAACAATCCATGTTTTTACATTTTACCATGCAAAGAAGTAATAATCTACACAGACATTGAAATCATTTGAGCTGAAAAGTATATAAAATGCATCAGAAAAGAAAAAGCCGCGTACTCTACTACAGGGATGAAGGTGATGATATCCTGTCTTAACCTCTATTTTCATCATAATTATTACATAAGAATATATATACAATACAATACTACTAATATGATTCACTGACGGATATTAATAATGCTGGAAAGAAACACACGAAAATATAAATAAAGAAGTTTATGAAAAAAAAAAAAAATAATGGTTGGTTAGTCAAATCATAAAATCAAATGAAGAATTGATAAAAAATTAAAAGATCAAAATAATTGTATAAAAGTTTTAAGACGATATTAATCATTTGATAAGCTGGAAACAAAAATACTTTCAACAGCAGCTGAGATCTGTATTTGCTTTCAATATGTCATTTCAGATGTTGTGACTACAAAAGTCACAAACTAAAAAATCATAAATCTATATGCCAGGTCGAAGTTACAATTTGCACTTGAGCAGATAAAGATCATTAATTATGTTGGAAAACTGTAAAAACCCACAAAGAGAAAATACTGGATACATGATCATGACATATTTGTAATTATAATTAACTCATGTATCAACAGTAGGCTACACTCCATGATACAAAGGTGGGAATATAATTTTCAAGAGGAGATATAAAAGCTAACCATGTAGCTCCTATATCACTTTAAGAGTGATTACGCTAAAATGCTGAAGCAGGATTTCTCCATTGTTTAAAAAATGAGTGGAAATTTGGGATCATTTGTACCAACTGCTAACTACAAATTATTTTGTCTATTTGAGGAATGCTTGGGTTGATAACTATCAAGACCAGGGTTTACAGTCGGCTGCGCATTTTCTGTAATTTATCTTTTTTCATAGAAAAATATTTGTGTTTGTATGCATCTTATTTAATGTACTTACAAATTTATAATTATGTATAATAAAGAAATAATTGTTACTTTATGTATATGATTATGTTCTATTTTGAAAGCGCAGAATTAAAACAAACAAACAACATCAAGATGTTACTTGAGATAGTGAAATTGACAAATGATAATACTCATCAGGGTCAATTTCAAACTGTAATATAATCATAATCTAAACAGATTTCTAAAGTTAAAGTTACTTTGTAATTTGGCAACTCTAAGTCTAAGATTAACTGTCAGAACATTCTAAACTTTTTGAGTTGTATAACTTGTCTTAGTTGACATTAGTATTACCAGTATGTATCAAATCAATATATCATATAAACAAAATAAAGATTTCAGATTGCATGAAAACCTTTACAGACTGTCATCAAATAATATAAACAAATAGTGAATAAATAACAAGGTAAATACAAATAAAGGTGATACAAAAATCCTTGACCCATCCTAAAATATTACTATCTGTGATCAATATTCATATAGTATTGGATGGCTTTGAGTGTGATACAAGAATATATATATATAAAGAGGTTCACGATTCTAGTACAATTAATTTGTTCACGGTCTGATACCTGAACTTCAACTAAAGTAGAAAGGAGAGGGAGGGGGGGGGGGGGCATTCAAGTAATGTCTTAATACATCTTAAATGCCTGATAAAAATGTCTGTAAAGTAATGATGAACTCATCAATGGCACCGAGCAGGCTTATAAGAAGATGTACAAATCTAATATTACCATTTACCAGCTAAAGGCATTTTTATGCTAACAACATTCTGTTTAGCTAAACAGCGCAAAATGCTTACATCCATCTGATAGCCACACAACGAAATGCTTATATAAGAAAAATAGATGTGAAAAAGAAATATTAATACAAAACTCTATTATACAGTACCATGTGTAATGTAGATTGTACTACATATTTATTACAGAAGGGGAGATTAGACACATCTTCTCAGAGTCAGATGGTCATCAAGTCGTATAATTTAGCAGAGTTGACACCTTTCTGATGAATTACACAATTAGAAAGTGATTAATGATACATTTGATGTGGTCTGTGATGTCATGAATGCCACGCCCACTACCTGCCTTGGTTTGTACCAAGACAATCCAACCAAACTAAGACACACATATACATATAGCACAACAGGCATGATTATGAAACTATGCCACATGATCCATGGGACATGAAACTCCAAAAAATTTAGATTCACAAAAAAGTTTTTCATAATATATCTGGAGAACAGATGTAAAATGTTATCGTTCTCACGAATGCAAGTAGAAATCTTGTTCCAGGAGAGTGTAGTTTGAAATACATGTATATCTGATTTTGACAACTAAACACAGAAACAAACAAAATGCATGCATTCAGATGAGATAAAACTTCCAAAAATGGTAAAACAGGAGGAAATATGGTAAAACAAGAGGAAATATTCAAATAAAGTACTATTTACCTTAGTACTATATTACTACTGCATATAAATCTCGAACCCTGCAAATAATTTCTTCACAATGAACACAAAGAAAAATATACACCTGAAAATGCAACTTACGAGAAGAGCTTGACAAAACAGAAACTACTGGATTTCACTGCATATATAAGTAATCCCTTTTTTGAAATAGTTACAAATTATCAAATTACACAACCTATGAATACCTTTATGATTTTGTATGCACCATATAGTCTTAATATAAATTTCATAAAAACAAAGAGAGAGAAGGGTATCTTGAAATGAAAACATTTTGATCACACACACAGACAACATTTAGACGGATAAAACGAAGCGAAAAAAAAGTACATTATTACATCAGTCAATTTAAATATTTAAACTATTCATAATTTGTTGCAGCATCGATATCAATCCTTAAAAAGACCAAAATTATTTAATTAACACGTATATCATCAACACAATGACCCCGTTCTCATTACAAGAAATCCAGTACGCTAGGTCACGCTTTCTCTGAAGTGAGAACAGAGAGATTATTTTTGGTCTAAAACAGCAGGCCTAGCAGACCTCTTCCCTTAATTATGAAATGAAAAACATATCATGGCTCCTTTATAACAATTCCATACCTTAGTTCTCTTAGCTATTAAATAAAATAAATATGTATGTGTGGGGATATATATAAACGGATTTTCTTTAGTTTTTCAGCGACATTTTGCTGCAATATTGTTCCATGCAAGAGGTTTTAATCATAGTTGTGATTGGGATCTTTAAACCACTTCACATGTAATTAATGCATATTTCAATGTACAGGTTTATTAGTAATAATCATAAGGCTTTCCAGAGACTTGCCCAGCATGGCAACAACTAATGTATACAACCTGCATTCGGACTATTGAAATGCAATCACTTGAACAAGTGAATGCAATCGTTTATCATGGTCTTCGTCTAGATGAGTGCATAACTTTGGATACCTTTGTGAACTGGTATGACCTTTGACCTTCCTTGGAGACGCAATCCCTCTTTGCACATAAGTTTGTGATCTCTTTTAATACACAAAGCGTTCCACTGTAGAGATGTTTACACACAGGGAAATCATTGTCTTCAGGCATCATTCCATTTCATCAGTTCCCAATAAGTTCTGTTTCATCGTCTGTATCAGAGACGGGGCCACGCACCTCAGAGTACCAACGATTGGTCAACTGTCGCATCTGGAACCGCCCATCAGTGATTTCCTGTAGAATGAAGTTCATATTAACACACATTAATGATGATTCCATTTAAAGAAAATACGTGGTGTACTGCAGTCAATATTGCATTGCGACTACTGGTACTATTTCAAGTCTTTTTCTTTGGTTGATTAGTATACAAATGATGCATGCGCATGAGTTCATTATACGATCTATCCGCACTCGAGTTGAGGCTGTGTATTTATCGCACGAAGCCGTTAGGCTGAGTGTGATAGATACACACAGCATAAACGAGGGCGGATAGATCGTATAATAAACAAATGAAAACATGCATCATTTGTTTTATACAACGAAACTCCTAGATCCTTGTTATTTGATGTAAAAAGAATTAATTCAAGATTGTTTCGTGACAGTATATGGCTGACAAATAAATCTCAAGTTTTTATAAGTCTCAATTTAGTGCGCACACATAAGTATAGATATAGCAAGCGCACTTACCTCTGAACCAATTTACGCATAATGCTGCGCAAGAATAGGCCCATGCACACGCATTATTAGGCACTCTCACCTCTACGGGCACTACTGCGCGCTCTGAAAACGAGTTCAATAGTACTGGTAAATATTGCACTCCTTTTCATGAAAACGAGTGCAATAGGCTCAGCAAATGAATCACACGTGACCGCGCATGACAAATCATTTGATTAGGATCTGGGAGTGAGTTGTATAATACATCATAGATGTTGTTGCCCACAAAGCGGTAAAGTCAAAACAGAGTGAAACATAGCTGTTGCCATGTAATATTTGCAGCTATTTGTCCAAAGCTCAAAAGTCAGATATTGCATTTTGATATACTTTTCAAGTTGATGATCATTTGTATCGAACGGCAATGAAATAATTTGGAAAGAACAATTCAGCACTTGTTACATCTAAAGGAAATACGATTCTGCCAAACATCATGAGAGGAAAAATCATGTTTTAATGAATATACCTTATTAGTGAGTCTCCTAGTAAAGAATGGTGTTAAGTACTTGGTGTCCCATCTCAGGAAGCCTTTGAGACCTGGTCTGATGTAATTCACTTCATATTCTTCTTCAGTTAGCTCAGAGAGATGTTCAGCATCTAATGCACTGCCCTATTGGGTGATAATAACAATGTTATAGTGACAGTCTGGAGTCTAGATGCACTTTATCTTTAAAAAAAACACCCTATCTATTACTGCCTTTCACAACGACTAAAGTGATTGTTGAACTGACAATTTTTCTGTTAAGTAAAGAATATCATAATTTCTTCTTTCCTACTATCGATCTTAAATTTTAAAACAAATTCTTTTCCAGCATTTTTCTCTATTATTTTTGTTGTTCTCTTTACCAATTCACAAAATTTTGAACATTTTCAAGAGTTAAAAATTAAGTACTTTATTCAAAATCCTCTAATCATGTAAAAAAAAAAAAACACTTCTAGTGACAGCTAATGACCGGTAGAAAAAACAGCAGCTCTAAGGATTCATTCATTCATTTTTAATAAGGTAGGCAAGCTTTCAACTGGTAAATTGCAGTATTTAAAAATTTAAAAAAATTTGTCAATTACTACCTCAGTCAACTTGCTTTAGAAGTTATCTATCTTTCGTTTAAAATAAATGAGGTTGATTGTAGCATTACTACTTTTTCATCTTGATTTATGTCAGATTGATAAAAATCTGAACTTACCATCTCTTCTGTTTTGCTGAGTGAGATTTCCTTCTTAGATTTTCCGTTATCTGCTCCAATACACTGCAACAAAATAAATAAAGGTCTAAACAATCATCCATTCAAAACAAGATAGACATGAGACCATACCTCAATGGATGAAATAATTCATGAATGCTGAATTGATGAAAGATTGTAATTTACAATTCTGAAGGTGATATAAGTGTATTATCTTAATTTATAAGTACACAAGACTATTGAAATGACTTTACGTTAATACTTCTCAGCTTAAAAAAATAACACAGGTTCAGACAGCAAGCCAAGTTTACTTCCTCTTGGAGTAAACAGGATCATCATTTTTTTTAACAGTTACATCTTTTACTCTCTTAACAGATTAAATTAACTCCTTCAATGCTACCAATTTAAAAAAAAATAAGTGAACTGTTTTTTTAAAGAATTAATTTTGATCTTGTAATGTTTGTTTCATTGTTGTAAGAAGTGTATCAATGAGATTATGTTGAATATCAGGCAGCTTTCATTTAGGACAGGATGGAGCTGCTCCTCCTAACCCTTATAGAGAGGGCAAGCCCAAAGCCCTCCAACATAAGGGACTATATGTACATTTTAACATCCTATCCAAGGGATATGGAAACCAAAACCAGCTTACCTTTAAGAGTGGTAGAGTTGATCCTCCAAACCCTATGACAGTGAATAAGACTATAACCAGCGTGGTGGTGACGAGAACATGTCTGGTGTCATTACCAAACTCTAGATGCATGCTGAGTGCATATGCAATGGCTCCTCTTAGACCTGTGTGAGAAAAAATAAAAATAAAGGAGTGATAAAAAGTGATTTGACTTCCATAATTCTCTATACTCAGTGGCCCGAATTCACAAAGGATGTTTAAATTTAACCTATGGTTTAAGCCCTCATTTACATAAACCATGGTCTAAAATTAGCGCTAAATAAGTGCGAAACAGTCAGATGTCCAATATTAGACGCGCGCAAGGCAAGGTACGCTTATTTTGTGTTAATTTTTAAACCATGGGTTAACTAAACCTTCTTTGTGAATTAGGGCCAATGAGTTTATTTAATATGATTAGCTTGAGCAGAGATAAAGTGGTAACGATGCTTTTGTCTGTGTGACTCCTCCGCAGCGCCCAATGTCACTCTATGAACTCACACAGGGTCACGTCTACTACATAACCCTAGGAAGACATCCCAGTGCTGTCAAATTGAGAAGGCTTCAATGAATCAACCATACATACACCATTCTTTTTATTTAATGCATTCTCTGATTTAACCACCTAACTAAGTACACTAGTTATAATGAATGCAGAGGTTAAAGGGTTGGTTGACAGGGAGTTCGGATATCTTCATAGGGTTATGTGTTATATACGACCGTTTGTGAGTTTGAGGAGTGACCTTGGGCGATGCGCAGGAGCCTCACAGATACAGGGAAACACAACCACTCGATCACCAGCTTTGCTCAAGCTGATGATATGTATAGCTAGGTCATGGTGTCCCTTACAAAAAATGACCATGGTACACAGTATTTTGGTCATTGTACATATACCATGGTAGTACCATTACAATTATTAAGGTACTCTACATATAAGAGACATGGTAGTACTGTCTGTATCATGGTAGTACCGTGGTAGTACTGTACAACTGTATACCATGGTAGACCATGGTAGACCATGGGGTCTAAGGATCACAGACATCAGAGTAGTTCTTCTTCTTAACTTTCATCATAAGGGGAAAATCTCCATAACTGGGTCTACTTCTGTACGTCGTATATTGTTATGATTCAAGTTGTCTACAATAAGGGAATTTCTTTCGGGATTGTAAACAATGAACATAGGTATATAGGCACTCTTTTATGATAAGCATTTAACTGCGGGTAAAGTGTTATGGGCTGGTTGAAATTCAAAGTATTTATGCGTAAATTAAGATTGCACCCATGCAAATTATGATGTGAGCGCACAACGCAGCGCGCAGGCAGTGATGTTATCATAATTTGCATGGGCGCAATCTTAATTACGCACAAACAATTTGGAAAAATTGAACGTCTGTCCTCTCATCTAAAACAGAACTCAGGAGAGGGGGACATCCTTAGTAATAATTTTACTGCTCATGTAGAAAATACAAGCTAGATATAACTGAAACTAAACTGCTTATTTTGTATACTCACCACTAAACCACATCACAAACTGCATTTTAAAAGTGATTTTATGCTCTCTAAATTTGTTACAGATGAAAGACAAAGGAAATGTATTGAAGGCTCGCCCAACCAGAATAAGCACCTGAAAGAAGAAAAGAGTAAAGGGCATAAAGGACTCTATCTTATATGAGAGAATAATATCTACTTCTTCTTCTTCTCCTACTAATTTTGCCAGATATCAGCAACAAAATAATGTGTGTAATATATGTCCATCGAGCAGGTCATTATATTTATTGAGAAAAAAGCAACAAGATAGAATTTACATGAATCCTCAAGATCAGATAAAAACAAGTGTTGCAATGGTCAGTGTCAGTACAATGATGTTCTATCAATATGATTTTGTATCACTATTATGATTGAGTTGTGTGCATATTAAATAATAAAAAACAATATACCTATGCACCTTGAACTTTCCTGGCTTTAATGAGCTGGTAGTGTTATGGACATATCTCAATCTTTCATCTAATTTGGGTTCAGAGAGATTCAGAACTGTATGTGCCTTCTCAAAGGGCATATACAAGGAAAAGATTAAAAATCTTGCCTTCTTGATTAAAAGCCAAGTTCATGAACCACAGTATCACTAATCCCAACAGTCAACTTAACATGCACATTCTCAAAATCATATCTTTTCTGCTTACCATGACAACTACTTTCTATAACTGGTCCTAATGGTTCTTTTGCAAATTATTTACTGTTCTGTCACATATATGTACATCTATTTGTTTTTCAAAGGAAGGTGCATTTACTACCAATGATTTCTATGAGATATTCAAACAAGTATCATTTTGAAATATATTATTGATTTAAATTGTTTAAAATTGTATTCAATTCAATTCAAGACTTTCTTCCAGACTCAGCTGCAAGAGTAAAGGTCCAAATAACATATTTACATATGGTACATATGATTGTTGAAACAAATGGATGGATTACTAAATACAATATTATAATAAACAAACCGAGAACTCACTATGCTCCACAGAACTAAGGCTGGTTCAAATCTGTGATTGAAGCTAGGAATGGCCAACCCCAGGTACATGAATACACACGTTTCTGTGGGGATAGAAAACAATGAGGCAAGAGAATCAGTTCAGTAAGTGAAGAATACTGTTATCAATTGCCAGTGACTGCTTAGGAATTAGATGACAAACTTTTTAGGTGATTAATATCAGTTGTTCACTTTCATTTGGTATTTAAAACCCAAATTAATAAGTAGTCCTCATAAAATAGTAATATATTCTGGCTCAGTACTTTTTAAAGCGCAAGGCTTTTAAACATTTTATTTATATTGTTTTTCTTATACAAACACCATTAAAAAAAAATGAGGATCATTATGCATTCCAATTTAGTATTTCAAATTAATTTTAGATGGATTCTCTCCACAAAAAAAAAGAGATTTGCTTTCATCTGCTTTTCTTGATATTACTTTAACATAAAATTTACATGGACAATTTTTGGGGTTTGTAAGCAGTACATTTGTTCTTATTTTACCTTTTCTTTGTGGAGGTGGGGAGAGACTAATGTACCTCATGTAAAATATTTTAGAAAGATATTCTAGTAATAAAATATTTGAGTAACTTACCTGCTAAGAAAGCCATGGTTCTGAAGGAGTGTTGCATATTGATTTGAGTTACTGGTGATAGGTTGTAATGAGTGTAATGAGACATCACAATACCACAGAATAGGATAGCCATAATGCCTGTCAGGAATGAAGAAAACACTCTTTTTATTATTTATCTATCAGTACTTGATCAGTCACACTAGCAGAGTAGATGTTGAATAGTGTGGTGGTGGTGGTAGTCATAGTAGTGGTATTAGTAGTAGTAGTAGTAGCAGTAGTAGTAGTAGTAGTAGTAGAAGTAGTAGTAGTAGTAGTAGTAGTAGCTTTAGTAGCAGTAGTAGTAGTTTAAGTAGCAGAGGTAGTAGTAGTAGTAGTAGTTTTAGTAGCAGAGGTAGTAGTAGTAGTAGTAGTAGTAATACAAGTAGTAGTATTAGTATTAGTAGTACTAGTATTAGTAGTACTAGTATTAGTAGTAGTAGTAGTAGTATTATTATCATTATTATTAGTAGTAGTAGTAGCATACATGCCAACATTTGAAAATCAGAAATCTGTACAAATTATGCTATTTTAAAAAAAAAGAGGAACAATCCTAACTCTCCTATTCAATACTACAGACAAATTTGTACAGGAAGAGGAACACCTGCATTAAAATGATAATTATCTTCTCCCAAAAAGAGGAATGTTCCTCTTTAATCTGAACAGTTGGCATGTATGTAGTAGTAGTAGTAGTAGTAGAAATACAAGTAGTAGTAGTAGTAGTAGTAGTAGTAGTAGTAGTAGTAGTAGTAGTAGTAGTAGTGGTAGTAGTAGTAGAAGTGGCAGTAGTAGTGGCAGTAGTAGGAGTAGGAGTAGTAGTAATAGTTGTAGTAGTAGTACAAGTAGAATTAGTAGTAGTAGTAGTAGTAGTAGTAGTAGTAGTAGTAGTAGTAGTAGCAGTAGTGGTTGTAATGTCTACATGTTTAAGTAAAATGATCAGTAATTTTGAATTACTATATAATGGCAAAAATTTATTTCTAACACAATTGAGACCCAATAGCTACTAATAAACAACAACAAATTCTGCCAAATTGACTGCATTTCTGTAACCTGATATAATTAATTTACAGTTGAGTTACGACATCAATTTATCATTACCATCACAATACATGCCATGTTAATAGCAGTGCAACAACTGCAGAAGAGAAGCTGGGGCTCCATAATATACTTAATATTCAAATACTGAGGCATAGCATTACATTCAAATCATATGTAATATATTATTTTCTCTCTCTATATATATGATATATTATTTTCTGATATATCATATTTCAATGACATATTATCACCTCATCTCACAGTAAGCTGTTCTTCATTAAAAAACTAAAAAAAGAAAAATTACTTGATTGACTGCAGACACACTATTTACACATGTACATTTCGTGTGAACAAAATTGATTTCCTTTCACAAAAACATGCACTAGACAATAAAATTGAACTGATATGAAAGTAAATATGCAAGCTTCCTATTCAACATAAGCCAAACAGGGACATGGTTTTATTTTTAGTCTATCATGAGTTATTTCCTTGAAAAATAATACAGAAAGAAGTGCTTACAAATAGGTTGGGGTGTTATAATAGCTATCATATGATAACACATAAATCCTGATGGTTATTCTTACATAGCATAGCATAACTCATGCTGTTACAATGTCTGTTTTCAAATGTAAACTAAGTCATACTTTAATTGAGTAATTGTTTTGTTGATTCATAAATGTATGCCCTAAATTGATGGGTAGACATTAAATATTCTGATCGATTCTACGATTCATAAATGTAAAGATATCTGCAGATATCTTTTTCTTTTCCACACCTCAGCTCTTCTCTCCTTTTCTTTTCTTATTCTTGTTTACAGTAATTGTGTATCTTTTAGCTGATCTGTTTAGACCTTTAGCAAACCGTGAACTGCAATATAAGAGTGTCTCTCCGTACCTGATAGCTTGATTCCCTCTGCAAGGGCGTAGGGTAGATAAGCAAAGATGAGCATGAGACCAAACTCAAGTGATGGCGTGTTCCTCAGATCAACATGCTTCAATAAGTAAGGGTAAGGAGTTAAGGAAATCTAAACAAAATATATACCAGATAACCTTCCTGTTACATCTATACAGAGTGAGCTTTGTGAGATTTCTTCCAATTTAGATTTTAAAAAAGGGCTTGTTTTCAAATGAAATAAAGAAGTTGAAGTCAATTCAGCTAGAAGTTATTTGTATCATCCCTTTTGCTGCAACATATCTATCAAGCCATTGCTACATCATAGAAGTAATATGATGAAATGAGAATAGCTACAATGTACAGTGTATTGTCTCATTCTTGACACTAATATTTAACCGTTCCAAGAAGGCTAATATGTAGCCCATTTAAATACTTTTTGATTTTGGTGCAACATGCCTTTTTCATAGGCCCTAGATTCATCTGCTTTCATCTTGAGTAGTTTGCTATCAAGGTTGAAATTCCCTTTAATAACGGAATTGAGAGAGGTTTCAGAGCAAGGATAGAACGTGTACATCTACCAAAGACCAGTTTACGAAAGGATATGAGAGCACTGATGAGACCAAGGGCGATGCCTAGTAGAGATGAACCAAATAACATGACACAGAATGAACCCACGGCATAACCAAGGGCATGGAGGGCTGATACATCAGCCATCTCGGGAGAGTCAAGGGCTATCACGGTACTGGGAAAAAACAAGAGGAAAACATTAATGGGAATTAAAAACATTGATATACCGGTAGAATCTATAGTGAACATGTAAAAGATAAATATTAAGTATTGCAAATATGCCTAAAAGTGCAATTGTAGGTGAAAATTACCAGTTTCTCCTGAAGGTGTGAGTCCATTTTGTTAGTATTCTAATTTTAGCTGGTTATTAAACATATTGACTAATGAACAATATTATAATATTTCTTTTAGGGGGTAGAGTCGCTGCCCGGCAAGCTGTAGATGGCAGGTTCAGATCCCGCTGGTTCTAAGATTTTTTCTGACTTGCTTTCAATTACAGATTGAGCAAGCAATCTTTATTTACTGGGTGCAAGCCAAAAATGTGTTTAAAACAATTATAATTTTTTTTTTTTACATAAATAATGACCTGGGTCATACATGTATATACACAGCTGTTAGTGAAACACATTGACTCCAAGGCTGCTCATGAATAACATGGTATACATGTCACTATGGTCATTCTGAAGATTGCAACACAATAAAATTATATTTTTAATTCAGTTACTTCTGCAATTAACATAAAAATACTTACATCACAACTTTTGATCTTCAAAAACACATCACATAAATATGTCTTATGTCTCAATATTTTTATGTGACCTACATTGTATCGCACTGTGCCACTGCCTTTTTATTTTCTGAATATAATCAAGCTTCTAGGCTGGGATGTTATAGCAATTAAAAAATATGATTCTATATCATTTTCAATTTTGATTATAGCTGCTTAGTTACTTGTTGTTCATAGGAAAAGTAATAATAAAGATGGAAATAAACTCTGAACCACTTTTTTTGTGGTAGACAAAGAGATTGATTCCTTTCCGGGTGACCTTCTACACCGTAGACACCATATTGGATTAAAAACCACAACCTAAACCATCTGGTTCATTTTATTGCCATGTCTTCTCCTCTCTTTGGTGGAGGAAACTAAACCAAAATTATCATAATATCACACTCTAGGAGGAAATTGCTACGTTCAGTCTGAATCATCCCTGCTCCTGTTTTTTTTCAAGGTTTTTTTTTTCCTGATAAATTTCCCTTGTATAATGGCAGACGTGGATTCATATATGGAGGTACTACTAACAAATGTATATGACTATTCAGATCCTTGGTCATTAAGATTTTACATGCTTGAATGTTCATATCAAATGCTATTGCAGATTCTTCCAAAATCGGATCACTGTTGGATCGTATAGTGTGCAGTACGTGGGCTTTAAAGAGAAGGTTAAGTTTTGTGGAGAGGTGGACAATAATTTGTAAGCGTTTTCATTGTTATTACGCAAGTGTGGAAGAACATCAGAGAAAAAATGTTCCCTGAAAAGCATGCTCTTCAAATGCCTTCATATTCTAAATATGACAGGTAAAATTAAGATCCATGTTTGTATGCTACATGTTTGTGTAGTCCCATAAACATCTTTCTGCGTACACTGCTTGTAACATTACCAAGGCTGGGCCAAATTTCTTATCATTTTGATGATTCCAGAACCTTGCAGTACACACCAATACTATGCTAGATGATCAACTATGCTAGATGACCACACCGTTTCTTTCACAATGCAATCGCATGACCAGAACCCAACTTTATCTTTAAACTTTGCTGTAGCTGTAATAATATTTCTAGAAGAATACTCTAGATGGCATCATGGTATTGTGCTGGTACATACTGTATATGGTCTTATTTAACATTCAAGGTGATTTGATCCATGTACCAGCAAATATACAGATTCTGCTCTGAAACTTTTCAGGAATTCAGACAATGAGCAAATGATACACGTGTATGAAGCTTTGTATCCTTGGAGGATAATTTACAATTATTTCAGTAGTACCTAATTCCCACTTCACAAACAGGGGACAATAGCGCAGCTAGGGAAGCAGCAAGTTAGGGAACTGTACTGCTACAGCTGACCTGAGATGGAGCTAGAGGGGATTTCGCATTAGGGCTTCAAGTACAGAATGGCTTTAAAGGCCCACTGCACTACTTACAGCTACTTGCACACTCTATATAGCAAACAATGCCTAATCTGTGCATGTTGGTCCCCCATGATCCCCTTTTTCTTATGTTAATTGTCAGTGACCTTGCAGGGAGGTCTAATCACCCCTGGACAAACAAGTACAGATTTGCTTTAAACTTACTTCAAGAGTACAATTGAGACTGCATCATTGAGGATACATTTAACAACATTCCCCCCTTTTGACTAAGATAATTCGGAAAAAAAATTGGAAAATCAGGAAAAAAACAGGAAAATAGGTGTAACAATCGGGAAGAAACAAAAATCGAGGAAAATGGGGAAAAAATCAGGAAAAACAAAAAAATGTGGAAAAAATCAGGAAAAATATTAAAAAATTGGGAAACCAATTTAAATTGGGTAATTATCAGGCCTGAAACTTACTTTGAGAGTACAATTGAGACTGCATCGTTGAGGATACTCTCCCCAAAGACCAACATGTTGAGTAACGGATGAACATCTAGAGCTGAGAAGATAGCGATGGTTGCTACGGGGTCCACTGCTGAGATGAGGGAACCAAACGCAAAGCTTTCTACCAAGGTCAACTCATATGCTACCTTGGCCTGCAAGCAGAGAAATGATGAAAGAATAAAGGGAATATAATTGAGATTAAATAATAGAGTTACCTGACATCACTCAATGAGAGTGTAGACAATTTGATAATACTAAGAACATAACATTTTCTTTTAAAGCCATGCGGGGCATCAGGAGCCTCAAATTTTGACATAAATATTTGTCTTTCATATGTGACATAATGTTTAAAAAGACAAAAAAAAAGTGCAAGTTGGCAGTGAATTGATTTGCAATTCAATCTGTTACTGTAAACCACTTTCTAATGATTTATTTTGTATTTATAAATTCCAGGGAAAGTTTTAGAACCAATCAGTTTGTATTGATTTCTTCTTCTGTTGTCCTCTTTGAGCTATGTTTTCACTTTAATTCTATGCCACCATGAGTCTTTGAATCATATCTCCTACACTGTTCACTGTATTCTTTTCTATTTTTCATTATGAGTGAGATCTACCATTTCAAAAGACCCAATTTATGCCACTACTTCAAACATATATGTCTGTACCAATGATATTTTAAGTATGCTTTGAATCTTCATTCCATTTTGATGTGTAAAATTTATAATTTCATTATTTTCATATCACATGGGTACATACACGTTAAACCATGCTGATAGGCCATTTTTGTAATGTAACCGAATGTATACTTATGTGCCTCAATACAAATTATTTAATTCACCCGTTTCAAATTATGTTATTTCATTACCGGTAGAATGCAAATTACATACTGTATATTTCGTTTGTAAGGCAAACCATAATGTTTGTCGTACCTAGCAACAACTAATGTGTATGCAATTTGAAATCTGACTATTGAGATACCTTTATTTGTAACAGGTGAATTAAATAATATATGTATCAAGGTCCTTCACAATATACATTACGAAAATGGCCTAATTACAAGCATGGTGTTTCCTTCCCTCTGTCAGCTGATAGAACACAGTAATCTAGCCATTTGTGATATTAAAACAAACAAAAAACTTAATCTGACCTTTGGAAACTGACCAGCCACAGTCTACATGTACAACCCTGCATATTAATTTATAAGGACTCTGTATCAAATATGCTGGCAGGCCGGGCAAGATGTACATGTTTGTATGTAGATCCATTAATCAAACTAATTGCAGGATTGTCCATTAGTGACAAATTCTTTTTTTAAAGTGGACTCTAGCATGTTACAATCTGTGACCAAACCTACTTCAGCCCTTCATATTTTGCAATACTTTTGTACATGCTTTCAGTTTAACATGGTTTTTCCAAGCAGTGAGGAAAAAATATTTACAGGCATCTTAAAACTTTGAACTATCCTCTTCTTGTGAACACTTCCCCTAATGTGTGTTTGTTAAAGCGCTTAGAGACTTCGGTGGAAAGCGCTTTATAAGCACCGTTTTGTTTATTATTATTATTATATAAAATATAGCATGATTGCTCATTCCTATCCTTGTTGACATTCTAATCAATCAATAAACATGAAATGTGCATTATGACCATTATGAAACATAAACTAAAATATTAATATTTTATATCTTAGATGGACAACTGATAGGAAAATCAATAGAACAAGTCAAGAATGAGAATGATATGATAGTTTAATAATACAGATATTGATTATGCTCTGTTGTTGTCATTTTGTGACCTTTTCAATAATGGGAGATGACAGGAGAAATGTACCTGGTTCTTATATATCTTAGCTGCAGACATGTTGACACCAAACAGCAACATACATGAAAGGCTTGAAAGCAAATGAAAAAGTGCATCATATGTCTCTTAAAATTGGGAATAATTTCAGTTTAATTCTGAATTCTCTTCTAGGAATTCATATTAGTGACTTCACATAAGTCAAATTATTAAATTTCTTGATCAATTTTTCTCATTTTCCTCACAAAGCTGCACTGTACCTGACTTTAAAAATGTTTTTAGTGTGCGTCTTTGTCACTGTCACATAGCACTTTTATTGAAATCATTTCAGAGATATGAGAGTGCTCTACGACAAGAATAACATGATGCATGATCTCAAGAGCTAGTCCATGTATATTCACAATGGGTTCTACATGCTGCTTGGTGAGAGAAAGGGTTGGGCACCAGTCCATAAAGTGTTACACAATATACATGTACTTGAAAGCCACATCTAGACTCATTTCCTTCTGGTTTCCTCTCTCTTCCTACTAGAAGTATTTCCTTGAATATATTTCCCTGAGAGCCATAAAGACATACAATCTACCTTAAATCCTTAACATGCACTTGATTGAACGCCCTTCTGGCTCTCTGCATATAATGTGATCTCCTCTCTTTCCTCCCAAGACTTCCCTTCTAGCAGGCCAATAAAGCTGCCCTAACCAGTTACCACACCAGGAGAACATTCCACATTGTAAGACTTGGCACAATCCATATTCCTCAATTCAAATTGTGCAACTATTTTAAAACATCATGCACAAATAAGATGCATTTTCCTTGCTTTTTCTATACATTTCTTTATTCAATGTTTGTCTTGATAGTCTATATTAAATTAAAGCCTGTCATGATATTGAACTTCGCTTGAATCAATGAGCCTATCAATATCAAGAAGAATCAACCTACAGCCCTAAAAGGGGTGAAATAAGGTCCACATGTATGACAAAAATGAATGGCTATCTCTGTACATTATGTCCCCATTTTGTTTACCAACCAAATATTGGTTAATACAAGCTTTATTAAAAGGAGAAAAAAAGACCACCATGTTCTTAAAGTTTGAAACAAAGTGATAAATTTGAATTAGATAATTTTTCATTAAAAAGGAGCAAATTTCCCTTCGTAGTCAAATTCTTCATAAGTTCAGATTTTCACAAGCCTTTTTGTTAGCATTGAATTGCACTAAAATAAATATTAGTACCAGGGTATTACCAATTGAAAAAAGTGCATGATTACCATAAAACCATAAACATTACAACCTTAAATGTTCATATGTGAATCAATATTGACACAACACTAACTATCAGCAATTGACCATTTTGGAGGTAAAAGATACCCCAAACTATCCACAGATTTTTTAAAGATGGAGAATTCACACTTTGTGCATTACAATAATTAGTGCCACAGTGATGGGCGTGCTTCATGAATATCTTCTGTTGCCCTCTTGAGAAAAATACTTCCACCTGCATATAACAAAAATACTGTTTTTGCATGTACATAAGCATTGATTACATAAACTTCAGCATGCCTCTCAAACTTACAGTATGTTTATAGTTTTGTACAAATGACCTTTATCTGCCCAAGAGCAGATCGCATCTCCACAGTGGCTTATTTGTGAAAATTTCTGGAGTGCAAATGGCCGTCGTCCACACTTCTTGAAGGTTTCATATCAGGAGAGTTTCTGTTTTTTCTCATTATGATTAAAGATGACTTACCTGCCCAAGAAGATAGACACCCCCTCCTACGATGAGAGTTGAGATGATGGTACCAAAGATAGCAAACACTAAGATAGAACCAATGTTCTGGAAGAAATTACCCTGTAAAGGTGAAAGGAAGGATGGATCCAATGAAGCAAGAGGAGAAAAGAGAAGAGATGGTGAAGAGAGGCAGTATAGAGAGGGAGGTAGAGATAGAGAGAGATGGGGAGGGGAGGGACAGAAAAGAGAATATAGGGAAATTTTTGTAAATGGTAGAAGAAAAATGAAAATGGAATAAGGTTAACACAAATGAGGTAATTAAAGACCACAATGTGTACATCTATGGACCAGTTCAAGGAATGTTTGAAGGCCCACCTATTTTGTTGAGACCTTGGTTGACTGGATATGAATTCTAGCAGTGGATTTATTCAATTTACTTTCAAAGCAATATACACTGTAGTTCAAATATCAGGGGGGGGGGGGGTAGATGTTCTCTGCAGGTTTCCATGGTCAGTGATTATTCACAATTGAATATGAATAATGCCACATACGAGGTAACTTAATTCTGAATAGGACTAAGGACTTGGCGGGAAAGCTTTTCCCCACGATGCTCACATGTATGGTGTAGACCAGTGGCCAAACAACCCATACATGATTGTAAAATACAAAAAGGACTAAAATAAGATTTCCTCATAAACAGAACAGTTGTGAAGAGTATTTCAATGTGAAGAGGGATACAAATTAAAAAGCATATCCAGTAATGATTAAAATACATTTCAGTATATAGGGGAAATGTGAACAAGATATACATGTAGTGCAGATCAATTTCAGCTTCAGAATTTTTTTTTTAAAGCACACATCGATAACATTATAAGTGACAACTAGACTCTTGCAATTCTCATTTCCGCAAATAATCCCATCTTATTTACTTTGAAAGAAATATTGATTGGTCTGATATTTATTTTTAGAACAGAAAGCTTGAGTGCTTATTCAATAATACTATACAAACACTATTAATTATACAGTGTGGATTTCAAACCCAACACGACACCTAGCCTAGCAAGCGTGTAAATGTTTGCTTTACTGTAACTCACATGCCATTTCCTCTTTGCAGGCTATGCAAAAGACAAGCCAATTATTGAAAATAAATTAGGCACAATGCCTAGCTTTAATAGATCTATACTGCAGTCTGATATACCATATTTGCCAATATCCTGTGATCCATTGAAGAATATAGCAACATAATATAAAACTATTATTCTGAAGATAAAAATAGATAGACACTTATCTGGCAAGGGAATATGACATGCATTACTTTGCTGAGCGATTAGAAAAATATACAAAATAAACATAAAGTTAATTTAGTAAATAATTTGGCAAGTGAAAATGACATGCATTACTTTGCATAGTGATTAGAAAACATACAAAATAAACATAAAACTGAACTCACTCCATCCAGCTAAACACATACATTAAAAAATCTGCAACTGTTTTGTCTCATTTTGATGCTTTGAAAAATTGACTATATTTCTTTGCTGAAATTTCAAATCAAAGCAACAGGTACAAACCGATTCAGACATCATCTTTAATTTAATCTGTATAAATGATAATAGGAAAACAGTCTATCTTGGTTGAAATAGGTCTTAACAGCAACAAAAGCACAACAGCACAAATAATGATGAATCATGATAATAATAATTAATTAAAGATTACACTCTTCAGAACTGGTCTGCCTCTTACACACAATTGAGGTTTCCATAATGGAAAGAGTAAGGAGTAATGATTGGATATTGCTGCTGCTATGCTAGGTTACCTTGTGTAAGGAATATCCAGATTCAAATATGATGGGAGGGAGAAGAACCAAAAAGAATGTTGTAGGATCCAGGATTTCATCTTGCTGTGTGAAAAAAGAAACAAACAAAAACAGATATAAGATTATTTACCTGTAGAAACTTTATATCAAATAGCAATGATAATAGTAATAATAATAATGATAAAATCTACATTTATGTTAAATTCATATCCACCCAAGGGTAGGCTCAATGTGCCCACAAAATAGTATGTTACCCTGGCTTTAGATTTTAAAATAAAAAGTTAGAGTTCCATTCATACAGCGGTAGGCATGACACAGAAATCATAATAGTGGCTAATTTACATGTACACTGTAGAGACTCTATAATGATCATTTTCAATTAAATCGCTCTTATTCATGAACAGCACAATGTATGTACATGTACTACAACAGAAGTGGACTCAAAATTTCCTCTTTTTTTGCACTTTCTGCTCATGTATAATGAGTTATTCAGAGCACTCTTGATCATAGGATGAATTAAAACGTCACTAAAAGACGTTCTCTTTATATGGGATAGTACACAATTTATACATGGACTTTGAGTTCAGTACATTTACATGTTAGAATAGAGCTATTTGAATGTGTAAGCTTTCACAATCTTAAAGAAAAAGCCGTGTTCTGTTGCAGAGGGCGCTTCACAAAATAATTTTTTTGTGAAATATAATGAAAAACTGAGCGTCAAATTTGAAATCGGTTCAGAGACGGCTGAAATATCCATAAATATAACGGTTTTTAATATTTGTGTACCACCAAAAATATTCAATAATTTAAACTAGCTGTTGAAAAACGAAAAAGTGAATCCTACGTTGTATTCCATTTCCAGCCAATGCCTATGTTGGCTTTTTGTTGGCTTTTTTGTGTTGGTTACATGTATATTACCCACAGCCAGCCGGCCCATGTATTGTTATTATTAACTAATCAATTAATTAATTAATTAATTAACGATCACCACATTTTTTTAAAATTGGAGCTAAATTGATATGATCGTTTTGGCTAAATTTCACACATTTTGGGGTCTAAAATTACCTTCATAGCAATTTTAGGTCGCACTAGAAATGTCATAGTTAAGAATAAGAGCAATAACCGTGCACTTTGAAGAAATTTACGGTCTGAAAACAGAACTCAACTATCCCTTTAACACTCTATACATCGTTTTACTGACTAATGCCAGGCTTTTAATTGTCATCTAGCATGTACATGTAGCTGTACAGTACACACACCCACCCAAGAAGGTGCGTAGAGACAATGCAGTATCACCACAATGTTTGCTAGAGAGCTGTCAATGTTTACAATTCAAATATTCAACCATGAGTGATTGAAGGACATTCCTTGCTCATGACATTGAAACGTGGTTGAATTCAAATTAAAATTTTATTCTAATTTTCATTATGGCCGGACACAAGACAAGATTTCTAAATTATTTCCAAGGTTTTTTATTGTTTTAACCCCTAGCAAAACAGTGTCTCCATTTAGTGATTTTTTTTCATTATATTTTGATCCAGAATGCTTGGAAGTAAGCTTTTAACATACATGTAGAGCAGAAGTCTGATTTTAAGTCTATTTCCAATGCAGTATGTTGTGTCCTTATTTCTCAAATAAGAGTGTTCTAATGTTTCCTATCTGAAGTTAGGGGAGTGTTTGGCAACTGCTGAATGCAATGGATTACCAATATCTACTCTAACACATTAGAACTGTCGCAACTTGTACTATTCTAAAATTAAATAAATTAGTACCTTTAAGCAGCAGAGCTATTTGGACTATAGTCTTACTTGTCAAATATAATCATCTTTCGTTCTAAATACAAACATATTTTATGACCTTGGATAAAGCTGCATGTCAGGCCATCCAAGAGGCATACAGGTCATTAACAAACAATGATCAGTCATATCAAACTTGTTTAACCTATAGAAAACAAGTCAACAATCTATTCACTTTTCAGGAAGTTTAAGGGTTAAATTTTATCTCAAGGGCAAATCCACCCTGACATTTATTGACTTTAATTAAAGAAGTAAAGTAAGACAAAATAATGAATTTTTAAATTTGTAATCAATGAAACAAAAATTGGCAACATTGAGGCATCTTCATGGTCCCATCTCATTTCTGTTATGCTGAAAATTTAAACAATTTCTATTTCCTTTGTTAATTAGGAATTACTATATTTGTTACATATAGGGGTAGTGTGAAAACATATTGCAATGATTATATTGAAGGTATGTGTAAGATTGAACATTTAATTAGAGAAATTCTATTTCCTTTGTTAATTAGGAATTACTATTTGTTACATATAGGGGTAGTGTGAAAACATATTGCAATGATTACATTGAATGAACATTTAATTAGAGAAAATAACAATTTATGAAATTGTTAGTACAGAGCAGATAGTAGAGGAACTCTGAAAATACGTCACAGAGTTCCCAATTTGTACTTTGATCGATTGCAACTTCCAAAATTCATAACTTTCTTATTATTGATCAGATTTTGCTAACACTTTCTCTAATCTGTTTATTTAATTTTTCTTCTTTCATTCCAACCAACTTAATTCGTGTCAGGGTGGACTTCCCCTTTAATCATTTTGTATGCCAATAGGACCTCTATTATGTACTGAAATTGTGTTATATAACCTGTAAAAACCCTGTGTTAATTATCAATCACTTCCATTGAAAAGGCATCATTAATATTGGTAACAAAATTATAACAATAAGTTATTACCATGTAATAGCAGATGGAAAATTATTTGCTTTAGCATTCATGAATTTACTAAAACTTGAAAATCAATTTTGTTCACTAAATAGAATCTGTATGTTTGACATGTGTAAGTGAGAACTGTCCCTATATAACTAATAGAAACTTCTTGTTCATGGATTGGTCAAGAACATTTTGAGTGACTAAAAATATTTCTGCATGAAGTTTGAAGAGAATCACCTTTAAATACTTAGTCTCATTCTAGTCAAACAGTCAAACCTGTCTATAGCAACCGCCCAAAGGAAACACAAAAAGTGGTCTTTGTAGACAGGTTCCTTTCATACATGTTTCAATAAGAAACCATTTTCAAGGGAAACAAAAAATGTGGTCTTTGACTTTGTACACAGGTGGTCTTTATAGACAGGTGGTCACTAAAGCAGTTTTGACTGTATCAGAGTAAGACAATTTTTACTATTATCCTTTGGTAAAAGGCTGAGCCCACAAGGCACATGTGAAGTTTGAGTCCCTTCCATACCATTTACAGTACGCCCTTTGGCAAGACGTCAATCAGCATTTGATGCACTCATGTGAAGATTTAGTAAGTGGTAGGATCTATTCCTTGCAGGCCTTGAGTGGGATTCATAATATCTTAAGTGCCTTTGAAGCACATACATGTACAGTACCGGTACATACAATACATGTAGAGATCATGATGCACTATACAAGAATGGAACACTAGATCAACAGTGATTTAATCTTCATGTATCAACTCTTTGCACTGATACATACCTGTATATATATACACCAATTTAAAACTTCTTGAATAATTTTGAATTCTCCTCTAGGATACATGTACATACAAAGCTTTGTGTTTGTTTAATGACTTAATTCCTGAAAAATTTCAGAGCAGAATCTGTATACTTGCTGGTACATGGATCAAATCACCTTAAATGTTAAACAAGACCACACATGTACCAGCACAACACCATGTTGCCATCTAGAATGTTCACCTATAAATAGTATTACAGCTAAAGCAATGTTTGAAGCCCACGGCACACAGACACTATACGATCCAAAAATGATTTTAAAGCCAATTGAGTTTTTATTCTGATCTCCCATCTCCAAACATAATGGCAGTTACAGCGTACCTTGTACATGTATGCCAAAAAAAGTATTGTAGTTTATAAATCAATCACTAGATAGTACATCACAGGGTAAAGTGTGTGAATCCCTGCCATGGCACCAGCATCCTTTGGCAAGGCATTAATCTACATTTACCACACTTGACCACATGAGATAAATGGGTATTAGGGCAAAATTTGGAGTTGAAAATAATAATTCAACTCACTTTACGTAGTAGAGTAGTAGCAGTGGTAGAATGGTTTATTTAAACCACTGCAAAATGATAGCCCGAGAGCTAAATTACATTGCAAGTTTTACAATCTCAGATTTTAAAAACATTTCAACATAACTTAGGTATAGACAAAGTTACAAAATTACACAATAAAATAGATTACAACTTATTACATTTTCTATACTTGCAAAAGATTTGAAGTTACAAATAGTATAAATTCGTCATTATCAATTTGTTTTAATAATTATTATTAAGTAAGGAATAGTCTTATTTCAAAAAGAAATTGAGGCTGATAAATTTATGACCAGTAAATACTAAAGATTTGTTTGATGGAAACTGTTTTCACCTTTGAGAAGAACAATACATCTTATAACAATACTACGACTTGGGAAATACTCTATCAAAATGGTATATTTTATTAGCTTACCGTGAAATCATGGTTGCTAAGCTTTGTGTGTTTGAGAGCAAGGATAACAAGACCAACGAGGACACCAAGACAAACTATGGCAACGCTCTCAGGAAGATAATGGAACTTGAGTTTGATCACAAGATGAGTTAACAGGATACACACACCTAAGACACAAAAAATAGTTTATTATCCAGCATTAAGATACTCAAAGAATAAATAATGTGCAATATCTCTGAAGTGTTAATATAGATCTATATCAAAAGTGATTTGCAGGAAAAGTATTTGATAGAGAGATAACTACTAAAAAAATAACTTCATTTCTATCAAAGTTCTTTTAATAGCTCCACTTGACACTTATCTAGGCACCCATTACATCTGGGTTCTCCAGGTCTAACTAATTTGCATAGAGACCCTAAAATGTCAACCTTGATGACTCTTGTGACCAAAAAATAAGAAAGAGTTTAGTGTGAAGCCTAGAGCTCTGGCTTTTAGGAAAATAAGCATACCGGTAAATGAAAATGTCATTTATGGGAGAGGCATGATACAATTATGTTAGAAAGCAATTCCTACTTGTATCAAAATTATAATTGGAGGAAGCTATTCCTCAGGACTACACATCAGAAAAAATATATTGAGAGTAAAAGAGTTAAAAAGAGTAAAAAGAGAGAGTTGGAGGAAGATGGAGAGAAGGGGGGGGGGGGAAGGGGAAAACAGATTGACAATGAGTATGTGAGAGGGAGAAAGACAGAGATGGTGGGGCAGGGAGAGAAAGAAAGAGAGAGACAGAGACAGAGAGACAGAGAGACAGAGAGACAGAGAGAGAGACAGAGACAGAGACAGAAAGAGAGAGAGAGAGAGAGAGACAGAGAGACAGAAAGAGACAGAGAGACAGAAAGAGAGATACAGAGAGGGAATGTATTTTCTTACCTATGATACCCAGGATAAAGAAGAGAGCTAAGCTAGAGGAATGTTCTTCCTCAGCAGAGCCTATTTCTGGTAACTGTTCATCAGCCGGTTCTGTTATCTTCTTTGTTGTGGTTGGTACATGGGTTGTACTAGTTGTTTCATTAGACCTGCTTGTGCAATCAAAGAAAAGGAAAACCCACCAGTATTAAATAAGAAGCAAACAAGGGGGAAAAAACACAACTGATATTTTGTAATTCTGTCATTCACTGGGCTATTAAGAGATTCAAAATGTATGTACATGTATGTAAGTAGAATTGAATTCACTTATATTTTCTATATCATATGACTTTAATTTAGGGTATTACTATAGTACTAGCAGGACCCGCGGAAATCCGCGGGTTTCTAGAGGGGGGCGGGGGTGTAAATAGATATATAGAGACTGTCTAAATTAAAACCACCTAGAACTTTGCTTGCCATTCAGGCCATTAAAAAAATATACATGTTGAGCGTCCCCGCCTGCTTCCTTTTTGGGGGCCGCCTCCTATTTTTTTTATTTTTTTTTTATTTATTTATTTTTTTTTTGAAAGAAAAAAAACATGAAAAGCACTGCTAAAATGTATTTCTGTTTTTAAAAAAGAAAAAAAAAAAATTGTCGGCCGCCATCTTAAAAAATAGCCAGAGTGTCAGGGAAAATGTACGGAGCGGCCATTTTGAAAAAACAAGAAAAAAAAAAGGGCCTCCTCCTTCCCATTTTTCAAAAAAAACAGGACGCTAAACATGTTTTTTTTTTAATTTGGCCTTATATATAAAAAAAAAAAAAAAAACGATCCAACTGTACCTGTAGTTATTCTTTAAGCCACTGGAACTGCGTAGAGTTCCGTAGTGTGGCGTACCGACTACGCAGAAATTAGGCTGCATATTAATGGGAAAATAGTCCCTGCGTAGGTTATGCGTAGGCTGGCGTACAGGTTTGCTTATGGTTGCTTACTGTGTAGAAAGCTTTTACTGCTTTGACGATCTGGCGTAGGGTAGCGTACTGTTGCGTAAAAAGGCGTACTTTCTGCGTTAAGTTTCTACGCCGAAAGTACGCGAAAAAAATTAAACATGTTGAATTGTTTTCGTTCATCTTGCGTACCTCTTTCCGTCCCTGAGCATATAGTAACGTAGGCCAGCGTAGTTGGTACGCAACACTACGCAACTCTACGTATTGACCCCACGCCAGTTAGTGACCCGCAAGTGTCACAAATAAAGTATTAAAAATATGCTCATCTGACCCTAAACGCCTAAACCCCCCAAGCTTTTGGGGGTTTATGGCCCCTTGAAACCCGTGGACCCCACGCCTATATTGTATATACACTCAACTCGCCGCGATCTGATCTCCCCCCCCCCCCAACTTTGAAGAACGTAACCCCCGAGCTTTTGGGGGTTTATGGCCCCTTGAAACCCGTGGACCCCACGCCTATATTATATATACACTCAACTCAGGACCCGCGGAAATACGCGGGATTCTAGAGGGGGGGGGCGCAGGCAAAAAATTAAGTTTTTTCATTTCGGGGGCTCCATTTCAAATTTTTGGGAAATTTTCGGGGGCTACTTTTTCAACTTTCGGGGGCTCTTTTTTCTGGGGCTACTTTTTCATAAATTCATAAAAGGATAGGCCTACACTTTGTTGAGATTTGTTTAGTAGGCGAAGGTTTCAGGCTTAATACTTCATAGGTCTAATTGCCTATTTAAAAAAAAAACATTTTTCTAGTTCAATAACTAAGTTTTCATGCATTGCTTTGATGCAAGAACTGTAACATAATTAATAGATCTAGATTGTGATTATTTCTGACCATGAATTTCGATAATTATTTTTCAAAGTAAAATTTTCACAAGAAAATCAGACAGTCGTTTAAAAACGTAGACATTAGTAATACTTTTACTAATTCTAAGCTCAGGTTTCGTAAATCTATTCACGAAACTATATTGAAATCGTGATGCAAACCAACAGATAACAATTTCAAAGTGTCAAATCTCTTCGACTCGAGCTCAGCTCAGCTGATGGAACTCGCACACACTCCAGCGTAACTCCATGAAGCTCGAACACCGACGCCGCAGGCCTTGGAAACCTGCGGTGCGCGGTGCCGGTGTTACACTGCACTGTGTGTGTGAGGACTGAAGGCAGCTTGCGACTGCAACTGTCAGTCCAATGGTTTTCTTGTGAAAACTTTCCTTTAGAAAGTGATAATCAAAATGTAGTATACATTAACCGTCATAATCACAAAATAAGCTTTGATTTCATACCTCCATTCACGAAAACTATATAAAAATCGCGGCAATAATGATGGAAATAGGTCTCTAAGTTTGGACGTGGACGGGAAGCTTCGTGTGTATCTCTGTTGCTTGTGCAGCGCTACTACAAAGGATATCCTATAGAAAGATGCTTTACTCGGGTAATCCCGACCCTGTCCAGCGTGCATTTAATACGCAACTTAATGTGAGTGGATAGTCATCGGTCGTGTGTCTACGGATGTCATGTTGAATATCCATGAGGTACCTCTGTCGTCACGCATATCCTGCATTATGCATGTCGCGTCTGTTTTCGCCCTGGACGTCGACACGGAGGAGGACCTCGGGCGGAGTATAGCCAATTCGCTAGAGTAGACTCTCCCGCGGACGACGGCACCGGGCACCGGTACCCCGAGGGGAGGGTTCAGGAGGAGATAGCCGCACCAACTTGGGTCGGCGATCTCATTAAAAAACAATAGAATACAAAGGCCGGCGGAGACGTCGCGCCCCCCGCGGAGCCTTAGCGTATTATTATTATAGATTTTCAAACCGCTATGATATTCATCTCACAAGTTTGATACAGAAGATATATTCTTGTCACCTTTCAAATTACGAGCACGTTGCTTAAAGACGACCAATGTAGGACCCTCAGCCATACGTTATACGAGCCTTTGTTTATCAAATACCAAAATTTCAATCAAAGATTAAAGCATTAAATTGAAAATGATAACATTTGTTCTAGGACAAGAACTAGGAAATGTCATAGATTTGACATCCTTTTAGTTTTAAATTTTATTCTCAAATAGACCCTATTCAGGATAGCAATTCAAGATCCAACAGCGATTGGATAAAATCATTATTCACATATAAACCGGATGAATACATCCAGAGACTTGACTCTTGAGAGTCAAAATTTGAAAAATAATGTCAGTCAATATTTTTTTTCTTCTCAACTTGTTCAACAACGGTTTCACTCAGCTCAGTAACAGTTTCTATTCTACTTTCTAGCACAAACAACCAGTTCAGAATCAGATCATCTGTTATGTGGTGTCAAATTAAGACTCGAGACAGAGTCACAAAGACAGAAGGAGAAGGAGATTTCCAAACTAACCGTAAATCATCGCCACCGCCATCATATCCAGACGAAATAGAAGCGTCTTGTTGTTCACCAGGTGTAACCCTCGCTGTCTCGGGCACTGGCCCAGTTGTTTCTTGCCCCGGTCCCGTAGCTTCCCCGTAGGACACAGTCAGTAATCCGGCAAACAACACTGCGAACAAGATGACACCAAAACGTTTCATCTCGGTATTCTTGGTCATCCTCACATTCATTCCGTGATTCTAAAGAAAATAATTTTGGATGTGCTACAAATATGATACTTCAGCTTCTGAATGTGAAATTATGGCAACAATGTCCTGTAGATTCTAGATCTAAGTTAGATAAACAGTGTCGATGCGCAGTGTGCAGCAGTGCATTACGTAATTAACAATTTACGAAAATTATTTATGACACGTCTCCATCTGCGGCAAATCTTTAGAGAGCCGTCTATGACGTCATAATCTTTTATGATAAGCTGCCGATATAGACCGCTCCCGTTTTCAGTTAGGCCACCCCTTTACATTTTGTTTTGTCCTTTATAACTTTTGTGAAATATATGACATGCCCATGACTTGTCATCGTATTTCAGTGCGTACATTTACAACTAGAATAATGGCCGACGGACTGCATTGGTTGGGTGGACTGCGGACAATAATAACAAATAAAATGAAAGAGCTAGTGAAAAGAAAGAAAGAAAAGAAAGAAAAAAAAAAAGGGGGAGGGGGGAGAGGAGAACAAAGAATATAGAATAAAACCTAATTTTTCCTTCTTTTTTTTCTTCCCTTTTTCTTAAGCTTTGTTAACTTGAAATGTATTACATATACCACCAAAAAAATTAAAGAAAGAGATCGTTTGTACAATGCGTCCCAGAAAGAAAAAGCAAACGTTTATTGTGAACAAATTATATATGAGCTATATATAAATACAATTTGTTAATTTTCTACAATTATGTGATGTGATGTGATGTGATTTGTGTACATGTACAGCGCTTTGAAACTTTTGTCACAAGCGCTATATAAATTTGTCATATTATTATTATTATTATTATGGTGTGCATTCAAATAAGCGGTTCCAATAGATATGGACGAATACCGAGATAATAATAATAATAATATAATATTACTAGTAATAACGTTTTATTTACCCATGGTAGCCACTTCAGTTATAAAACTGCTCTTCCAGCGGGCCCTGCATAACACAGGCGCGTACGCAGGTAACCCCCCCCCCCCCTCAAATTTGTTTTATTGTTAAGGGGGTGAGTATTTCGAACATTTTTTTTATTTTTATTTTTTTATTTTTTATTTTTTATTTATTTTTTTTTTTTGGGGGGGGGCTTTTTTTGAGAAAATCACCCCAAACATATTATATTTGATAGGCCTTTATCTAATTCTACAATTTCTGTCGATGTATTGAGCATTTTGTTTAAAGATTTTTGGGGGATTCATGGTGAATTTAACAATAGAACGATCAAACGTCATTGAAATTGACTTTTTGTGTGATACAAAATGATCAGATTTTTCTCTAAAAATGTAATAATATCTACTATAAACTTTAAAAAGACATCTCTTACTGATGGGTGGGGTAAACTCCCCCCTAAAAGAAAGGGTTTTTAAAAGTCTCTTTCGAAAGTGATGAATGTGTTGATACATTTTTCGAGCAAATGTCTACGATGTTCTAATCATAAGGAAGATTTTTTGGGCATGGTGATCCACGCCCATCCATTATTTATAATAAATAAAGTGGCATTCACTGTACCCCCTCCCCCTAAGTGTTTCACAAGTGTTTCAATTTGTGGCGGCTAAGCTCCCTCAAATTGTTTTTTTTTGTGAAAGTTTCTTTCTGAAGATTATCGAATAACGAAAAGGGCAAGATAAAAAAAGAAGTTATGAAACAAAAGAGGGAGAGAAAAAGAAGGAGAAAGGTTAAAAGGCAAATGGAAGCAATGAGCATTGGAGAATAAACAATAACATATGCTACTTGAATATCGGCAAATAAATCTTCTGCAATTTTGGAATAAACCAGAGGAATTATATAAACATATTGGGATAAAATGAAGCCGGTATACCCCACCATCAAAGTATATGGGCGAATAAAATACATTTCATTTCATTTCATTTATTTATTTCACTCTCTTTTAAAAAACATCAAAAGTATATACATGTTCGTTCATTATCAACATAAGATAAAACGAAGTAGGGAATCATGAAAGCCAAATGATCCCCAAATAAATACTAAGCATAAACAAGATGCAAACTTATTTTATATAAAAAACACATACATTTACAACAACAGAGGACAGAGGAAAGATAAAGATAACACGGTAAAGATAGTGACAGGAAGACAAGAAGAGAGAGAAGATAAGAAGAAAGAAGTTACAGCTTGAGTGTTACATTTTACATAATAAATTACAATTTCAACTAAGCTTGCCTAGATATAATACATCGACCCGGTCTGGGCATGTGGGGTATTTTACTTAAGATAAAAAAGAACTAAAAATGACTTCCCCCTTCTAAATCATTAAGAGCCTCACTAATTAAGTGATCATGCAGGGAATCACAACTAAAACTGAACTCCTCGTACATTCATCATTTATTTCGTATGTGAGAACACTCCGGTTTTAGAAAAACGTTTATAATTTCAGACAGTGGCGTACGCAGGATTTTTTCAAGGGGGGGGGGGGGTTGAAAATCGTGCCGGCCGAAAAGTCGCTCAGTGGGGGGGGGGGGGGGGAGGCGCTTTTTTTTTTTTGCTCCCAAAAATTTGAAAATTTTACTACTCTTTCAAACCCACCTTGGACCCATCCGTGAATTTTCATATAATTGGTAAAGCTTTGCATGTGCAATGTGCATCGTAACACCTTGGTCTGAGCTCAAACCTTGCTTTGTGAATTTGGGCCCATATGTTTTGGGATTTTAAATCTCAAGCATCTTCTCTTGCCAGCGCTTTAAACGCCATAATCCTGTCGGACAGGATTATGATTTCGCTTTTCCCGGGCGTCCCCCCCCCCTCCTCAAAATTGTATGACCACCCCGGCCCAAGTCATGTCAAAATTCATTCGGCAATATTTGGCAAGGAAAACAAAAATGGAGGGGAAAATAAAAAGAAAATCAAATCTGTTTAAAATTAAAAGAAAAAGTATTTAAACTCCTTACACAAAAAGAGAAGAACAAAAATAATTAAAAGTTTCAAATTCAATAATGTTATAAAATGAAATTTAATTGGAAATATCCTCAAACACAAAGGCCCGAATTCGGGCCAATAGATTCAAGCAGGATAAGGTTCCTTTAAAAAAAAAGTAATCTGAAAGAAAATTCGTCCACTTTTTTTGCTCGCTCGCAAATATATATATATATATATATATAGATAGATAGATAATAGTACTGAAAACTGATTTTGCTTATCTTAATTAAGCTTTGCCACTTGATCCAAATATATTGACGCTTTATCCTGTTATAAAATTAAAAATAAATTATCGCCCTCAAAGATCGCAAATACATTATAGATCTACAGCAGCAAAGACGTTTAAATATAAGCAGCTGAGTAATATAATGTTGCGCTCACACTGCGCTTACCATAGTTTTCTTTCTGTGCGTAAGCTCCTCAGCTCAATGGACTTTCATGTGTGCAGTTTCTGATGCAATACCCGCGCGTTCCGATCCGGTACGGTCGTACGAGACATGTACTTTATATGTACGCATAATTGCCATTGGTAATAACGCACGTTTTTCCATAGAGTTCTGTACAGCTTCAGGCTTTTGTACAGCTAACATACCGTACACGGTGTTAATGTTAACGCAAACCAGCTGGTCAAGTTAAAAAAGGACAATAAGAGACCGAATACGAGATTGATATTCATAATCTATAAAAAGGGAGAGCTAATTTCTTCCCCCTGAGTACCAGGTACAATTTGTTTTGAGACAGAAGTTCTATCGCACAGAGAGGGAAACGAAGGAAACTTGAAAATGACGGACGAAATTCAGGTCCAGGAGGAAGATAATGAAGCGGTAAGAAACTTTAATATCCATTAAATAATTCATTAAAATGATCATACCGGTAACACAATATAAATTAGCTTTATTTTCAATATCTAGACTGATAAATCAGTCCATTTCGTTAGGGGATATTACAGAAATGGAAAGAGAGAGAGAGAGAGAGGGAAATGCCAAATGAATGGAATATGATTTCACAAAACTCAAAACAAGAATAAGAATATGCAACTTAAAATAATTTAACCTTAAGCCTGGTGATAATATGATATTCATAATCATACCATCATGCCTTTGTTGGCAATCATTCACCTGCATGGAGAGTGATGTAAACGAATCTCAATTGTTGTGAATGTGAACGTAATCACCCAGTCCTGCCGCACTCCCGTGCATGACATTGACAACCTTACTTAAAAGTTAGAGTTTGCTATCAGATTATTCTTTCTTATACAAAGCAATTTTAAATCGGTCAAAACTTTAACCAAACCATAAGAATCTGACAGGAGTTTGTGATGATGATGTTGGTTCTGCCGCCATAAATACATGAATGATGAAGTGTAGGTAACAATGCCTGATTTTTGATTGCCAACTTGATGCGGACTGTATGATAATAGTGATTAGTTTAGTGTACTAGGGCGCGAGCGAGCACTTTTTTTCACTAATTGCTATCGTCTGATATTTTAATTATGTAGATTAGATGTATTATAATCAACTTCTATACATACTATACCTATTTGACACTGCACAGATCTTTGATCCATCCATGAAGAAGAAAAAGAAGAAGAAGAAGACGCCCTTTGACCTAGATGCTGCCCTTGGTGGTGAAGCACAGAATGATGAAGCTGAAGCTGATGCTGATGCATCGACAGAGAATGTTGATTCAGGGACCAAACCAGCTGAGAAGGAGGCGGAAGGAGATGGAGAGACGACGACAAAGAAGGAGAAGACATCCACAGATAATTGTACGTTATGTTAGAAACACCACTATGTAATATTAAAGGCCCACTGCACTACTTGCGCCCTCTGTATAGCAAACAATGCCTAATCGGTGACCATTGGTCCCCCATGATCCTCTTTTTCTTATGTTAAGTGAGATCTGATTTGATGAGATAACCACCTGTCAGTGACCTTTCAGGGTGGTCTAATCCCTCCTGTAAACAAGTGCAGATGGGCTTTAAGACTTGTTCAGATACGTTGTGGGACACCACCACTAAAGAAAAGAAGCTAAAAAACACAGGTTCGTGTTTCGTGTAAATGAATGGTAACTAAGTAAGTCAATGGCTACTGCGGGCAACAAAGGTTCTTCGCTTACTCATTGAGCTCATTGAGATACAGAAATGTGACGAGTATACATTACACTTTATGTCATTAAAGAATGTCACATCTGAACAAGCGTTAAAATGTGTTCTTATTCTCTTCATGCACAGACCCTTATTCAGCTACTGCCAAAGAAAAAGAAATTAGAAATGATTCAACTAAAGACTATTTGACTAAATTACTGAAGAACATTTAGCAGGTCTAACGGAACAATCCATAAACACATCAGCTGGTCATGCTCAAATTTAAGTTGCCATTTCTTTTGATGGTGAAGTAACTGCCTTGGTTTTTGTTTCTTAATTTCAGTCAATTTGTTTGAATGTCTTATTAATTTGAATACCCTGAAGTGGTGAATAACAAAGAGTCTGGTAGTTGTAATGAAGATGAATTTAGCATACAGATTACTGATTCAAAATTGGGGTGTCAAAATCATCCTAATTCTTTATATTTCCAAAAGGTAAGGCTATTCTCTTTGTGTACAGTAGATACCGTGGAATAGCCTAAAACAGGCCTCCTAATTTTGATTAATTTGACGGAGTGTGATTCCTTATTCATGAGTACCGGTAGAATATTTCAGAGCCTTTCAACTGTAATGACAAGAACATTTTAATAGTCTGTATATTTTCTTTCAAGGATGAAGAATGTGGACAGATAGCTATTGCATGAACTTTGATTTGTCTCTGCTCATTGTTAAAGACCAGAGGTAGCTTTCACTTACATGTTTTTTTTTTGGGGGGGGCTTTTACAATTTCTAAACTTGTCTGTAAGATGTACACTTCATAAGAGATGTAAATAAAGCTTCTTTTTAGAGGTTATGCCTAAAGCAATGTTTTTAATTGGTTTATATTCTTTCTCATACTGTTTGGCAGTCGATGATCTTGATCTAGAAGATTTCACAGCCATGAAGAAGAAGAAGAAAAAGAAGAAGACAGCTTTTGTCATGGACGGTGTGGAAGCCGCCTTGCCAGTAAGTATAACCAACATCAGGGTGGTACCGACCATGGTCCACTAACAAAACTTCAAACATGAAAAATTGGAAAATGGAAGAAATATGAAACTATGAACTGATGTGGAGGGCTCTAGGTCTTGCTTAAGGGTACTAAGGTTCTTGGATGCAATCTGGACCCTCTGGTACAATCTGATCATATTTTTTAACCATTTTAACCATGGTTAACCATTTAAAACAAATTTTATCACTAATATTTCATAAATAATATTGGATTGGAATGAATATTGACCTATTGCTATTTTTCAAACTTGTGCAATCCAAATTCAAACCTGTACAACTAAATTTCAGGCCTGTCATAGTTACATGTTTAAACATAGTGTGGACCACCTTGGTCAACATCATATTTGAGGTTTTTATAGCGACGGCAACCTCTCTTACCCTATTGCAGTGGTAGAGGTGCATCTGGTATGTCCATTATAATCTTGCCTCACTCTTGCATCATGCGATGGACTCTGTTCTGTACTGTGCAGTTATGTGGCTGTCTGAAGGATGTATACATTGTAATGATTGTAATGCATCATGCAATCTTGGCCAGAAGGTTTAACAATTGTCTATAAAACGAGCTGCATTCATGAGGAGGGTTTGAAACTATTCTGGACAGAAAGGTACATGTATCATTACTCTTTACAAGGATGAAGCAGAAGAAGAAGAAGAAGAAAACTGCCTTTGTTGTGGTGAGTCTTTTTATGGCTTTCCCAGACTTGAATTGTGCAAAACATATGGGGTTTTATTATGTATGGATCTCATTTAAAACGGCTGGTATTGTTGACAAATGTCATCATTGTTTGCTCTGTCTGTTTTTTAAGTAGAACATTGAATCCATGTGTAGCCAAAGAGAAAGCCATTTTATTCTCGTCTCAACTCGTCTTTGTTTATCTTTCAGGAAGTGGATGACAGTGCAAGCAAGGAGCAAGCTGAAGAAGATGTTCCCATGGCAACGGAAGAGATGCCAGACATGGAGGATCTCGATATCACAAAACAGAAGAAAAAGAAAAAGAAAAAGAAGAAGCGAATCGAGGACATGGAAGGAGAAGATACCGTTGATGCTGTTATTAGCAAAGAAGAAGGTCAGTTAACCCTTTGCTTGTGGGAACCAAGTGATCCCTGTATTAAGCTTATGGGGATGAGGGGATTCTGTTGTCAACTGGTTAAACATCTACCATGTTTTACCAGTCAAAAAATTCAAAATGCACAAGTGATGATAGTAATCGTGGTAGCTCCTTTGTACTCTTGAGATATTCTCCACGAAAATTGCAGTTCGATTCAACTCAATAATGGTTTTATTTTGACAATGCTTTTTAGCAAAGGTGCAATATCTCAATATCATTTCACTTCACTATGTATCATTAACGATAGCAATATCACATAACAAATTACATTTACAGTATACAATGCTTGAGAAATGTGTAGAATATTAGTTGAGTTACAATTCATAAAATTTACCAAGCAGTGATAGTGATCTATTCTTCAAGAATAAATGTGGACAGCACTCCTTCTTAATATTACATGTATTTGCAATTCGATTAATTGTAAGTCATTCAATCAGTCACTCATTACGATGTTCTGTTTGATATATGTAAGGGATTGTGATTGATATGAAACTTGACTTTTGTAAGACACAGATATATTTCATGCTCTGTTTGATTTCTTATACAAGACAAGTGTTAATGATTCCAGTGTAGCATGTTGATTCCAATATGTTAGAAAGAAGACTTTAAAACAGTTTGTTAGGTCAAATGTGATTACAAAATAGTCTTATGTTCTTTCATTTTCTGATTTTTTTCTTCTCACAAATGTAAATGTTTCTGGACATTTTTGCTATGTATTTTATCTTGATTTTTCCTTTTGATTTGATAGATAATTCAGAATTAAAGGACACGAGTGGTACAACGTGGGTAGGAACAGAGCGTGATTATACATATGACGAGGTAAGCTTCATACCGTCTTGAAATGTATTCTAACAATCAAAAGGTTATAGGTTTATGATGGGCATTTAGTTATCAAGCTTGTGCTTATTTGAGTAGCCCTTGCATAATCTGTTCAAGTATTGCGATATTGCATATGCATTTGGCCTGTATTATTCTTTGTCAAAGTTACTAGTTGCATGTGTGTATGTATTTTGATTTGTTAATGAATTAATTTTGTTGATATACAGAAACATTGAAACAATTAACTCGAGCATACAACTCTATTCAAAGTTGTTTTATAGCCAGTGTTTCTCCAACAGGTGATGAGAAAGGTAGATAATTCTGGAAACATTTATGCAATTCCTTTAAATTGGCCTATTACTTTCTTCACACACACTTAAATTAGTGTTTAGTCGGCAACCTTCACCAGAATTGTTGGCCAAGTTGATTGATAGACTTGAGTGAAAGCTGAAACTCAAAAGGAGCCAATGTTTGTTCTTCTTGTTCCAGTAAAGTACAGTCCACCTTGGTGCTGGTGTATTGTCGTACTAAAGCTCATCATCTTAACTCTGAGAGTTCATATGTAACTTGCAAAATTATAGGAGGAAAAACCATTACTCCTGAATATAAATGATTATGTTTGATGTAAGATGAAGTAAAGGAAAAGAAGGGATGAAATAAAAACTTTAATTGTGCTCTGTGTTTTTCTATTTCATTGATTTAGTTACTGACGAGGGTGTTTGACATCATGAGGTCTAAGAATCCTGACATGGTAACGGGAGAGAAGAAGAGGTTTGTTATGAGACCGCCTCAGGTCGTCAGGGTCGGAACAAAGAAGAGCTCCTTCGTCAACTTCACTGAAATTTGTAAAATGTAAGTATAAATGTCTTTTTCTACAATTGTTTTTCAAGTATTTTATGTCAATGTGATTTTCTTGTGAGGATTTTTTAACATTTATCAGTACCTTGTATATTTTAGATGGATAAGTTGCATTTTACATCAGTTGTAAATCTTCTTCCTAATAAAATCATTTTCTCTACTATGTTCATGATGCTGAGAAATATTACAATTCTGCAAAGTGGTTGGTTGATAAGGATTATTTGATGAAGAAAGTAAAATTAGTTGAATCCTACAACACATTACTGGTCACCTGTGTATTAAATTTGATAAGTTTAAATGTAAAGTGATTACGTTGTAAGAGATATTGTTTTATGTTGTGATAAGTAAGATATCATGAATCATTTTGATTTTGTTCTCCAGGCTTCATCGACCTACAGAGCATCTTCTCAACTTCCTATTAGCTGAGTTGGGTACAAGCGGGTCAATCGACGGAAACAACCAGCTTATCATCAAAGGTCGCTTCCAACAAAAACAAATGGAGAGTGTTCTGAGGAGATATATCAGTAAGTATTCACTCTTATCCTGGTCAATCTTATCTCTTATTGACACAATAGATAAGTTTAAACCCACCCTGAAAACATATTTATTTCAATTGTTTATCAATAAAATCCAATCTCTCTGCAAACAATATATGGGTAAAAGCTTTGTGAAAAAGTTGAAATAGTGGCCTATTTTTGTACAAAAGCGATGAGTTTAAACCTCTCAATGTGTTGCCAATTTAAGGATTCTAAAACTTTTTAAAATTAAAAAAAAAAAATCCTGGCATCTAATGCAATATGATCATGCAACAAAATGGATGCAGTGTGTGCAGAAATTTTTTTCTTTTCGACCCACGCATCTGGTATATTTTTAGGGCTCTGCATCAAAAGTTATTGAGCCAAACTACAAAATGTGGAAAGCCTGTCACAAAAGGACTAATGCACGTCTATCTGTCTTGTCTTTTTGCAGAGGAATATGTAACCTGCCATACGTGTAGATCATCAGAGACCTTCCTACACAAAGAGAATCGACTCTTCTTCTTACAATGCGAGAGGTGTCAGTCACGCTGTTCTGTCGCTAGCATCAAGTCAGGTTTCCAGGCCCTTACAGGCAAAAGGGCACAATTACGTGCCAAGGCAAACTGAAAGGGTTTTTCGTGTTTATATGTAAAAAGACCTTCTCTTTATAACAATGTTGTTCTTTACTGTATGCATAGATAGATATGTTACAATGATATTGGTACGCATCATGCACGGGCCAGATGGACAATTACTCAACCCTGTTTTCACAATTCCCACTTTCTCTTTTTTTTCTATTGGGTAGTAATGATAATTTTGTCCTTCTACTTGTGTTTATTTATCCATGAACCCTTATCTTCTAAGTAATTGTTCTTTGTTTAGTATGTGTTCCCTTCAGAATGTTTAATTCAGTCTGAAGCTTGCACAATTTGTTCTTTTATTGGTGTTAACACTTTTATGGCCGAAACCTTCAAATACGTGTCACCAATGATCATCTCCAGAGGCAGGGCAATGAAAAAAGTCTTTATGAGAGATGCTTAACGGTTAATAAACATGTCTCTAAAAAGACGGGAATTTAAAGGGTTAGTTAGCCCAGTGCATGCTATGTTTATCATTTGTTCTGTGTATACGTCACCCTGTATTTTAGTGTTTTGTCTGTTCTTTTGAACCTTTCACGATTCTCTCTTGTTATGAATATATTCACTTTTAGCTTGTCACATTTTTTTTGTTTTTTGTTTAACCTGACTGCTAAGAAAGCATGTGTAACTATGCTTGTAAGTGAGCAGCCAGGGGACCCACAGCTTTAAGTCTTCTCCTGGGGACTTGGTAATGAAGATTAATGCCTTACCAAAGGGCACTGTGCTTCGAACCCTGGACCTCCCGGTTATGAGACCACTGCTCTACCACTGAGCCTTCCCGCCTTCCTGTATGGAAACGCCAAATTAAACAAAATTGAATTGATTATTCAAAACTACACATTGGAAGGGATGTCTCTTGAACTTTTTCTGATTAATTTTGTAACATGTCAGATAAAGAGCAATCTCTTATTGTCTCCTTCTCATATTATTCTCATACACTGTTTTTCCCAGAGGAAACAATCTACCAAAATGTTTGGAACAACACATTTTGAATTTTTATAAATGGATTCAATATCGGTACTTAAAACAATCTGCAATTTAGTTTGTGCTAGAATTTTGATTTGATTATTGAATTGATTTGACAAACTTACAAATTGTATCTTTGATATAAAATCAGAGATTCTTTGCAAACAAATCTGTGTAGAAGTTTTTGATTTGGAATGACCGACTCTATCCCTCTAGTTAAGTGAACACAATTGCAAGCAAAATATTACACTGCATGTATATTTACAATTACCAGTACAGAATATAACAAATCAATTCCCTTTTCAACCTTGTGTTTGTTTCTCGTTATTCAAGATTATTATCTAAATGAATGAAGAGATCATAACAATGTCAATATTTTTGTATGCAGTATGATGTGGACACATGGATATACATTTATCTTCACTGTTGGCATAAGGGTGGATCATTTTGCTTACCTTTTTCATGAAATGATTGTGACAATATGGTTTATTCCTGATAGATGAAAATATATATCTTCTGAAAACTTTATTGCTCAATGTAAAGAGTAATGGATAAATAAAGTTCTGAGAAGAAATAAACTTTATTTGTCAAGGATAAATCATAATTTTAATTATTCATGAAAAAAGGTAAGAAAAATCATTGAAACTTTTTTGGCAACAATTTATCATAAAGGGTGGTTTGTTTGTACTTAATAGTTGAAATAATTACCAGCCCTGTACCACATACATTCATTTAGTTCAACTTTCTGAAGAAGAGCTTACAGCAGGAAGAAAGTGTGTACTTCTAGTGTATTCAAATACACACAAACTCTCACATTTAATATTTGGTGAGTTAAATGTAAAAGATAATTCTTTTATCAGAAGTTTTATTCTGTAGAAAAAGCTTAATCAGGTATCAGAACACAATACCTCTCACCATTATTGATGAAGAACGCAAATTAAGTACAAGAAGTTTTCTTTCTTCAAATGGGTGGTGTAACTATTGTTCACCTCATCCTCCTCTAAATATTCTAATGAGATTTGAGTGAGCAAGTGTGTTTTACCACTCGGTCATATATATTTTTGACTTTCATTTTCAGAGATCCAACATCTTTTGCCTTTATAACAGATTGTGTTGGTAGAGAACGTTGCCTTTTTCTTATCCTGAGTTGACCCGAGTTTCATTCCATAACAATTTTTGTTCTCATTTGAAAGAATTGTGAATCAAATCAATCATGATGTGATCTTGATAGAATGATTAAATTTTGAAGAGATTTCAATTGGACATTGTCTTGGTTTTGTAATATATACCAGGTATATTTTTTTCTCTCTGTAACATAAGATGTATTATTTTGATATTCCCTTTTTATCAATTTGTTCAATTAAATTACTGTGATCAGGGGACAGTTCAGAATGGATGATGGAAGAAAGAGAGTGCTAGTGAGATGTAGAGTAGAGTAGAGAAGAGAAATAGAGAGATAAGAGGGAGATGGAAGAAAGAGAGAGGTAGAGGAGAGATGGAAAGAGAAATCCAGAGATATGAGGGAGATGGAAGAAAGAGAGAGAGAGAGGAGAGAAGCGGAAAGAGAAAGAGGGAGATGAGATAGAGAGAGAGAGATGGAAAGAGAAATAGAAATAGAGAGATAAGAGGGAGATGGAAGAAAGAGAGAGGTAAAGGAGAGATGGAAAGAGAAATCCAGAGATATGAGGGAGATGGAAGAGAGAGAGAGAGAGAGAGAGAGGAGAAGCGGAAAGAGAAAGAGGGAGATGAGATAGAGAGAGAGATGGAAAGAGAAATAGAAATAGAGAGATAAGAGGGAAATGAAAGAGATAGAGGAGAGAGATATGAGGGAGGAGGAAGAAAGAGAGAGGTAGAGGAGAGACAGAAAAGAAATAGAGAGATATGAGGGAGGAGGAAGAAAGCGAGAGAGGTAGAGGAGAGACAGAAAAGAAATAGAGAGATATGAGGGAGATGGAAGAAAGAGAGAGAAAGAGAGATATGAGGGAGATGGTAGAGAGAGAGAGAGGCAACTGGGAAAGCGTAATGGAGAGATATGAGAGAGATGAAAGAAAGAGATGGGTAGAGGAGAGACGGAAAGAGAAAGAGAGATAAAAGAATGAAGTAAAGGATAAAAGTGATGCAATGATGCAGAGGAATGGAGGTTGAACTTGAAAATGTAAACAAAAATGAGCAGAATAAAAATGCCAAATAATAGGAGTGGATTGAAAAAAAGAGAGGGTGATACAGATGTGTGAAGAGAGATTGTTCATGTACAGAGAGGAGAGAGAGGTGGAAAAGGTGCCTGTTTTATCCTCATTCTCTTCCTCTTTCTCTCATTGGTGCTCAGACGTATCCTCTGACTACAGTTGCGCTGGGTTTTACTTTGTCAGAGATATTGGGTTGGGTTTTGGGTTAGATTTGCGGTTGGGTATGTAATAATCTTTATTTTTGTGCAACTCTTTGCTTATTTTGTTATACAATGGACAGGCGCGGATCCAGGATTTCTTGGGGGGGGGGGGGGGGGTGGGGGTGGAGGCCCAAATTTGAAATCAATTTGAAATTTAGTGTGCTGTAATTTGAAAATTGGGGGGGGGGGGGGGGGGGGGTAGTGAGCACTAGTTTTTTTTTTTTTTTACTGAGCCCCGGCCCCTTGTGCAAAAAGGAAAAGTTAATTTTCTGGTCACAATTTTTTTTGGTTGTTTTGCCAGTCTTTTTTTTGGGGGGGGGGGGCAAGGCCCGCTCGCCCCCCCCCCCCTGGATTCGCGCCTGACAATGGCCATCATTGATAGTATGTTAATACGTATTGAGCTCTTGAGCTGTGATATGGTTTTTAATCTTTTTGAATCTATCAATCAAAAGAAGGAGAAGACAAGCATAAAACCTGAACTACAAACCATCCCTCTCACTGGCTACGATTCAAAATCTATTAGCACCACATGTGCAATCTCCCCTATTTTCAGTAAAATGAAAATTTACAAAATAGAAGGAAAAAAAATACCTGTTCCACGAGCCAAATTTTACCAGTAACTTTTTAAATCTCAACTTTTAAATATCTGTATTTGGAATCATAACTAAAATCGCAAGTCTTTGAATGAAAAAGAGTGATGAAAAACCAGTAACTGGCAAAGTTGTTTCAACTGAAGGCCATTTTTTGCAAATCTGGACCACTCAAGAAATTAGTTTAACCATTTAATACAGGAGCCAGGTGGTCCCTGTATTAAGCCTATGGCAATGAGAGAATTCAGTAGCGGAAGTTTCTGGCATCTGAAGGTTTCTGATTTTACAATACATAACTATACCTTAAACAAATAAATTGACAAAAATACACAATTCTTGATTTCTCTATGAAAGTTTAATCTTTAAAGACGGATAAAGTCGATGATTGGAGAAAAAAACTGTGGAAAAAATTAAGAAAATAACTGACAAAAATGTTCATGAGTATTATTAATACAATGTACAATATTTCTTTGGCACCACAATAAGAAATAATTCCCACCAAAATGTTTTGAATTTTAGAGATAGAGTATCATCTACATACGAATGAGAATCAAATAATTTCCAAACCATTAAATAAATTGACCAACTCATAACTGTACAGTAGCCCTCAAAATGAGTTGAATAAATTTGTAATACCCAACTTTCCTCAATATAAATGACCAGAAGTGCTTATATAACTAGAATCAAAATGAAGTGATTTTCTTTTACAGTTTAAAAGTATAATGTGTACAAGTAATTCAATTCAAATTAGGTAAGATGTATTTAGCCAGAGCTATAACTAACAGGATAGTTCATATGAGGAATGCAGTTAGAAATCATACTAACATCATTTTTGTAGTTGGCAAGTCTGATATTGTGTGTAAAAGCACAAAAACCAACAAATACTTGGGATCTATGTTCATAGATGAAACTAATGTATTCTTTTCTCTCCAACTATACTTTATACTTAACATTTATGCATTTAAATGACTGGGTGCCTGTATGTGAGGAATCATGAAGTTTACATATGTACATGAATATGTTCAAAAATGTTCTTCATTGTGGTGAAATACAAAGTTTAATGTTGCAAGATTTCTAATACACATATCCGAAATGAAAAATTAAGAAATATTGATAACAACAGTTTTGCAACTATATTATATACTGTCCAGTGTGAAAAAACAAAGTGAGAAACAAACCGAACCAAACACAATGACATACATGGTTTAAAAATACACTTTATGAAACAGAAAATGAAAATGTGTTTGTCTAAACATATTCTGAAAATAATACTATAAGTGATATCATTGAATTGAATGTGCACAAGTCTTTTTTGGGCATGGTATTCCATAAAACATGACCACAATGGCCCGAATTCACAAAGCAAGGTTTGAGCTCAAACCTCCTTTTGTTTCGCCAAACCTCCTTTTGTTCTTTACAAACCAGGTTTGTAAAAAACGCGTAAAACGCGTCATATGACATACAAAAACCAAGGTTTGACGACAAACCTCCTTTGTGAATTCGGGCCTAAATGTTTACATGTAAAAATGCAATCATGAAATAAAACTATTGAAATTGAAAAAGATTAAGAAACCTAAGGCATTGAACATTCTATATCATATTCTCATCACAGCTTCCTCGTCTATGATTACAATTGATTGATTCGAGTATTATGATCCTTGTGTGAGGATGGGCCACTCACAAAATTACTTTTGGTAGATACCTAGGAGCCGTTTCTCAAAATCCATCATAAGTCTAACTTCTTGGACACCCCATTGAAACAAGTGTTTCATGAGTTTATATGGGATGTCCACAAACTGCGACTTATGACAGTTTCAGGAATAATTGGCACCTGTTCATTTTCACTGAACAGATTATCTAATTTTATACCAGCACCCACTAATTAGCTACCGGTAAATTCTATTTTGAAAAGCAAGAGTGGAAAGTAAAATGTAATATACAAGTCAAACTAGCGAGGGACAATAGAGCAATACCAGTCATCATTGGTCAATTATCTTTTGGAGTGGGAGAAAAGTTGGATTAAAAGATTAATCCAGGAGGGCTAATAAATGACTAGACAAAGAAATGAAAAATAAAAGACATTTATCAAAGTATCTTGAAATGTATTTACATGTTTAATAAACAATAAACGCCTTTGTCCTCCATTTTGAATTAAGTGAAGGAACTGGGCCCTGTTTCATAAAACTTATTGTCTATAACAAATGCTAAACTTATATGACAAATTTTTGCTCAGCCAATCAAATGCCACAATTTCAGAAGCTTTAAACAGTTATTGGTAACTTGTCATTGATAACAAGTTTTATGAAACAGGACCCTGATCTGCACAATAATTTAAAGTGCTCATTGACGTCAGAAAGATTTTTTGGTTGAAAAGACCTCTATTTACAGGTAGGCATATTTATACAAGATTTACAAGTCTGTAAAACACTTCTCCAAGTCTCACTCTTATCATAACAAAGAGTTTTTATTCTGTAATTTCATACCTCACAGGGAACTTTACAAGCTTACAATTTCCTACAAGTGAAGTGCTTCAATATGAGTTCAATACATTGCTTTAGCAGATACATATGGTTATATAAATGAAATAAGGATTCAATCAGATTTTGCAAACACACATACAAACACATGTGATTCCCTGCGAGATATACAAGGGATTTGATTCAACAATAACGACAAACTTCAAACCGTATCGTGTTTTACAGGATTTCTTCCACTAAAAATATCAAATAAAAATAGTTGAAGAAAACGGGTATTGGCTTTTGCAGGCTTATGTTTAGATAGCTATCAGGCAAGAATTATGTTGAATCATTGTATTCCTCATCATAAGATCAAAAAGTGAATTCCTATCTCATATACATCATATCTATAAAGTAGGACTTTACATAGGGTAATAATGGGAGCAAAATATTGACACCGCAACCTTTCAGGCTTTTAATAAACCATATAGTAGGAATATTCCCTGGGATAAATCTGATGACCGAGATAATAATCTCTGTAAAGCGCTTAAGAAACGGTATTCATATTACACGCTATATAAATCCAGATTATTATCATAACGGCACAATATAAAAAAGCCCTTGATTGAAGTGATTCACATAATGTTGATGAGAATGGCACAAACCAAAGCGTTGGTATTGAGTGTGTTATACTCTTCTGGGTGTGCTTGGCTGAAGAAGCATTGTAGCTGATGCAGCTTGAGGAAAGATGGCATGGTAGTTAGCGACAGGCATGTAGGCTGCAGTGATCATTTTACCTGTAACAAGATCAGACAAAACAAACATGTGTATTAGTCTCCAATTCTACAATCAAACCATACCTAAGCATTGATACACTGTAATTAAATCAGATGAGATTGAAAGTTTTTTGGGGGAAATGACATGTCAAATGAGAGAAAAGGTGTGCATAGTCATATTTCAAGTTTTCCTGAATATTAAAACACTATAAAATGGGTTCAAGAATGTAGCCAATGAGACACGTCGAAATGGATCACATGTGCGTGCATAAATTCTTACCATATGGGGAGTGTATTTTGGTGATAACAACCATCAACTTTTTAAACTTTATACTCATATTGCAGACCCATCCTATAAAACAAATAATACATGTTTTTAGCTCGTTTATTAAGTGATATGCACTGCACTTGGCTGAATCACAATAAGACAAACAATGAACTTGACAAGTGTTGTTCATTATTCTACTGTGACTTAACCTGCATGCAGTGTCATCATCAATCACCTCATCAGTTTCTGATTTTACTATAACCCCCTGATGACCTTTACATCTTATATCACCTTCACAGGATTCACAACTCCCACAATAAGAACAATGGTCTGTCATTGGACATGTCTAGGATTGAGACATACCTGCAAACCATCTGTTGTGAAGGTTATTGAGGGCAGCCATAGCTATCTGTGCAGTCGGGCACTTGACATAGACATTGCCTTGTGGTGATGCTTTATCTACATGTATGTGAAGAACTCCTCCGTGTTTGTTACATTCCTCAATCACGTCGTCTCTGATATCCGTCTCCCAACCTAACATTGTCTCTCTGTAAACAAAACATTCAGAATTGTCAGTTGAACATTCAAGTTTAGGATAAAGACAAGTGGATAGCATTTCACTCTTTTCTATAGAACCAGCAAATATGATAAATGATTGCAATTACAATAGAAGTATTGCACCAAAATCAAACAAAATATAAATGAACAAATTGTGGGCAGAATGAATGAACATGAACCAACAAAACAATCAGTATTATTTTTTATTTTTTCTAAGTATGACCAAATTAAAATCTGAGGTTAATGATAGAGTGCCTGTACATTCTTCCTGATGATAAGTTCACTCTAAACATGTATTATTATTCCCCAACTAGTCCTCAAATATTTGTACGCATTGCTTCACATATTCCCAATATACAACTCAACTAATGAATTACTTATGACTAGTAACTTGACTAGTTAAGCTGTGAGCACCCAGGAGATTGCTTCAAATGTTCTCAATCTAATGAATGACAAGTTTAGCTGTGAGCACCCAGGAAATTACTTCATATGTTCTCAATCTAATGAATGACAATGTAAGCTGTGAGCACCCAGGATAGAAGAAACTCTGTGTTAATACGTTAATACGCTGATGAGAAACCTCTTTAGTCTGCCCTTCAGAAGCAGTGAGGAAATAATGCCTCATTACATCATCTCTCATTAACAATATAGAAGAATTTCTAAGCGTTACAAGATATGAGGATTAATTCCTCACAATAAGCCAGTTTACGGTTGCAGTCTGAGCATGAGCAGATAAAGGTCATTTGTACCAAAAAGGTTAAACCCACAGAGATGAATACTGGATATGCGGTCATGACAGTTATGTAACATTATTCATTTATGCACCAACGGTACATTCTAAGATACGCAGGTGGAAGTATTCTTTTCAAGAGGATTCATGAAGCACATCTAGGACTTTGGCAGTTATTATTCTAAGATGCTCAAAGTGGAACTTCTCCATGTGTAAAAGATCTGTGGATATTCGGGGTCATTTGTACCATGTGCTATCTGTAAACTCCCCTATACTTACGCTTGAGGATCAAACATGTTAGAGAGCATGAAGCAAGCTGTAGATCCAGCTCCAGTAGGTCCAGGTCCTGCTGCAGCTGGTGCTGGGGCCTGGGCTACAGGTGCTTGTGCTACCTGCTGTGGTTGTACTTGTGGGGGTTCAGGTAATAGACCAGGTCCTAGAGGTGGTATACCTGATAACACGTCTGGAATGGATCCCATTCCAAGCGCCAAGTTAGTCTGTAAGATACACAAAGATACAGAGTTGATTTATAAAGAAAATGACCTTTGCTGATTTTCATCATCTATCAAAAGTCCTAACCCATAAACAGACTGGACTGAGTAGATGTTGTTCCAACCTCAAAGGACCTAACCTATAATTCTGTCTGGAAAGATTTTTTTCCAAAATGCACACTGGAAAACAAACAAAAGCGCTTGTCCCCCATCCCCCCCCCCCAATTTTTTTTATTTTTAAAATAACATAATAAATAAATAAATAATAATAATAAACAATAATAATAATAATAATAAATAAAATAAGTAAAAATCACAAATAAATTAAATAAATAAATAAGAATTCATACTTGAAGGTAAACCTAGACTAAGAAAAACTAGCTTTGTGGCTTATCAAAAAATACAAAAAGATATAGATTTTATTCATTGACATGTGATAATACCAGCAAACATTAAGAAACATTCTTTGGGCTACCCTGCATTTAAATTTGCTCCGTCCAATACTTTCACTGAATGTGTTTAGTACCTGTGCAGCGGATGCTGTAGCTGCTGCTAGAGCCTGTGCACTGTGATGAGCTTGTAACTGAGCAGCTTGTAATGATTCCTGTAGGTTCATAGTAGCTGGTGGTAAGGTGATGGGCTGATTGGGAATGATCTGGAGACCTTGTAGACCTGGTAGACCTAGTCCTGGTACCTGACTCAATGGATGTAACGCCTCTGCTGCTGCTGCTGGGATCTGGAAACCAGTACCTGCACATTAACAAACAAATACACTAATATACTGTCCTTTGGCGAGACATTAATCTACCTACTCTTAACCCAGGTGTAGTGAACAGGTACTGTTAAAGACCTTTTTCTTCCTTGAATGCTTTTAGCAGCTGAAGGCAGCTGGTAATGTCAGGGTAATAACAAGACTTTGTGGGCACCTTGAGTGATATATAGTATCTTACACAGATGAATACATGCTTTGCCACAAACCCGCAGGTAACTCGTACAACGTTTAGACTACAGCGGGACCCAGATTCTTTGGCATTTCGTTGGAAACAATGCTCAAACATGCATTTGTTGGTATGAGTGGGATATCAACGCCTTTGAACATTTTAAACAGATAAATAACACCATACAAGTGCTGTGGATCATTATCATCATCATCAACAGGGTGATCCACAAACATTCAAACATGTTAAATTGGAACATAAATGAGTATGAACAGAAGTCCCTTTTGGACAGGGTCCAGGCTTGCTTTGAGACTCTTAGATGCACTCTGGTGCAATCTGACCCATATTTTGAAACACATTAGATGACTAATGTTTTATGAATAATTTTGGTTGTGAATGCATATTAACCGGTTGCTGATTTTCCAACCTATACAGTCAAAATTCAAACCTGTCGCTGTATATGCTTAAAGCCTCTCTAAAATGTTGGGAGCCCCCCAAAATGATGGCAAAATTTAACTTAAATTGTATAATGTGAAAGGGGATGTCATTTCAGACATATTTAAGCAAGAATTTTCAAAATAAATGTGTTTGAAGCCAAATATTGATGAAAGAATACAGAATTTAAGTTTTTTGTTGTACGCAGAAAAACTTATTTTTGTATTCTTTCAACCCCTTGTGGACCACCCTGGTATCCAGGTCTGCCGGTGATCTTACCTTCAGCTAGTTTGGCCATGAGTTGCAATCTTCCAGTGGTATTGAGTGTAATACCTCTCTTATCTAACTCTTCGCTATCCAGGAATGATGGAGCTTGTTGACCTTGTTCATTCCTCTCTGTTACATGGTTGACTTTCATTGGTCTTCCAGCTAACTCAAAACCATTCAGCTGATCTAAAGCTCTCTTCGCATCCTCAGCATCATGGAACTACATACAAAACAAAATACATCAACGTTTTATAAGATACTACCCGACTTTTGAATCGCGAATTGAGTGTCAAATCAGACATGAGCGCTATACAAGAACCCACTATTATTATTATCATCATTGAGAACACAAGTTGAAATTAGTGAAAGTATTATTGGAAGCAAGATAATAGGGTTTCTGGCAATATATTGGAATTCCTTGCAAATTGCTCCCGTAGATATGAAACCTATGATAAATTATATATTTTATACCATGATATGAATGCGAACATAAAGGAGGTCTGATCTCGTAATCAGTAAATAAAACAGTCAGGAAAAACATGATTTTATGGGGGGTGTGTAATGTTATTTCATGGGCAATCAACGTGTGAGAGAATGGTCATTCGACCGTGAGAAATCTTCATAACTGACGGGTCAAGAATGCTATTTTATAGGTGACATCATCTATGGTGGAGTGGAGTGTACTTACAGTAATAAATCCATATCCTTTGGATCGGTTGGCATCTGTATCCATCATCAACTGAATATTGTCAATCTGCAAGGGATACAAAAAGGAGTTAAGGAAATGAAACCATGAGCAAAAGAGAAATGTACTCTCACATGAGAAAGACAGTAAAGATGTTGGTGAACTGGCTTAACTATGTCATGGGAAAATATTGGTTACAAGAGCAATGCTATATAACTCTATAATCAAGAAGCTTATACTGTATACTATAGTGATGTTTAATTTATTACAGACTATATCAGCAAACGAGCATTGCATTTTTATAATTAGTGACAAAAAAATATATTTAAAGATATTCTTTTGGACTTTAATTTGGTCAAGTGCATCAGACCTGCCAACCTCTGGAGTTCAAAAACTGTATTCTTTAGTGTCAAAAGTTGTATTTTACTGACAAAAGTTGTATTATAAAATAAACACGGATTGTTACGCAGATCGATGCCTCTTACAGTTTCTACCTACAGGAAGAATTTTTTTTATTAATCATTGGTTGAATATGCATTATTTCGTCACGACTGGTGTGTAAACATCCCCAAATTGCCGATATGAGATGCATGTAGGATACTTTATTAGACAGAATGGACATTTTGCCATTGAAAATGGCGGACGCACACACAAAATATTAATTTAAAAAAAAAAAAAAAAAAAAAAAAAAAAAAAAAAAAAAAAAAAAAAAAAAAATCGTTTTTTTTTTTTGTTGAAAATCGTATTTTATTAAGGAAAATCGTACTGTCGTATTTGCTTCTAAAAATCGTACTAAATACGACTAAATCTTACTGTTTGGCAGGTCTGGTGCATGCTATATTGGCACACATTTGGACTTCATAAACTTTAGTTGGTACAATGTGGCAGGCAAAAACAACAGGGTTGGTCATTGGACGAGGACAAGATTCAGTTCTTTGGAATCCCTGCCGGTACTTACCTTTCCAAATGGTTCAAAGATGCCTCTAAGCATGGCTTCTGTGATGTTATAATGTAGAGATCCTACGTAGAGCCTCATAGGACCTGAGTTGACTTTCTGTAGAGTCACATTCTGACCAGCGGAACGGTTCTTCTCTGCATGGGACGGCTGTACTATGATAGGCACACCTAACAGCTTCTGATTGTTCAATCCTAGAGCCTGCATAGGTCACACAAAACAAAGAATTCATATCATAAGAAATTATTTCATTGCTACACAAATTTACCAATTTAACCCTTACTGTACTGGGCTATTTCAAGCACTCTCTGACTGGGGGGGCATGGGAGGCCCCCCCCCCCCTATGATCTCGGCCGTAGAAAGTCCGATGAACGCGAAAATGTGCATGTTTGTAGATATTTACGTAAGGAACAAGATGTTATAATTAGTATTTTCCTAATATGCACATTTTTGTTGTTATAGCCTAATTTTATCATTTTACAGAAAACTCTACATATTTGTCCGTAGAATTGTGAAGAATCTTGAAAATGTATTGAATAAATGTTTCCTTCATCTCAAATTCATGAGGTTTCATTATTTTTTATATTTGAAAATGCATAGCTTAATTTCCATAAAATATGAATACGCATTCATAAATATTAAATCTGGAAATATATATAGGGAACAAGAATCATTACCAAAATTGTCAGACTCCACTTTTTGAATGTTGAAACTCATTATTCATATGAAACTTCTTTTCTAACACAAAATAGTTATTTGATGTACAAGGCCAACGAGACTTACCAGTGGTACTGAATCTGCAACATCATACTCCACATAACCAACTCCTTTCGATCTCCTCGAGTTACGATCTGTGATGATTTTTACAGTTCTCACCTTGAAATAAGAAAATAAATAATAATTGGTTCATCATCAATGTATATATAAATGTCTTCTACTTATAATGTACACTATCATGATTAATGATTATCACCCATGTTTGTCCTTTTCTCTTTCTTTTAATCAGAGCTGCAATACAAAGACTGTTCTAGTATATCTAGAGTATACTATACTGCTGAGAATTAAATGTGAGAAGTAAGATTTTTTATCTTTCCTACTGATAAGAATTCTCCTTTTTTGCTCGTTGTGAGAGCTGCATCACAAAGACTATTCTAGTATCTCTGGGGTACACTATATTGCTATTATTGAATATGTGAGGAGTGAGATATTATACCTTTCCAACTGATGAGAAGAATTCTTTGAGTTCCCTTTCTTTTGCTCTCTGTGAGAGCTGCATCACAAAGACTGTTCTAGTATCTCTGGGGTACACTATATTGCTATTATTGAATATGTGAGGAGTGAGATATTATACCTTTCCAACTGATGAGAAGAATTCTTTGAGTTCCCTTTCCTTTGCTCTCTGTGAGAGCTGCATCACAAAGACTGTTCTTGCATCTCGGGTGTCTGCATCAGGATCATCTCGCCTGAAATAAAATAATGATAAGATTAGTAAATTTAGCTGGCAGTGAACAAAAATGTACATACATTAGCTTGTGATTTTCTTTCTCGCCTGAAAAAAAAAATATACAAGATTAATAAATTCAGCTAGCAGTGAACAAAATAGTACATGTATTAGCTTGTGATTTTTTTTTCTTTTGCCAGTAATTGCAACTGGCAAGATTTATACAAAGCATTATTAGTATTTAAAGCAGTACGACTTTGGATATTTTGCCTCTCAAAATAGATTTCCGATTATCAACAATTGAGACTTGCAGTTGCAATCACAAAACTAGGCAATTCCCAGACAGGAAAGTATTTATGATCATAGTAAGCATAACAGACACATAAGTTGCCTGTTTTACTTTGATATATAAATTAGACTTGTCAATCTGTTAGACTACTCTTTATATGTTGTTTACTAAATGACTTACACAGGGCTGATTTCCTTGTCCTTGTTGCGTTCTTTGCTGCGTGACCTCTTTGACCTGTAGTTATCTTCCTCCCTGTCTCTATACCCTCGTCCACCCCTATAGCCTCCTCCTCCTCCCCTTCGGTCACCTCCCCTGTATCCTCCATAACGTTCCCTGCTCCGGCTCCTCCTCCTCACTGGGCTGCGTCTTCTCTCCCTCTCTCTATCACGATCCTTTCTGTCTCCATCTCGATCCTTCCTGTCTCCATCCCGATCCCTCCTGTCTCCTCGGTCCCTGTCATGATCTCTATCCCCTCTATCCCGCTCTCGATCCCTGTGGCTGTCCCTGCCCCTCTCACGATCCTTGTCTCGGCCTTTGTCTCGGTCCTTGCGATCCCTATATGCAAGGAGGAAAGTCAACACAGTAAGCATAATTCAAACAACTTCCTAGTAGTATTAATCTACGAGAAAATTACTTAACCCAATAAATTTGTAGTTTTATATTATGATAATAAAATAAGAATTTATAAATATCTGAAAGTATACATGTAGGAAATCCACCATAATGGCATTCATTTATAAATAAGGATCAGTAACATAGAATGGATATATCACTCTTTATATCTGATTGGATTGAAGTTAAATTTACGTTGAATTTACTGTGAATCTACTAGGCTTGGGCGGTTCCCTTGTTGATGAGAACCGACTCCGGTTCCCACTCTCGGCCTCGGTTCCGAGTGGAATCGACTCCCGCTGGCTGCCATATACACTTATACAGTATATGTAATTGAAGCCACAATGCTGTAAAGGCCACACACACACACACACACACACCAGGGAGGTGTTTACACACTGTATGTTATGTACTGTGCATGTCGGCTCCACTCAGCAGTGGCACCGATAGCAACAGATGATTTTCTGAGATATTTTTTTGGAAAACTTTACTTTTAAAAATGAGTATCAAAAGTATGAATGTATGTGTGACTTGTGTGTGTAAATTGATGTTTTGTTTATATCTGTTTTGTCTCATGATATCTCTACAATTACATGCAAACAATATATAAAGAAGATCAAAGTGCAGACCTTCATAAACAGTTATGAAATGATTTATTTTACTACTTTCGATCAAATCGAGAAAAAAACATGACCACTGCTAATAAAGTAATTAATTATTTAATAACTCATGGCAACTTGGCAACAATGTAAACAAACAAAAATATGTTAGGTCTAATTTAAATTCTAAACTTCAACATAGAATGATGGAATAATCAACTCGTACTTACACTGCTAAAATGTAAGAAATGCAGAACAATTATTTCCAATATTACGGTAAACAATCTATTATGTAAAACTAAAGATTCTGATTCCCTGCCTAAAATAAATGGAATGTATCCGAAACATGCCTGGTCCGCTGGCTCTCCTCCCAGGGACCAACCTTCATCTGAGAGCTAAGTGTAAATAACTCATGCTCACATGGCCGCCCGCCCGCCCAATGCCACCCAAAAACTTTAATGACCCCAGCCCCAGCTCGTGGCACTCCATTCCCATGGTTACTACTAACCACGTGCTTTCTAAACAACAGATAACAGCGCTAGATCTTGGTTTCAGAATAACTAGTCTGCATTTTCAGCCACTATTAGAGATTGCGCTAATGCCACAGCGAGAGGGGACACTTGACTTGCCTGAATTATTCTTATTTGTTGAAATACCCCCAAAAAGAACACAAGACAGAGAGTTGTAGATCTGCAAACTTATTCTTGAGACAAAAATAATAACAGAAGGGGATGCTAGAGGGGGAGAGAAAGGGAGAAGGGGAGATGTTGACCTGCCACATTTATTCTTGTAAGGAAAACAAAGTAACTGAAGGAAACAAGATATAGGGGGTGGGGGAATGTACATGTAAATTGTAGACCTGTCAAACTTATTTTTAAGAAGAATAAAACTTGATGAGGAGAATTCAAGGGAGAGAAAGGAGGAGGAAATTGTGAGTTGTGTGATTTAGTTTATTTGAGGAAGAAAACTAAACGTCTGATGTCTAGGGGAAGGGGAGACTAGGGATAGAGAGAGAGAGAGAGAGCAAACACAAAGTCACATAAATCAGTTTGCGAGAGAAAACATGAATCAACTCCTTGATCACACACTCCAAGAGGAGAGAAAATGGGGCCATTGTTCCAAGACTCTTGCGCAATTTACCAAAGGTCAAACGTTCAGCTGGGGGGGGGGGGGGCAGTTACAGACAACATGCAGCAGTGCTATACACATAGCACACACATCTCACTCTGATGCACAGTACTACGAAGGAGGTACACACACAAATGTGTGTATCAAAACAGCATGCTGCTAGTGCGCCCATCGCTCGCATGCATTCTGCTTTGACCATAGACGTAATTACGTCTATGCTTTGACAGAGCTGATTTTGTTCATTCTCTGTGCTGTGGAATCGACACCAGTTCGTTCGGGCATACGTCTATGGTTCGGGCAATGTTCCTTCGTTCACTTTTGCAAAGTATCTCTTTGAATTTTGGTGCTGTGGAGTCGACTCCAGCGCCAAAGACTCGGTTCTTATCTTGGAACCGAGTCTCCTTTTCTCGGAACCGAGTCTCCTTTTCTCGGAACCGAGTCTCCTTTTCTCGGAACCGACGTGCTCGAGTAATCGACTCTCTAGAGATTGGAGTCGACTCCTCGGTTCTGGATTTCAGAATCGGTTAGAGTCGGGTACTCGGCTCTCGCTCCCAAGCCTAGAATCTACTATGGTTTATCACCTCTGCACAGATGAATAGAAGATCATGTGGCAAGCAAACACCAAAGGCTTACCATTAAGAAGCAAATTTAAATTGACAATTCAGAATGACCTAAATACTATGGATACATGATTACAGATGTTAAAGTTGGGAGAAATAATATGAGAGCAGTCTCACCTGTGTCTTTCTCTGCTCTTGCTACGGCTTCGTTTCCTGCCTTTGCTCCTGCTGCGACTTCTTCTCCTTTCTTCCCTGCAACACAGACAGTGACAACATGTTAATTACACACATCAAAGTATCTTAGTCTACAAGTACCCATTAGATCCTACATAAAGTACAATTCATATCAATACAATCATTTCATTACTAGCTCTTGCGGTGACTTCCTTTGTTATTTTAAGTTTGATCTTTTCTTCATATTTTTTCAAACAAAATATTAATATAACCTCTTAATGTATCATTTTAGAAAAACGGATTTCTCCTGCCTCTCTGTATTAGAATATTCCCATAATCCTTGAGCCAAACTTTTACCCGCACTATCTAATCCCGTTGCAAGAGAGGTCCAGTGTTTTGACTTCTATTTGTACATTCATTTCTATGCTGGTGATATCTAATAAGCATATGCTTAGCTGCAATATTGAGATGTCATTTATGCGTCAGTCGTTAGAGGGGAGACAGTAATGACATATTTCTAGTACCGTTTGGTATAATAGCTCTCATCTCTCTTACCTCCTAGCACTTCCAACATCACATCATATTGAGATAATTATAAAAGTGATCATTCCCAAAGTATGCCACAGTGAAACAGAGTAGCCCAGGATGATTAATTACTATAATGTACAGTGTATCTCTCATAGCTCTGTCCCCGTTGTAGACAAACCATGTATATAATCTGCAGTCTCAACATCCATGAGACTGCACCTTATACTGTAACCTTATCTACTCTTTCTCATATGTATGAGACTAAAGTAGACAAGCGCAATGTGAGAGGGAGGTGTCAAATCTAATGAAATGGGATGATCTCGACACCTTGCACCGTGAGGATCATCGCTGCTCTTCTTTCTCCAGCCACCAATGGACGAAAACAACTTTCCATTTGTGTTCTGCAGGCGTAGTTGGCTAGGTATTTCTCACTTTATCCATACAATCTGCGGCAATAGACATTGACCCAAGTTGTTACTCATTTCTTAGTTTGTATTGGGGTGGGGACGGACGTAAGGGAGGATTCACATAAACTTAACTTAGACCAGCTCACATTAAACTTAGAATGTATAAACTGTTTTGAAGTCATAGATGCATTAAGTATCTTAAGAGCCAAAATCCTTTGATGAATGAATGGTGTCATATTTCAAATTCCTAACATGAATTGCAAAATGAAAGAAGTTTTGTTTGCTCGGTACACCAGCACTCTCCACTAAAAGGACATGTTCGCCTCTCCATGCATTTCTTTTAAGTAACACGCAACATGAAAATTGAGATGGGGTATACGTCTCTGAGAATTCCATGGAAAACATTCTTGAAGTAACTTCTTATCCTTCCCAGCTCTCTTACACTTGCTGACATTTGGGCATGCATTAAATAAAAGAATGGTATATTTTCGCTCAAGTTCTCTTCTTAAAAGGCGTTTAAAAAAGCAACCATCTATATTCAATCTGGGAGATGGCTAACAATGTCTCTCTGCATCACATTTCCACTATACCTTACCTTAAGAGGGGTTTTTAAGCAGGGCTGACTTTTCCGCATCAAGTTCACCAAACTATCCCTCAAAAACTTGCCACCTATGTGTATGGAGCACACGTGTAAAATTGTTACTGTTTTTTTTCTGGAAAGAAATATAGTCTTTATGATGAGATGTTCATGTGTTTTTATTGGTAGCTCTCTCACACTGTTAATCCACTCTGATGATTTCCACAGACAAACATTCAACATCACGACTGACATAGTTTTATCATAACTCTTCTTCTCTTGCCTATATAAGTGATGCATTGTCATTGTACATTTTCATGAGGTAATAAGTTAGAGACCCTCTATAAACTATGGTAGAGTGCAACTTACTTTTTCTTTGGTGCTGGAGCCTCCTCCTCTGGCACTACTACTTCTTTAGCTTTGTCACCATTCTCAGGGGCAGCTTCCTGGATTCCAAAGGAGAACATCATCAATGTAACACCACAAGCACGATGGGGAGTATTGGGGAGGGAGCAAAAAGGGGAGGGGCAAATGGGATTGTGATGGAAAAAAGGGAAAGAAAAGCAGAACAAAGCAAAGACGTATGAATAAATGTGTTCACATTTCATATCTAGACTATTTGTCCTTTTCTCGGCTAATGTCTTAGAAGCAGCAGTCTCAGTGATAAGTTGTTTGATGCTGTCAAACTAAACATTAAAAAAAAAAAAAATCTTCTTGAGGATGAAATTTCAGCACAGAACTGTGCCAATCATGTTTTCTTCTTCTCTGATTACCATTCAGAAGTCAGCAATGCATTACAAATGAACTTCACATGAGACTACTGCTTCTGAGCGATTTGACACGAGATCATCTCATGTGGTTCCCTTGCTCGTGAACTTACCAGACTTATAACCCACTGTACAACACAATGCTTTCAAATTGACAACACAAATGAACTCGGGGGAATGCTTTGCCTCGGCCCTGCAAAGAACAATACTTACACTGACCAACAACCATCAGTCATGAAACTTTTTAAAAGACCGATCCAAATAGAAAGAGTTGGTCCAAATACCAGTAAAAAGGAATCTGTGACAAATGAAAATGTTGGGAAAGTGTGAAACACTGTAGTCTTTGAGTGATATGAACCTTACTTAAAGCAGAGACCTTCTATTTGGTGCATTGTGATTCTGACAGAGGGGAAGTGGAATTTCTACATGCATTATAATGCATACATTATCTGCCAATGGTGATAACCCCATTAGAAATAACATACATATTCATAAGAATCATCTTCACAGACTAGTGGAGATACATTTATTAGGGGGGGGGGGGAAGTACATATTATATACATAACATTTTTTGGATAAAGTGATACAATCTGCTTCCAAAAATGTTCCCAAATTAACATCTTTATTCCTCAAGCTTAAATGTACATAGCAGAGAAAGATAAACCTGATGATTTACAATTTACAGTTTGCACATCTAATGCACCCCATCCCCCTCCAAAAAAAAAAAAAAAAAAAAAATCAAGAAGAGTACATGAAAAAGATAGGAGTGAGAGAGATCAATTTTGGACTAGAAGGTTAAAGGTGGGCATAACATCATCTTTTAATTTCAAGTATATCTTTAGTCATTACTCTCTTTGTTAATGCTGGAGAAGAACAGACTTTAAGTTGTGACAAGGTGGAAAAGAATTTGGGAATAGATTTAGAAATCATGCATGCATAGCACTCATACAATTACAAACAAAATTGCCCTCATCTCTTTCTTCTTTTGTAAATTCAAACAATTATTGCTATTTTAATACTCTCTACATGTTTTACAATGTATGCCTTTTTCTTGATCTTTATACTCTTGGTCTTAAAGATGATAATATATCTTTGATGTTCATGAGCTGTCTAAGAGCATCTGGATTCAGGTGTAGAAGAACATTCTAACCAAACCTAGAAAAGACAGATGGGAAGTAGATCCGTCATTTGCATTCTTCAAGAGCACTTTACATGAATGGAAATATTATAATGCTGATCATTTGATTAACTTTTCGGATAGAAAACAATTCATTACACAGAAACAAACACACAGGTGATTTGTATAGATACTCCAAACAAAAAAGGTGGTGCATCTTTCAATCAAAAGCAACTCTTTCCTTTCAACTGCTGGGTACAATAAAATGATAAAATATAGAGCCAATGCATATATGGGAACACAGCTTTATTATTATTATTATTATTATTATTATTATTAACTTCAAATGGAAACTGCTTGTTGGCTATGCAGTTTTGTATTGTGTAAATGAGTGATATTATTTTTTTAAATCCTCCTGTTTACTAAACATCCAGTTTGCTAAATTGTTTCAGATGCTGTCATGTATAAGAAATTTAAAATTGAAATTCACTCTCGCTGCAGGGATGAAGTTAATTCTTCAAACCTCCACTTTTTTTCCTACATTCTTACTAAAGCCTGGATGCTTCAAATCCACTCAAAAAGAACCAAGTCTGATTTACAAAGTTCTGTGAAAAGTAACAAAAGGAAAGTTGATCAAACATAGAATCTCACCTCTTTTTTGTACATGTAAGGTGCCTCCAACATGGCCTCAACGTCCAAATCCTCTGTCATTTTGTATTTATTTCCGCTCACTACCACGTCAAGATCTGACCTAAAAAATACAAAAATGAAATAATAATAATGACTGTATACATAAATGTAAATGATATTAATAATATGGTTATTTATATAGCGCTGGCACCCGTCAGGTTCTAACTCTCATGGCGCTTTACACATATTACCCTGGTCGTAGCCGATCATTAATAAGGATCATCCCCAAAAATGCGGACAATCCTTATGTTTTAGGACGCGATTTGTCCGCGTTTACAGGATATCCTAGTTTATCAGTGCTGGTCCATAATGAGAATCGTTTACATAAACGCGGACAGATGCATCCTCATTTTCGCGGACGTTTCCTATCTCCGATCCGAAAACGGATTCTGCAATGATTTTTTAGATGCATTTCACATTGGCTTTGTAGTATTGTAGAGAGACTTTTACATTTAATGAGCGACAAATCCTTGGGAAGACAGACAACCCATAAGAGTAGAGTTAACTGGAGGTATTTTATAACGCGGAATCCGTTTTTTGCATCGCCAGCATGCTGATCGGGAACCCGAAACCTGCAGAGCGCCGATGAAAAAAAAAAACGTCCAGGAAAATGTGGACAATCCTTATTTTTAATCACGCAATTTGTCTGTGTTTACGAGGATATCCACATTTATGCCGACGATCCTTATTCTCAGAACAGCACCCAGTCTGTACTGATTTTTCTTGACGTTTGACTTATTTGGGCAGAATCTTAAGAATTACCAAAATGTTCTCAAGGCATCTTCAAGCTTACCCTTTTGGGCTTTTCGATTTTGTTTTGTAGGTCTAGTCGTAGACTATTGCCGAGCCCGACCCGATTGAACACTCAGTCACAGTCCACTCAAAAGGTCGCCCCACTCACACGACCCACTCACACACCCTGCACTACATAATGTTGTTAATGTTACTGTGTGTTACTTTTTTTTAGTGATTACCAACTTACTGAAGTCTGAACTGTGTTCGATACAACTCGAAATCGAAATTTATGAGTAGATTTTTCATTTCAAAAACTCAAACTTACCTCGATATTACACCGGGTATGTATATCATCAGATGATGCAACGAACCTAGGCACCTTTGTCTCGTTAAAACAGCAAAATAAACGATTCGTTCTCCCCTTCCGCCACAGATTACCACAATTTTCCACAACGCAGTTGTCAATTCAGCAACTCCACACTTAGTGATTTGTAATTTAATAGAACAAAATGTAATTCTTCACAAAAAATGTATAATTAACATTTAAAAATATAGAAATTTCTCATTTATTAGAGTATTATGATACAAGTTGAACTTTTTTATTTCCTCAAAATATACTTTTTATATTTTATATAAACACATTTTGGATCGAGCCAGAGTGCATACGCATGCGTAATACATCATCACGTGAAACGCTAAACCATGCATGCTAGCTAATAGTTCAATGGTTTCAACGGTATTACGTCCAATGTGTACGTTTCTTCTTCGTCCTCTGATCGTCCAAGTAACTACCACGCTTTTGGAATTTGTCATAGCGAATGCATAACGTATCCCCAACGTATCATAACGTTTGTCTAACGTTTGAATGACTGTTCACCTCTTATAATTCTGCGAAGGATACACTCCGCAGTTCTCCAATCCTGGAGGAAACCAAGAAGAAGGAGAAGAAGAATTACCCTTTTTACTTTGACACATGCTCCTTTTCTTTTGTAATATATAATTTCTTTTCCCTTCAGAGTAGTGTCCCATTTTCCATCACACATGCCCCTGCACGAGTGCAACTTTTTCTTTAATTTCCCCCATTTAAAGCTCGCTCGCATTTATTGTTGATATAATTATGTAACTTATTAAATTTCTTTTCAGTCTTTCGTGATTAGATTGCGCTTAAGACCCCATCAGGATTTGTTTTTTCTTCATCATTATGAGACGTAATTGAGACGTATAGCTAGCTAACTCACCGAATCTTAAGACTTCGCTCGCTCACTCGCAAATGATATTCAGACGCCACACTCCAACTGCTAATTACAATGCTGACAGCGTTATTAACACGGGATCAATTGATTCTTTTTGGTTATGCCAAGTTATGCGCAACAATTCCTAAAAGATTGCTCTATTCCATGACCACGTGCTTCGTTTCCGTGTCTTTATATGGACTAACAAGGGCTAACAAGTCTGTCTCGGACATGTCAGGGAGGTGTTACATACCCTGGCCTACCGAAGAAAAAGAGGAAGAAGAGAAAAACAAATATTGAAATCCCTAATAATGTCATGCATCCCGGGGGTAGCTATAATAGCTATAGCCCATTCCAATGTCAATTGTATACAGTCATATTCGCTTGAAGTTTGGAAGTAATTTTGTATTGTGTGTGTGCACAAATAAAGGGGGGGGGGGGGGGCGGGCGGGCTCGTGGTCGATGTTGAGTACAAAGAAAAAACTATGAACAACTTTTTATAGAGGTCCATATCGCCCCCCCCCCCCCCCGCCCGTGTCTTTTCACTTCTGCGGCACAGATTGGGGTTAGGTGCGTGTTGAGCCTATGGGAAAGTTTAGGGTTAGGGTTAACGTTTGAAGAAAAAAAAGCCCCAACTCTGTGCCGCAGAACTGAAATGACGCCCCCCCCCCCCGGCCCCCGGCTTATTCGGCTGGTCGGCTGGGTCGCTGCTAAATATTTTTCTCATGAATTGGGCCCCGTCCCGGCGCCGCCTGCTGGATCCGCCCCTGCCCTTGGGGACCACTCAAAATATTATGGATATTAATTATTCCTCAAAAACACAAATTGACAAAATTCTCTTATTGCAATAACAACGCTGATTTCTTTGCAAATAGGGCCTATATTGACAAATTATTTTATGAAAATGTCATAGGCTTTTACACAGAAGGAATACATTTTTTACGAAGAAAAAAAAATTCCGCTTCATGGTCTCGATTCACAAGGACTGATGACTCTATACCTCCCTCTCTCTCTCTCTCTCTCTCTCTCTCTCTCTCTCTCTTTCCCTCTCTCTCTCTCCCTCTCTCTCTCTAATTATAAACCTTATTTGTTTCCCCCCACCTAGCTATGTGATAATATTATCGGTATAAATTTGTAATGTGATCTATTTGCTTCCATCTGAGAATATCCATGTGCATGTAAAATATTCATGTCGACGATATGTTTTATATACAGTAGATCGTGTAAGTTGATGGACTCAACATAATTATATGGCGCATGTTGCATTGTTGGGCAAGCATTGTGCAGCGGAGCATGTCCAACTGAAACCGAATTTGGCCGATCTAGGCCTATTATGTTTGGTTCTTCTGTTGCTTATGGAAATAATTATCACTGATATTGAGTAATTAAGCCTATTTTCAAACACTTTCCACCACTCTGATTTCTCAACTTTTTACAAGTAGGCTAAATGCAGTTGAAATATTTTCTCTTGAAATTAGAAGGAGGTCATTTCCGTTAAATAACTGCATGGACTATTAACGCTTTCATTGTAGAAGAAAATGTAACTTCGGCTTCGACTAGATAAAATGCCTGTACTGAATGGGAAGTAATGGCTTGCTTCTCCCTCGCATCCACTTCATCATTTGTTTTGTTTCATGTTCAATAAATATATTCTTCTTTTTATTGTTTATTCCTTCATACTTCCCCATTGTATATTTTTTTTTAAAGGATTGTAAATAAATTAATTTAAAAAAAGATCCGGCACCTCGCTGTCCGGCTATGCGGGCATCCCTAGTTTGCCCCGAAGTTTTGAAGAGCGAGCAAATATTGTTTCACATTGTTTTCTTCAAAACTTCATCATCAACGGGCACCAGCGTTGAATTCTTTTTGATCTATCCCGGTATTTTCGTATTTCTTTGTCTCAATATTTATTAACAATATCACAATCCTGCTTTTCTCCAGGGCTGGAAGGAATTCAACGTACCTTAATAAGAAGAATGAGAATGGAGGAGAAGAAAGAGAAGAAGAAGGATCGAGAAGGAAAAGAAGAAGAACTTAGAAGAAGAAGAAGAAGAAGAAGAAGAAGAAGAAGAAGAAGAAGAAGAAGAAGAAGAAGAAGAAGAAGAAGAAGAAGAAGAAGAAGAAGAAGAAGAGAGAAGAAGGAGAAGAAGGAGAAGAAGGAGAAGAAGAAGAAGAAGAAGAAGAAGAAGAAGAAGAAGAAGGAGAAGAAGGAGAAGAAGGAGAAGAAGAAGAAGAAGAAGAAGAAGAAGAAGAAGAAGAAGAAGAAGAAGATGAAGAATTAGAAGAAGATGAAGAAGAAGAAGAAGAAGAAGAAGAAGAAGAAGAAGAAGAAGAAGAAGAAGAAGAAGAAGAAGAAGAAGAAGAAGAAGAAGAAGACAAGACAAGTTGTGTAAGTTTATCAATCGCTATATAATTATAATACGTGTCAAGAAAGGTTCTTTTTCGGTTCTTTTTCGGTTCTCTTTCGTACGTTAACTCGTCTGAGAAGCAAATAAGAAAAATCGAGAGTGTCACATTTGGAGGTGCCTCAGTTTTATGGGCTGGCTTCGTACTGGCGCATGGCGCTTCTGGTGGTTGGTCTAGCGCCATCTTGAGACAGATAATGAACAATATCCAGCAGGAGTTCGCGATAGCTACACCAATTTTCTCTTTCTGGCTCAGGAAATTCACTTCAAACCATGTTTTTGTTATGGTTTGCTCAATTTGGAAAGGAAATCAGTTATTTGCTCATTTGATGACAACGTTCATAAATTATGTCGTCCGTTAAGAAATTGAGTTTGAGTGGCTTTAAGTCCACATTCAAGCGGAAATCAAGCCGAGGAATTTCAAGGAACAATGTCGAAACTACCGCATCAAACGGAGAATTACAACACGGGAACGTTTGTGATAACGAAACTAGCAAAACAAACGACGAGTACCAGAATATCCCGACCCAAAACGGGCCAGGTAATGTAAAAACGGAGGGAATTGTTCCCCCCAATAAAGATGAAAGTGGTCGGAAAACTCGGGGGATGAAAACAAGTCGATGGGGTTTTCGTCAAAAGACGGACGGCAGGAGCAAAATCTGTGAAAATGGGAATGAGAAAATAACAACTTTACCCGATTGTGAACCCGGAAGTGGTGTTCATTTAGATCACACTGCAGATGATGATTCTGCATTGCCAATGTGCAACCCACCGTCTGCAAATGGACATATTGTAATCAATAATCAAAATATGAATGGCAATGAAACTGGATATATTGGTGCCAGATGTATTTCGAGTAGCCATTCATTTCAAGAGGTAGACAATTCCAATCATCACTACATCAATGATGTGAAGTCCAAGAAAAATGAGAAGACGGAAGCTCTTCCGGATGAAAGTGGCACAGAGAATCAAGAAAGTGTCGGACAAGGACGCTACAATTTTCCATTGCCTGTGCCTAGTGAAAAACATTGTGATAATGAAGTTCGCAGTATCAATAGTACGAGGTGTGATGTAAACGATAATGCTGAAATATTTGAAGAACGACTCGATGAGTGCCTAGAAAATGATGTTCCATGTATGAAGGATGATGAAAGTGTTCCATCTGAAGAAGACCGACCAGCCATTCCACCTAAGCCTGCATCCCTCTACTGTAATGGTCAATGGCAATTGCAGGGTGCGGACTCTGTTCGGTCCAAAAATATGAAGAATTCAACCATATCACTTGGTGAAGAACAAGACTTACCTCCCCGACCCCCTGCACGTTCAAAAACAAGACATGGCGTAGACATGAATCTGCCATTTTACAAGCAGTACTTAGAACAGAAAGAGAGAAGCGGCAGCCAGACAGTACCAATATACGAGGATGTGAGGGTAGAGCTTGGTTTCGAGAGTGGTGGTCTTGCAGGAGAGTTGTCCAAGCTGCCTCGTCAGCCTTGGTACTGGGGTCCAATGAGTCAAGATGAAGCGGAAGGAAAGCTGGATGATGCAGATGATGGCAGTTTTCTAGTCAGGGACAGCTCAGATGACAGGTATCTTCTAACGTTGAGCTTCAAGTCTAATGGTCGTACCCTACACACAAGGATTGAACATCGTAATGGTCTCTTCAGTCTGAATGATTCTGAAGGTCATGCCTCTGTCATTGAGCTTATAGAGAATGCAGTCAAGGAGTCACAGGGTGGTGTCTTTGGTTACATGAATGACTCCACTGGAATCCAGAACTTCCCCGCCAGACTGACGCAGTGGGTATCCAGATACAGCGAGGTCAAGTCACTCCAGTACCTCTGTCGCTTTGTGATACGGGAAACCTACCCCAGACATCACATTCGTCATCTTCCACTTCCTAAGAAGATCAATGAGTATATCCTAGAAAATCAGTACTAAGCACAAATTTGTTTACTAATTAATATTTTTGAATCATGAATTGAAATGCAGAATTATTCCAAAGATGTCTCGAGTGCATTTATCTTTTATATATATGCCATTTTTGTATCAACAGCAAACTGTGTAATGTATGTACACTGTACATGTTGTGCATGTGTAATAGACAATATTAATTGATGACAGTATACACATGTAGTTTCTAGTTAAATGTACATTAGACTCTCTAGACATCCATAGTTTAGAGAAGTTGAAAAACCTTTGAGTTTGTAATGAACGTTAAAGAAATTATAACCGCCTTTTTTAGTTATGCCTGTATCATTAGCGTGACTACAAAGCCAATCAATTTAGATTATATACTCATTATCTTAAGGTGAAGTGGGAATTTTTTAGGATGCAATTTCTTTTCAAATCTATGGAATTTTCTTTTGATATTGTAAAATATCCTGATGTTCTCATCAGGAGTTGGTTGGATTAGAGGCCTTTAAATCAATTCTGAAATAAACCTTGTTGCCTTTTAGGAGCATGCAGCCCCCCCCCCCCATTCCTGCCCAGACTTCTAGCAATGGTGCTCAATGTTACCTCTCTATTACCTCCCCTTAATCTTCCTTCTGTGCTTCCAGTACTATCCAGAACAAACAAAAATCCTGATAAGTGCCTTAACAGTCTTTGTAGTTTTTTAAAGAATTAAAGATCAATACTCATGGATAATTTGGTATAATGTATAGAATGACCAAAATGACAGAGAATAGTTTCTTATGTTAATCTATCAAGAGATAAATAAGTTTCTTGAAGGCCTACAATTTGTTTCATTCTTTGCAGGTTATTACTAGTAGAATGCTCCTTTTCCTGGTTCCAGTACCGTTGTTTTATGAATTTATATCACAGTACTCGAAGCTTTTATTTCATTTAGATATATGCCATGTTTATTCAGCCCACCTCAGTTGGATAGGAAAGCACAATTTAGTGTTTTTAGTTTTTACCAAGTTGCATGATCATGTTCGTGGTGTCTTAATTTGCTTACCATTTTTTTTAATGCAACTTGGAAGCTGAACAAATTTTATATTGTAAGAGTACTGGTAATGCAATTGTTTATAAATTTATATCATACTTGAAAAAGTGAAATTTCAAATTTATCTTATAATCCTTTTTTTTGCATACTAGCAGTACATGTACATGTATACCATTTTGTCTAGATTTGTACAGTTTTCTTAGTTTTTCTAGCCTGCCGAGCTACTAGAATATAGATGTAAAGTCGTTCTCGCAGTATGTATTTTGGTCATGTATGGGGTATATTTAGTACAAAACTTGAGATTGTTTCACTCTTTAGCGGCTTTGCCTTCTCATACATATAAAAAATACCACTTAACTTTTGTGTCTAGCTGTCTAAAGCTCAAGCTTTTGTTTCTTGACAATTAATTTTGATGTTTCCTCTCCCTTTCTTCTTCTTTGTAACAATTTTACATTCCATTTTTTTTGTGTTCAAACAATTAATTGTTGCTGAAATGCTGTAAAAAAATCTCAGTATCTTGATATGTCCACTTATAATTGTGCCTTACATAATTTCAATTAATTCACTGATGTGTAATCAATGGACCTCCAATCCATGTAAAGATGATTGTATGTTATACCTCCATGCCTTTCATCCGTCTCAGTACATGCGTCTTACTTGTGCTATTGTGCTTCACAATCCATCCTTGAGTTGATTGAAACGTAGATTAAAACTTAGATTGAAACGTTGATTGAAACGTAGATTGAAACGTAGATTGATACTTAGATTTAAACGTTTATTTAAACATTGATTGAAACGTTGATTGAAACATTGATTGAAACGTTGATTGAAACATTGCTTGAAACGTTGATTGAAACATTGATTGAAACGTTGATTTAAACATTGATTGAAACGTTGATTTAAACATTGATTGAAACGTTGATTGAAACATTGATTGAAACGTTGATTTAAACATTGATTGAAACGTTGATTGAAACGTTGATTTAAACATTGATTGAAACGTACATGTATGACAGGACCTCTTGTCGGGGCTCCATACTAAGCTTTTTTTAAGGGAGTTCAGATTTAATGTGTCACTGTCTCTATACATGAGCCCTTTGTATTTTTTTTGTTGTTGAAATTTAGGGGGTCCAGAGACTCCAGACTTATATTTTGGGCACCCATGTGTCCCTGGCGCCTGTTAGTGTCAAGCACTCTTAATCTTTCTTTAAATGTTTCAGGATGAAAAAAAAGTCCTTATAGCCAAAGAGTTACCACTTTGGATATCTGCACCCTATTGCTCATAGCTGGTGTTAATTGTGAAACCACTCTGAACACATTGTGTGATGCCTAACTCGTTGCATATTTTAAAGCAAATTAACTTTGAGAACATACTGTAGGAAAACAATTGGGTCAATGTTTGTAAGAGATCATTCATGTATCTTGACCAATTTCTCTCATGAATTGAGTTTAAAAGAGGAGATTAACTGCAATCGAAGATGTATATTTTTTAGAGATCTGGGGGGTGTTTCACAAATTTTGTCACACATGTAAGTGACAACTTACATTTTTGTTATTAGCTACTGAAATCCTTGCTTCTGATTGGTTATTAGCAGATTGTTCACTGATTTTTGTCATTTGTCATTGATAAAGGCTTTGTGAAACGGGTCCCTTGGCATTGCTTCATTAAAACGAAACCAGTCCAAAAACATCCCATTAAAACCCATGTTAATTACAACAGGCATGTTTTAATGGGATTTTGGTGAGCTTTTACTTTGTTTTGTGATACACTGCCCGGACACTCTTGCAGATATCTCAAACTGCTTGCATACATGTATATCCCAAACTGCTTGCATGAGATCTACACACAGACCATGATGCAGATAGTGCATTGTCCTTTGTACAAGTTCTTGGAAACATCAATCTAAGAGGATGTGGTTGATTTTTAATGAGTTTCTAAAAGTCAAATCATGATGGGGCCCATGGTCATACGTAGGTACTGTAATATGTAATATTACTCATTGATGCCATTGAAACAAGTCCGTTGCACTGTTTGTTTTGAATGGCTGCCCAAGCATTCTCTTCTCCTCTCCACATGTGATATATACATTGTACATGTAAGCATATGAAGTAGATACATGCAGAATAACATATAAACTTGTACACGTCATGTCAGCAAACAGAAGTAGACAATGTCGTACAAGGTCTATTTCCTGTATGTATTTGTGTTCGCATTGTCAATAGGCTTATATAAAGTTTTCTGCATATATTGCTTGCAATGCACATAAATGTGCACGTTCATTTGTACATAGTACATGCATTTTCTCTATTATTTGCTCAGTGCCAAAAGCTAAAGGTATGCAGTGTTATATCCTTCATTATTTTATGCTTTATAAGGATTTGCCTCTTACAATTACAGAATGTATGTAGCACAATTACATATGTCAAATGTTTGATCTCTGGAACTCTTGTTTTTTTAATATTTTTTAAGTTGCCCCATCGCCTGATAAATTAATTGCGTTATGGCTGAATTGATTATTGTGAATACTGATAAGATTCTATTTATGTTGATTCGGAATTCCCAACCCGGGAGAGTAGAATGTTTAATGTGGAGAACACAGTTGTTGATTCAGATAGATAATGTGACCTAGCTAGGGTACATACTCTTGGAGCCTTCACCAGCTCATTGAGAGAGAAAATACTGATTCACATTTCATTTTAGGGAGGATGAAAGACCTTTGATCCTAATTTTTTTAAAAAGAGGAAATACATGTACTGTATATTGCTTGCAAATATTTCATCTTTTTTTGCAGCAACGGACTGACATTTGAAACAAGTGATTGAGAGAAGATAATTTTGGAATTCAACGATCCTCCGTTAGTTACTAATGAAAATTAATTGAGGGAAAAAATTGGATTTGGATACTTTAAAGGTTCAATAATGTACTGCAAGTTATTTAAAAAAAAATACATTTACCGGTATCGAAAGTTAAGAGGAGAGCATGGTATCTGACTTCCTGTCATGTACGTAGCTTGTGATTTCCTATTAGACTTTATAACGCGACCACACCTACTTCACAACTTCCTCTAAAGCCCTTCCTAATCACATAAAGGGAGTAAACTACATTTTCTGTTGCAAAATAACCACCACCTGTATTTATCATGGCAAGAGCCAATGTTGTATGGTTAAAAAATCACTTCTCCACCGGGCCTTATGGGGCATGTGCCCACCAATTTGTATTTTGTAGAATACTGATTGTGTGATCGATGCAGTTTACCCCTAATCATTTTCACTTTCTTTTCTTCTTTTTACTTCCCTTTAAATGATTTTTACTTCCTTTTTGTAATATTTTTCACTTCCTTTTTGTAATATTTTCACTTCCCTTTTTACTATATTTAAACAAAATTAAATGCTGTTTACATCCCCATATGGGAACACGACTTTAAAGGTAAAATAAGTCACCTGGTCACTTTGTTGGCTCATTGCCTTATTCTATGTAGTATCAAAGTTAGGTACATATCAATTGCCAGTCATTTTGCACTGTGTTTATGGTTCGAGTTGAATACTAACATTGAAGGGAGCCAGTTCCCTGTGGTAACATAATGTATATATTGTTAGAACAAAGATCACCCCGAACCTACTGTAAGACTGTAGAAAAAAAGATGATGAAAATATGGAGACAAAATATTTAATATCAGTGATTATGGGCATGAAAGTATAAAGATTTTACTTCCTAAATTAAGCATGCATAAATTATATTGAAGCCTCAGTGTTTGTAGTAATGGGTCACTTCAACCTTTATTTGGAATGTTAGTAATACATACCAGTATTTACAGAAATATTACCTGTAATCTAAGCTGATATTTCATAGAATTGATAGAAATATACAGGCATGGAGCCCCAGACTTTGAGAGCAAAATATTTTGGATGTTTAGTCCCTTTAATGTATAGCCCTTGAATTGTGAGCACAACCACTGTCTGTTCATTGTACCAAAATGGAGTCTGGATTTGGAAAATAACATTATAGAGAGCACTTTGAAATGTCATTTTATAATGAAATATCTAGCCTTGGGAACTGTACATACACATATGTGGCCTATTGTTATTACCACAATGCAAAGATGGTATTTAGTTTTCAGTTGAAATGATGACTCTGTGATATTTGATCAAGTACTAAACCACATTGTTTATATGTTTTTGACAAGTCCAATATCAGGAACTAGATCAGAATATGCCCTTGAGTAACATTTCTTGTGATAAAGGATGTTTACCTGGGGGGGGGGGGGGGGGAGCCTGTAAGCTTGGGTTCCTTTTTAAAAGCTGTATGTTGGTGTGATATTACCAGAAAGGTAACTTTTCAGACTTCTGATATGGTTCTGTGTAGTGTATGTCAATGATTTTTAGATCAACATAAATGATGAATAGATGCCATGTGCATTGATTGATTGTTTATAATCTTGTGTTTGTAGAATCAACTGTTTCCTACAGCTTTTGTTGAATGTATACAGATATTTGGTACATTCTGTATACTTCACATTGATGATTTAAAATAAAGATGTTTATATACAGTATGCAGGCCAAATTAGGCCTACACATTAATAGTCTCAGTAATAGTATTCAGTAAAGCTATGTACCAATCAAAATGCTTTGTGATATACATACCGGTACATATATGATATACGACCAAGGTCTAAAAGCTGATATTGCACCCCTCTGAAAAAGCACCCATGCAGTTATCATGCTAACAATACATGTGTGTCTGTGGTCAGTTAGCCCTTGGCTTTGTACTACATGAAACTGGTAGTAATAAAAGTTGTGTATAACATGTTAAATCTGCATTTAATACTCAAAGTTGCACAATTTAAGTTTTTCTCAATTAAAGCCGAATGAATTATTTTTGACCAAACTATGCAAAACATGTTTCAGTTACACATCCTACGAAGTAATGTAAGTAGAATTTTGCATAAATCAAACTATTGTTTGCGTTCCCTTATGCAGAGTTTTCTGTTTTATATTTTACATTAAATGGGAATATTCATGTATATTGTTTGGCCCAGCTAAGATGTAAACAACGTTGAAATAGGATTTCATCTTTAATTTTGTATCATGATATAATCATATAATCGTAGAGAGCAGGTAGTGGCCTTCCTGCAGTGCAACAGAATCTTCTTTTCATAACTAATTTAGCCATGTCATGATATTTCAAACTAAGTTGTACATAATTTCATCTAATCAATCACATTTTGTATATTAAAACAATTATGCTTTCCTGTATCATTATACACAGACATAGTATTGTACAATGTCCATTTGAAGCAGTAGTCACAGACTAGTGACACAGGCATTCTTGAACATTTAGCAGAAGGCTACATTTGCCTTAGAAAAATGTGACTCGGTTAATATGAAAGTTTTGTAATATATTTTTCTTTTCTCTTCTCTTCATGGCTTAAAAAGCTATGAATCTTTGATTTGATGATGGACCATACACTTTTAGGATTCCATTGCAGACTTGTGCATTTGTGCAACAATGCGTTTTATGTATATTTTTCTTCAATAAACTAGGCGTCGACAAGGAATATGGTGCCTTGTCTAACAGAGTAGAGAGGAAATGTAGCAGACGTTAAAGTCTTGTGTTGATAAGTACAATTGAAGTGTTTGTACAGTGTGATCATGTTAATGAAGTGTATCTTCACAAATGTAAATGTTAAGGCATACATGCTGTATATTGTTTTGTAAACAAAAATATATATGCATACCTGTACATGTAATAAAAAAGAAATGTGTTTGAAAT